ATAACATTATACGAAGAATCCGATCGAATCCGACATAGAAGAAGAATCTGAAACCGAAAGCGACGACAGCAATACGAAACTCCAGTAGTGAAAGCGACGAATCAACCTCATCAGAAGAAAGTGATGATGAAGAATCCTCGGGAGAAGAGGAGATCGAACAAACAAACATGCAGAATTCTTTCTAAACGATGACCGCCAACGTTACAAACCAAATGTCAAGGAATGGACAGCTGCCGATGGATCACCCTGTTTTGAAGTCGAAACAGCCGAGGGATTCACAATACCACCAAAGGGAAAAGCATATTTCTATGGGAAATTACCTCGCACAATCTCTGCAGATGTAAACTTCTATCCGCAAATATCAGCGACTGCACCCATTGAAGCAACCAATTATCCTAGCATACGAGCCGGAGCCACAGACTGCACGATCACCCTGGAAAACTTTTCATTCTGCGAAGTAGATATCCCAAGTGGATTCTTACTAGGAGACTACATGGAGCAACATTATATACGAGACGATGACTCCGATACGTATACTCTGAAGACTTGAACAATGAAGAGATATATGGTTACGATATCAACCTGCAATATCCATATCCACACTACAACGACAAGGAGCCCGATACGAGGAAGAGTTATTCTTCTTGGATCACGGTGCACAATCACCTACATTACTGGAGACCAGGAACATCGAGCCGAATAACACCATAGAAGTTTGGTCGAGAGAGAACATTACTATACCCGCCGATTTTACCACTCAAGTGCACGGTAGATTTCTCAGACCCACAACGAAACCACTATATTTTGTACCAGAACAAGGAGTCCACCCTGCAGAAACAAGACATGAATACTTCTGCCCAGACGTAGAACAAGGAGCCACAACCTTCACCATCACGATCAAAAATAATCTGCTTCACAATTGATTATTTCACCACCGAGCTTTATTGGCACCTTTCATGAAATACAAGACAATGCAGACCCCGGAATAGAAACACCAATGGTGAACCGAACCGAATCCAACAAAGATATTCCAACACCGACCCCGTTAACCGAAGAACAATTAAAGTTACTCAACATACCTGACATCCCTGATGACCACGATGGCAAGCTACGAAAAGCCTTTCTCGAACTCGTACGACAATATCAAGACTGCTTTGCCTGGACAGACGACGATCTTGGATGTACCGACCTATTGGAACATAAAATCACTCTAAAGAAGGACGCGATACCAGTAGCCTCCAAACCCTACAGATTAGCACCTGTAGAAGCTACTGCACTGAAAAAGGAACTCGATCGATACTGCCGCCTCGGAATAATACGACCATCCAACTCACCCTGGGCCGCACCTGTCATGCTCATCAAGAAAAAGGACAACAAGTCATACAGATTCATTGCCGACATGCGAGGGTTAAATAAATCATCTATACGACCGGCGACATACGTAGACAACTTTTGGCAGGAAATACAAGCTGCAGGACAATCCCGGATTTTTTCAAGCCTTGACTTAAAGGATGGATACTTCCAAGTAAAACTCGCCGAACAAAGCAAACCGCTAACGGCTTTCTCTACAAAATTTGGAGCATATGAGTTCAACCGACTACCACAAGGATACCACGCTGCACCATCTGTTTTCGTAACCCTAGTACGACTAGCATTCCAAAAAGAAGAAGACATACTTTGTCGATACCTGGATGACTTGAACGTGCATTCAAAAACAACTGAGGACCATCTTGAACACCTTCGCGAGTATTTGAATGTTTACGAAATGCTGGACTAAAACTTGGAGTTAAAAAATGTTGGTTTTTCAAAACTGATATTTCATTCCTTGGACACATCATCACTGGAGAAGGAATTTGCGTAGATGAAGCACGCACCAAGAAAATTCGAGAATTACCAATACCGAAAACTGTGACACAGCTGAAGTCCTTTTTAGGCTGTATGTCATGGTACCGAAACTGGATACCGCGGTTCAGTGCGATAGCACGAGTACTATATAACCAGACCAAGCAAGATGCCAAGCCATGGGGAGAAGAGGAAACAAAAGCTTTTAATAAACTGAAAGAAACTCTTATTTCTCCACCCATCCTAGCACGACCAGATTTCCATTGACCTTTCATACTGAGAGTAGATGCATCAAAGGAAGCATTTGGCGCAGCATTAATGCAAAAGGACGACCAAGGAAAAGAGAGAGTAATATCTTACCACTCACGCGTCACCACAAAAGGAGAAAAGAACTATAGCAGTTCCCGATTAGAGACGGCATGTCTTGTCTGGAGTGCAAGACTCTTGAAACCATTCTTGTTGAACAAATTCGACGTGTATTGTGACCACAGCGCACTACGTGGAATATTAAACCAGAAAGAACCAACAGGCATAATGGCCAGGTGGATTGAGACACTGAGTGAATACAAATTCGACGTACACTACAAGAGCGCCCACCAAAACCGAAACGTTGACTTCCTCAGCAGACTACCAGGATTTGGAGAAACCACGAACAGCAAATTCGACCGTTGCCTACGATTCAAATGCGGAAATTTCGAAGACGTTGAACTGGAGAAAAAACAAGAAGAAAAGACGACGACTGACGAACCAATACAGCAAGACGAGAATACACCAAAAATAACCGAAGTCACCAACACAGGACATTCCAAACGCCGCGAACAAATCTAAAGATTCCAGACCACAACAACTGCATAACACTTGAAACACTGAACACAATCAATCAACGTACCACAAAGCCAACCGGACGCCGATCACAAACTGATTATCAACACATCACGAAACAACACTGATAGCAACATACCAACGTCGATCACAACACTATTACAAATCACCCCGCAAAAGGCTTATTTGAAACATTCTCAAATTACTCGACGACATACAACTACATCTACTGTGTCACAACCAAAATCACAATGGATAACAACATATACAACGGACTCAAGTATTATCTTGAAACACTCGAATACCCACCAACTAGTAGCAAGGAACTACGGAAAACAATTCGCACTCAAAACGAACACTATATCGTTATAAATGGAAAACTCTACTGCAAAGGATCCACGCCAAAAATGATCCTACAGAGGAGCGAGATCAAAGATGCAATCTGGATGGTACACAAACATCCTCTTGGGGGACATTTTGCATTCCAAAATACACTATTCAAGCTAAAAACAAAATACTACTGGCGAGGAATGGCGCAAGACGTGAAACAATTCATCGCACAATGCGACCGGTGTCACCAACACAAGAAACCCAACAACCAAGAAAGACTATATCAATACCTGCTTATACATATCAAACCTTTTATTTTAATAAACTGCAATGGGTACAGAAATATAAATCGATCATAAATCACAATACAATCAAAAAAAAAAAAAAAAAAAAAAAAAAAAAAACATAAACAAACAAACACACACGATATACACAAAGATACACATCAAAATCTTTTATCACACATAAACACACAAACAAAAGGATGGAGCGCCGACTCATACAGAGTGACTCCACGATTCGCACCTGATTCAACAACAATACAAAGGAGCGCCGACACATACACAGAGCGACTCTACGAACCACATACAACTTATCAAACTGATCGAACGGATGGAGCACCGAAACATACAGAGCGACTTTACGATCCAAACAACAATATCACATCAATCACATCAAACGGATGGAGTACCGACACATTTACAGCGTGACTTTACGATCCAAACAACATCACAAACGAATTACAACAAAAACGAACGGATGGAGCCGCCGACGCATATACAGAGCGACTTTACGACCCATTATACAACAATTCAAACGATGTGGGACCATCTTTTTCCGGGCCCGAGGAGGTGTGATACCCCAATAAAATCTGAATACAAGAAAGAGCTGCATAACAAACATCAAGCACATCACATCACACAACAACAAGAGCTCTACTACAGCAACCTCGCAATTACTACAACATTCTGGCACTTTCCATAAAGCTAAGGACATAGCGATCCAATAACTACGCAGCAACAACTCTACAAACTTCTGGCACCTTCCAAATTGCCAAGGAATAGCTAATAATAGCATTATTCCTAGACTTTCCAATTAATTCCACATCCATAACCATTGGATGCGAGTACTTTCCACAACCTTCGAGCATCATCTTTGATGTTCAATTATTATAGATGTATTGAATTATTTTGAAAGATATAAATACCCCCTCATTTTATTTGAATAAAGACATTGAATTTCTACCTCCCACTTTTGACTTAACTTTTCAAGTGTTGTTTTCAATCACTCAAGACCTAAACACGGCTTGTTTTATCTTACATATTGTTTATTGCTCATAACTGAAGCTAAATAAACTCTTCTATTAAGACCAGACGTAACATTCCTGCTCTTATTTCTCATTTACTTGGACAGACGTAACATTCCTGATCCTTATTCCTCATTCATTTTGGACAGACGTAACATCCCTGATCCTCATTTCTACTCACTGAACTTAATCAAGACAACAGCTCCCCACTATTTACAACCTTGGACATAACCCATACACATTTTTACCTTACTTTACACTCATATCACTTCACAACCCGCCTGTAATAAACGATATTATTACTGGTGCTCACTACTAAACATACACATAAACCGTTACGCAACTACCTGGAATACCCCAAATTCACCGTAACAGTGGTATATACCGGCATGACGACAACGTTGGCCACATGCGGTGTATTAATCTGTGCCCTACTGGTTGCTGCAGTTGAAGTTGCTGTTCGTAAAATTGGCCTCAAAGCGCATTCCTTCGGTGTACCTTTATGAAGGTAGCACTAGAGTGATCATTCTTCTATATTTCGCAAGTACATACTTCTTTTGTTCTAGGAAGAAGATTGCAATGATGGCAAAAAGGAATTGAAAAATAGGTTTATTTTTATGGTAATATAAGCTTCTAGTAGTAAAATTATAATTAAAGAATCGTGCATTCCTACAAATGTTAGTAAGCTTTTGTCCGTGGTAACGATAGCCCTCTGATTTTTTTCTCTCTTTTTTTTTTCTTCTATAATTTTTTCTTCAACTACATAATATTCTGATTTTTGGGATTCGTCTGTGGCAGTAGTTACGGTCTTTTTCGTCTTGATAATTGTCGTCTTCAGTAGCCTGAGGTGCGTGATATCTGTGTGATTTGCTTGTTGATATCTTCGGTCCTTTTTGGTGTGTTACCATGTCGTGTTATTTTTTGCATTCGATGATGTATGTCGATCTGTTTTCTTTTTTCTTTTCTCTTTTTTCTTCTTTTCTTTTTTTTTCGTGCAGCCTTCGCTAAACGCTCTGTTGTCTTGAGCTCGACGCGAATGATATGGAGGCCGTTGAAGTCGATAATAGACTGTGCTTGTGGCTTTGTATCGATGATGATCCTCAGCGCTGTATTTTGTCTCTTAAATCATATCAATAAGCCTTTCACGTTAGTTATCAAAGTCTTATTCTAAAGTAAATCCGTGTGTCTTATTTGTACTTACTGTTGATTAGTTTCACTTTATAGTTGCCCAAGTCTTGCTTTTCAGTCTGGTAGTAAAATCGACTGCAATTTGATATCGCTTGGTTTGTTTTGTATGTAATACTGTGTGTCTTGTGTAGACATCATCTTTTCTTCGCTGATATAAATTGTTACTGTTGTTGCATGTGTTAGCTTTTGATGCGATGTTGATCGGGTATGTGGTGCGGTCGTAAGCAAGCTTGCTTAAGGTGATATGTAAGACAGCCACCGACTTGACGTTTTCTTGGTGCCGTATTGTACGAAAGGCAGTGATGATTTTTTTTCCTGACATTTGTTTCTGACTTTTTGTTGCCTTGAATTTCGCTACTTTTGCTTTCCGTCGTCACAGACCGCGTGATGCTTGGTGTTGTTTTTACATTCTCTCTAATCTACTACTAATCTACTTCCTGATTTTCTTTTCTTTTCTTTTTTCTTTTTTTTCTTCTTTTTGTTACTTGTATTTTGGGGGGCTATCGTTACCTGGACCGTAACTTACCAACGCTTTGTCAGAAGAGATTTCCTGGGTAGAATTTGGCGAATTTTCGTTGCATGAATAGCGGCCTTCACTAATGATATGATTGTAGCAAAGTCACAATGAGAAGATAATTTCACAAAAGCATGAATAGTCAATTGTTTCTCTTGGTTTTGCTTCTTACCATGATACAGCAATGTGTGCTGCTTCTGTTTCGATTTCCAAGGTATGATAGTGTGACCATGAAATAGTATTGTCTCCATAACTACTAATGACTGTTCTTGTAGCCACCGCTTGATACAGAGGAAATGACAGAAAGCCTCCCTTGTTTGCTGCGTGCCGTCCATTGGTTTGTCAAGGATACACATGCGCGATTCCTTCCTTAGAGTAGTATCATCGAGTAGTCATGTCGCCCACCGCTTTTACTAAAAGATCAATCGATCTAAATGAGTACGTATAATACATACATCAGTGCTAATCGCCTCATTTTCCGCTCCAAACTCATATCATGTAAATTCAAATTACCTTAAACGTTCTCTCCTTTCAACGGTCAAGCTGCTGCCATAAACAATATGTGTGTGCGAATGTCAATAATGCGCAGTTCTTGAATATATGTCCCGTGCGACAGGAGCCATCGACCGATTCTCTCGTCGAGTAGCGTTTATCGGTTGTGCGATCAGTGTCTTCAATGTGAGCTCGCCAGCATGCATTCGAAAGTCGGATACGGATAGTGCCGCCATTATTGCGTCTACGCAATGCCGTCGGGTCCCTCTGGTAATAATGTGACCCTTGTTGATAGTGTCCTTTAGACGCAGTGTTTTGCTTGATGCGTCTTGGACAGGTGTGCTTCTCGTCCCTTCTTTTGTCCCCATTGCTGCTTCACCACTAAAGCAGAAATGAAACCGCCACGATAATATGATACTGCTCCATCCAATAGCCGTGTCCCGTGTGCATCGTTGTCCTTGATATTCTTTGCCCACCGATGCCGATGACTTTGCTTGTTGTTTTCATGCGCAATTTTCAGATTGTTCGCCACCTTTCCCCCCCTAAGAAGAAATTGAATGTAAGAATCACATTTTGTCCGACTTGATATTGTTAAGAACTTACTATAGGCTCTGCATCCATCTAAATGGGCGTTTGAAATGTTGTCATTAAATATGTCTCCTCGTATCTTGTCGCCAATTCTTCCCGTGGTGCAGCTTGGATTATGTCGCCATCATAATGAACGCTGTTCACCAGGGACTGTACCTTGTTCATCATGGGTAGATGCATCAGGGTTACAATGTGATATCTCTTAGTCCGGCGTCAAACAGTCGTATGTGTGGCGCTCCATAGATGCTTTGTTGCCAGTATTGATTGTCATATCAGAGGATGTGTTGCATTGCCACCGTGCTTCATTGCCGCAATAGCCTTCTGTGCTTGGTTGCTACCACACCCATATATGCTCCAATGATTCCTGGTTGATTTTTCTTTGTCGCCAAGAAAAGAGGAGTTGCCACCTTGTAGATAGATTGTTGTTGAGCCAGCTTGAATAGTTGCCATGCGTGCTGCTATCCAGTTTTTACTGTTTGTCTTTTGAAATCAATTGCCACCATAATAGAAGTCGCCAGTCTTTTTGCCTTGTAGCCATCTGATAGAAATGATAAAGACGTATTCGAATGGCCGTCTATTGCCCGATGTTGTCCCCACATTGAAAGCTAACAATGCCAATGTCGTCTTTTTGTCGCGACGCTGCTGTCTCCACAGGTCTCCTCGTCGTAAACGAGATAGATTATGATTGTTTTCATCTCCTTGACTTGACGTTGACTGATTTGAATAGTTGTAATGGGTGTTGCCGTCACATTACACCTTGTGATTCTGAACGGACTGATTTGTCGTATGCATTGTTGCAGTTTTTGACGCTGAAGTATCTTGCTCCATGTGGCCACCATAGGTAGCGATGGACACTGTTTGTCGATACGATGTTTGCCGCTGCTCCTTTTGTTGCCGCTTTCTCTTTGTGTTTTCACCACAAAAGTAGGGATGGTTGATGATGATGATGATCGTGCCGTTGATTTGAAACCATCCCACATATTTGCCCGCATGCCTGTAGACTTGATCCGTCTACGGCCACACAGCTTGAGAATTTTGACTAGCTTGTATATTCTTCGTAAAGATGTACCATAAGTGATTCATTGCTGCTGCGCCTGAGTATGACTCGCCCATAAATTACATGTCGCCTTTTCCGCCTGTCACTTTTTCGTCCGCTGAAAACAGTTGATGCCAAAGGCTGTCCACCCCGACTTGCACTTGGTCCGCCTATGCACGTGTTAAATGCATGCAATTTTCCGCCCAGAAGGGGAAGTGTCATATTGGATCACTTGAGAACAGATATCCGCACCCGCTTGAAGAGTCCTTGCCGCCATAGCATCGCCAGTAGACAATAAACTTGCTCCTTCCAACCTGGGAATATTCAATTTGTCTAATTGAATGCCGAATGTAGTTGTTGCCTGGACCAACAGGAAGAAAACCAGAGGATGCCAACGATTGGATAATGATGATCGATCTTGATAGTCAATCGCCAAAAGACGGATCAAGCCAAAGACGGGATTCTGCCAATCCTCGAATCGACATCAAGTAAAAGAGATTGTTTTTACTCGGCTAGCCTGGAAATATGACGCCACCTGTAGCAGCATAACCATCATGGATCATCCACCAAGACCACACGAGACGACGTGATCAAGCCAAAGACGGGATTCTCACAACACCCCGAATTTTTACTCGGCTAGCCTGGAAAGCTGACGCTCTCCATCGCGGCGTACCACCCACACCGCTGGCCTGACACCCCAACCCGGACACCCCAGCTTCACGGAATCCGGAGGCAAAGGTGAAGGCTGAGGCTGGACTTACATGGCTGTGACACTGACTACAACCGGTGGAGGATCCAGGGTATGGAAAGGGCGAGGACAACTCCGGTTGAGCTTTCGGTGGCAGGGATTGGGTGAGCAACATTGCTCCGGTTGGCCAGGGCTTACGCAGGAACACCATCCACATGAGCTGGAACTGACTGGGATGACAACCTTGGGAAAGGAATAAGTTCCTAATAATGGGCTCCTCTTCGCCTTCTTCACACCACATCCGTGTCGAATGCGATACGAAGAAGGGAAGAAGGAAGGGAAAAAGGATATATCAGTTAGTAAGCCTCTTCTTATTAATATGGCCGTAGGTATTAAAGAAAGCATAGTACGTACCGTAATCATACAAGCATGACACCTTGGGTTGTCATTTGCTGTCAAGAACCGCCGCTGTACATGTGCCTCGATGGTGGATTCCTGCTGCCTACACAACCAGAGCGTTGCTCACCTCCCCACCACCGGCTCAACCGGAGTTGTCCCCATGTGCCCCCTCCAACCCCTTCACCCCCGGTGGCTGCAGCCAGTGTCGGCGCCAATGCCAACCCCAACCGCCTTTACCTCAAGAAACCATCCACTGAGATGTCCGGGCCGCACCCCATCGCCTGACGAAGGCGGAGACCGCCAGACACCCGCGAGCACCGTGGCCGTGCCACGCATAACCTGTACATGTTACTCGGTTTCATCAGTATATCATTTTTGGCGTGATAGTAGTATAATATCATTCTTTAATCACTTACGGCAACCACAGCCCAGCCAAGCCGCCGTTTGCAACGAGCGCGCACCCAAAATGCACCCAAATACGGCCCAGAGGTGCAACACGCCACAAAGGAACACCGAGTTTAGCGGAAGAGAAGGAACCAGAGGAGGGCGGAAACAGAAGGCAGACACGGATTGAAGAGAAACGAGACGGGCGGAAAGGAAGACAGGAGGAGGAAAGAGGAGGACCTAGTCAAATGGACAGCAATGTTAATGGCCTTGTTTGTGTCCGCATAAAAGCAGCGTCTTCAGCTTACCAATAATCATAGAGCTTTCTGTTTTTGTAGGCTTTTCAAGTACTTTTTTCTGTTTTTTTTTTGTGGGCTATAAATTCGAACGGGAGAAACTGTCAGTGATCGCGTGCATAAAACAAGTGGCGCATATGAGATACTTACTTTTTAAAGAGATTTTTAACTTTTTTTTGGGTCTACAATAGAAGTTAAAGAAGTATGGTTAGCTTGTAATGGTTCTATGAGATAGCGTATCAAGCGTGAGCTGGCGATGGTGCTTACTTTTCTGGGTTTTTTATTTCACTAGCACCACCAGGGGAACGCTGGCGCTGGCCCTACCCAGTCGACATACATCTCGTCGGAATCTTCTTCTTCGCACCACTCGTCGATGTCCATTGGCTCATCAGTATCCATGGCATCATCGTCGTCTTCTTCTTCTTCATTGCTAGGGACACCAAGGGGCGGAAAGAGAGGAGCTGGGGCGAAAAGAGGAGTGGTGGGGGCAGCTTGGTGTTGTGGCGGTGGTGATTGTTGTTGCTGTTGCGGTGAGTGGTGATGCTGCTGCTGTGGAATTGGCGACAGAGGAAGAACGGGCGACAGAGGAACGGGCGACAGAGGAAGAACGGGCGACAGAGGAACGGGCGACAGAGGGAGAACGGGCGACCGGAAAGGGTTTGGCTGAGGTGATGGCGGTGGGGACGAACCCGCACGCGACAGAGCACCGAACGCATCATCATCATGACCGAGGTCAATGATGAGAGAGGACTCGGTGGAGAAGACGGGCTCAAAGGAGCGGTAGGAAGCGGTGGTGGGGCTGTCGAGGTTGCTGTTGGTGGATAGGACGGGCGAGATGTGCAGAGGCGAGTTGAAGGTGTTGGTGGAGTGCGAGTGATAAGACAGTTGAGAAGCCGCGTCAGGGTCGTAAGGGGCAGTGGTGGCGTCGTCGTCAAAGTCGTAATAGCCGGTGGCGTGGTTGTAGCTGTTGCTTACAGAAGTCATCGTAGAAAAGTACGGAATAGAAAGCAGGTAAAGAAGGAAAAGGAGGGGAAAGTAAAAAGTGGGCTCTTTTTATATAAATTGGATGATTTCCTTTTCCGGCTTATCGACCATTTGACCTTTCTTTTTGGAACCAATGATGGTGGTGACGCTCTAAGCAACGCGTTGGATACAGTATCTAGGAGATAAAGTGGCCAGAATACATAAGCTTGCTCATTGTTGCCATGAAAACACTGGCATTGGCCTTGCTGCTATCTCAGGTGCGTGCATCATGTAGAATAAATAAAAATCTATTCTTTTATTCGCGTCATCAGTGTCAATAGAGAAGCTGCTTCTCACCGTATTATGCAGTCAGTCAGTCTCGTAGCGTCACATACACGTTGGGTATCTGTCGTGCCGGAGGGTCTCCGAGCTCGGCAAATCACGACTTGATCGCTCCTCTCCACCCTCGATTTGAATGCCAAGATGGCTGAACCATAACACTTTGATATAGCCGTGTACAAAGACGAGACTAGTATGTACATGTAGCCTGGAAGGTGCACAATGCAAAGGGAAATGTCAGGCTGAATGCCATTGCTTTGGGAGATGAGCGACGCGTTGCTCTGTGTGTCCAGTGTGCTTGTGTAACCTGACAAGACCTGGGTTGGCAGGTGATGCTGTCAACTTCTTTGTATCCATTCCTTTTTTGGGGGGGTCAGCTGATCCACTATAGAATCACTGATAAGAAATAAACGCTCCTCTCTCATTATCTACTCTCTGCTCACTTTTTCAGTGTTGGGAATAGAAAGTAGTTACTACTACCTCGAGCCCAAAAACCAACGAAGATACGTGCTGGCCCTGTAACGAAAGTGACAACGACAAGCAAAGTGACAGACAGAGACGTGGTGGACAAGTCGAACAATAACAATAGATTGGCCGTTTCCTGAGAGTGCGTGTGTAACTTTGGACATGTGCATTTCTGTGTAACCCCAGAAAGACAGCTTTTCTACATAGACTTTTCTTCTCCCGTCTTGATGACGAGTCGTACTTGGTGTTTGTTCATCAGATGAGAAGGAAAAGGGGACCGCTTTTGTGTAGATAACGGGAAAGTAAGAAAGCAGGTTTCGGGTGTGTGTGTGTGTGTGTGTTGGTTCATCCATTGAAAATAAAAGAGCAGAGTTTCCAATGCACGCTTCTGTCGTGTGCACGTATCAGTAAATCATGTTGTTGTTGTTGTTTCCATGCAATGTCGCACTCTAGATGTCGTTATACACAATGGAAGTCACGCTCGCTTGCAAACGTGTCTGTGTCGAAAATATGTGCCCTTGATAAGATCTACGATATGCGAAATTACGTAAGCTGATCCAGTTAGGGCCTACGTACTATGGGTGCTTCGTGGTTCAAGGTGCCACCTTTGTCCCGCTAGTCTTTTCCTTTGTGGTGTTCTTGCTTTCCTTTACTTTAGAGACAGATTTCATGAGTACAGTGAGAAGGAAGATAGAGTAGAGAAGTTGTGTTTGAAGTGGTAGCAAGAGAAGAAGGAATAAAGTACGTTTGGTTACAGCCAACAGCTTTAATGTTTCCTTAAATAGATTCTTTTTGGAGTCACAGAATCACATTAACACATGAAATACCGTTTGGCCTACACACACCTTGAAAGTTTACATCGCACCATGGCGAGCAACAACAACAGTGGCTATTCGAACAAAAAGGACCATACATAGATACCACCACAACCTCAAGTTAAGCAGGCAACACCGTCATTACTGATTGTAGGCCCCTCTTTCTCCCACGACATCTCAATCTTACATACATCATCAAGTACATATCCAGACAAACGTTTGTAGTTTCATACTCTTAGCCTCTGTAGGATTATACTGTAGCAATAGCCATAGTCAGTGAGCACGGCACTAGGGCTCCTTCAGTCGGGCCTTCCTAAATGATACTGTTATTTATGCAATGTACATACTTCCCGTCACGACTGCGGTAGACACGGTGAGGGGCAGGATTTGTAGTAGCAATTATGAAGTTAGGTAAAGTTGTAAAGAAAGCAACAAACTCTATCCATATTACTGTATACACAAAAGAAAATCAAGTCTCTCGAATGAATAGCGCGTTGTCGTCTATATATACAAGTCAGTTGATGGAAAAGTTCAATTGCTTTGGCTACAACAGTACAGCAAGCTTATGAGTAATCCTGATTTTGATGTATGATGTTAAAGAGGCATCTTTGTGGATGCGTGATTCACGGATAGAAACTCGTGAACGGGCTTGAGCACAAAAATGTCAATGACACTGTAAACCACAAAATCTGTCGGTTTCTATGTACTGTATGCAGTGCGATGTGTTAAGATAAGCTGTAGTCTCGGTGATGTGTATATTACTAGTAGGCACCGATAGGAAATGGATACAGACAGGAGAAGTATATAAAATTCATTGGCTGCGCTTGCCAAATGTAAAAGCTGGAACCCTGATAGCGAGGATCATGACCATTTATCCATGTACTCTTGCCAACACCTGCGGACGATTAATTTTTTCCTCCAAGGACCAATAGCGCCCGCTTGGACCATTTGCATTCGTGTGAGATTTGAACATAGAATTTGTCACAGTGAGCCAAAAAGGTGCATCCTTCTTTGAGAATACAAAAAGATTGAAACTGGAAATGTCAAGGTCGAATGTATATAACTTGACCTATAGCTTGCGTTGCTTTGATAAAAGAATTTGCGTGAACTTTTACGTATTAAATGGGGAGTGGCATGCTTAACAATGCTGGGTTACTTTCAACTATCCTGATTGAACGTTCTGTGGATAGTTATGTATATCATATTGTCATCCGCCTTCAAGATATACATATATTGCCATGGGGATATCGTGTTGGTAAGGGGTCGTCACGTCATTTTTATCGGATATCTTAATCGAAGCTATCTAATATGCGAGTAAAATTCAGGATCACCGGCTCTTTTCGTCAGCACGGAAGCAACCGAGTGTCTGTTGTGTTGGCGACGATCTGTACTAGTCCTACCGCTGAAACTGGCGCAAAATGTCGATCGCTGACTTGATATTTTTATACAATGCTTGATACACTCTCTGTGCAACCAGAGCTTTTTACAAAACGAGGCATTGTTGAAGATACAGTTTATTTTGTGTCACGCTAATTATGTAGTTATTAATGAACGGGGTACATGTGCGTAATGTATGTTTTAGGAGGTGGTTGCAGGTGGATAGAAGGAAAAACGAGCTGGAATGATGAAAATACATGAATACGCCACGGATCTATGCACGAAGCTTCTTTGCTGTGCCGATTCGACAAGAATTCACCTAGTAGAAAGAGAAAACAAGGAAAAAATCGTTTTAACTCACTGACACATACTGCTAGGTTCTCGACTAGTAGCTAATGCGAAAAGTTTCTCATTACCTTTGTCGCAAACCGTAAGGAACAGAGGGTTTCGCCGAAATGTTCATTTAGTGGCGAGATATTGACAAACATAAGTGTTTTGCTGTTGCCACCTATAATAAGAACATGACATCTCTTTGGTTACTCACAGTGATTCATTACCGTAACCTTTGCCTTCTCTGCAGCAGTAAGAAAAAGAGAAAAGAGCACGCTTTTTTACCTAGTGAATTCTGCAATAGATAGGTCAATTTTGAATTCCGGAAAGGTACATGACCACTACCATCCTTGTTATTGGCAAGGGCATGTATGACATCGCCAAGGCAACTGAGACTCTTGTTGATTGCCTGGGTTTCTCGTAACCGATCACCAGTTGATCCCGACAGTGCTAACCGTTCCGAACCAGCTAGGTCGATGAGATTCAGGACACCCGAGGATCGTTCGTTTGTGGTGGAGTTGCTTCCGGTTAATCGCAAAGTGAACACACTATGGCTACGAGATGAACGCTCGTTCAAATTGGTTGCACCGGTTGCTCGGTTGTGGCTGGCTTTTCGAAGCATCATATTCACTTTGGCGGGGGAGTCCAGGATTACTAAGTTATGTAGAGATAAAGTTAAAAATACTCATTTAATCTTTTAAGTGGGGCTTGGGGTAAGGGGAGGCAGAAGAAGCAAGGAAAGAGTTGTTGGATAGTCATAACGGAAAGTGGTTTCTCTTCTTCGTTTGTGCTTGTTACCTGTCGTCATATCAGTGACAATGGTTCTTCCGCTCTTTTCGTGTCTGATTTCATGCTTGATCTTGCCGTAGTTCGAAGTGTCGCCAAGCAAATCGTGCACGGTCTCGTTATATATCTCGAGGAATTGCCCTTCCATTGTATATTTCCATCCTCGTTCTCCGAGCTTTTGCGTTACTTCGTAGATTTGCTGTACAGCACGGGGTATCATACCAGCAGATTCGGTGTTTGGTCCCGAAGGCCCTTGCATCGTGTATGTCTACATATTCGAATTTTGATCGAATTAGTTATCAAAGAGAAAAGTATTTGGGTTGGTTTACCAAAATCCAAGTACTAGTTTCTTTTCTTACTTTGCCACTTCCGGTTTGCCCATAGCTATAGACAGATTCGAAGAAAACATCATATGAGTACTCTTGTGCTAACATAGAATAAAGCTACCACTGGTTGTTATATTACACTTACGCGAAAATACAAACATTATAGCCATCTAATGCAGACTGGACTAACTGTGAGATCTCCTCAAAGACTTCCTGCTGGTTTTTTTCTGGGGAAAATACCTAGGAAATTAAATGGTATTAAATACTTGAGTTTCATCATGAACAGCAAACCAGCGCCACAAAAAGCAAACCATCAGAATCAAATCATACTTGGTCAAAAACGAACGGATGGCTCTTATCCGTCTTCTTGCCAAGAGTACTCTGTAGCGTTTCGGTGAGCTCTATTTTCTCACCGTCTTCACCGTAATACTTGATTTGGGCTAGATGGCGGCTATCCTCTATTTTTCGTATTCCAGACATAAAAACCAGAATACAACATTTCCAAAGGTTTTGATCAGTACCCAGAAGCATTGCGTCACATACCACTTTCTTTTTTGAAGTTTCTAAAAGTTGCTCCACTATCGATATGTTTACCTGCTGTTGGAGGCCGCACTCTACAGAAGACGCGAATATTTCCTTTAAGTTCTTGTATAGCATTGTGCAAACTTCTTCGTGTTTTTTCTCCTCCCAGTAACTGCGTTTCGAGCTCTTTGGTAACAGCAATGGTATCATGGTTTTCTTTCTTCAGTTCATCGATGCGATGCTGACGTTCAATAAGTTTTTTATCCGTGAGCTAAGTAAAATACCGAAGCTTATCTTATTAGCGCAACCGTGTTCTAGATTTTGTTCAAGCGTATTACATGTAATTACGCAATGGCTATACCTCGCCAGTAGCTTTCAAGGTTGTCAGTTCCGCTTCCAATTCGATAAACGATGCCGAAGTGCGTGTGATGGTTTCCTGACAGTGATGAATATCACAGCACTATTAGTTTTCCATTTATTGCTGAGAAAAATTCCCCTGCTACTCATTTCTCGCTTATTACCTGAAGTGTAGAATTTTCAATCTGGCCAAGTTCAAATCGCTTCAGCGCGGATTGAGTTCGTTGCTGCATATTAGAGATCTCGTTCTGCATATCTGTTAGTTTGGAGTGCAGCGCATTGTTGTTTTCCTCCAAGGTTCGGTTTTGTTGCGTGTGTTCGAGTTTAAGCTTCTCAATCTCTTCACGATGAGTGCGATCTGCCACCTATTTGCATATAATTTGCAGTGTTAACATATATGTTCCAGCATGTGTAACCATCACCACGAACAATAGCTTTATCTCTTCCCACAAGGAAAAGCGCTCACCTGGCGCATTGTTTCAAGCTCGACAAGTCTTTGAGAAGCTTCGCGTGACTGAGTCGTCTTATCCGCGACTGTGTCTTCCAAGTTTTTAAAGTCGTTCGACAATTCGGCTACTAACCAAATTATCATGCACAATAGAAAATAAAGTTAATGATATTCTTTCTATTCGACGCGACTTTTCGACGCGAATAACAAGAGCAATTATCATGAGATCTGCTTGTTGCTTACTTCTTGACTGGTTCGCCTGGCGGTGTCCTTCCATGTCTGAAATTTTACCCTGAGTATGTTATTTTGTGCAGTGAGCAATTCAAAAGTACGCAAGATAAGGTACAGAAATGAGAAATAAAATATAAAATATAGAAGTGATTCAACTAAATTCTTTGTCAACGCATACTCTGAAATCCCACGCAGGACGTTTCGCTTGTTGTGTGTTGGTTGTTGATGATCCATTGGTAAAACGACGGACGTTGCCTGTTGAAGTTCCTGCGTCAACGCGAGGCCTTGTCGATCGTGGTGAGTCTTTGTCAGTGCTTTTACGCTTGTTTGTTTGCATTGCAGAAGGCTTTCGAATGTTGTTATTGGCGATTGAGAGTGGCTTCTTGGTTGTTGTTGTTGTTGTTGCGGCTGATGCTGATGTTGTAGTGGAAGTCTTTGCCGATTTCACGGGAATGGAGCTTCTTTTACGATTGGGCTGATTCTGTTGGTTTTTTTAGTAAAAAGAAGTAATAAAGGAGAAAAAGCGTGTTAAACAAAGCTATCGTTGGTTACTTTTTTTTGTGAGTAGTAAATAATATACCTCCAGAGCTGGTTTCATTGTTATCCAAAATAAAAATATCACACTTGCACGCAAAAAAGCAACAGAGAAACGCGATCTGGTTTCCCCTTCTATTGCTCTATAGGCGGCGTTCTAATTGATAGTAGTTCTACCCAATCCTATGGTTTGCTCACGCGCCTCCACAAAGAAAGAGAGTTTGCGCGTAGAGTGTAAGTACATGTTGTACGGCACTAATAGCAGCGTAACCAGGCGTTAAATTCGGGCACAAATGTTTTGTTTCAGGTATGTATTTTATATATGCAGTTTCTTGAGGACGGACTGTTGACAGGGACAAATATACAAAGTGAGGAAGAAATAATGTAGGAAGGCGGGCGTGGAGGAAGAATTGTTGTAACAAATCAATATTATTACTAGTGAAAATAGGGTGCAGATGTATGTGTGTGTGTGCGAGACTCAGGCATCGTTGGAAGTGACTGCAGTTTTCCATGGAACTTGCAATGGTACGCCTTCCACTGCTGCAATTCCTTCTGTTACAACCTTTTCAGCACTTGCGACACACCCTTCCAAGAGCGGAATGCCAGGCCAGCAATATGAGCCGACAAACCAGATCCCACTATTTCCTTGACACCGGCCTAGCTGCAATGATGCTGTGTTGCGGTCATCTTTAGGAGAAAACAGTCCATCGAATATAGCCTTTTTTGATGTCAACGTAACCGTGGCACGCTCAAACCAAGCCTTGGATAAAATCTTGTCTGCTAATGGAGACACGCAAGGGTTGGTCGTCTGCATGTATATCAGATTATCCTTTGCTTTCAAGATATGATTGTCGTGTGTCATTGTCAAGATATGCGTTGTCATGGTGGTATCGTGTGGATAAGGGATCGTCACGTCATTTTTTTCTGATAGTTGAACCGAGCTATCCAAGGACGCGAAGTTCAAGGATCGCCAGCTCTTTTGATCGGATGGAAGCAGCCGAGTGTCTGTGTGATTGACGACAACTGACTTGTCGTACCGGAACTGACCCAAAATGTCGCTGGCTAATCCGATGTCTTTGTACAGCGTTTGGTCAGCCTCCGTACAACAGGCCTTTTCTTGAGCAGATAGTAGTTGCGACCGGCATTGTTCAAGAATTTTGAGTGCTTGATTGCCTTGTGTTGCAAAGATAACGTGATGGAACTGGTAAATTCTGCCGGATGCATCTTGCAGTTCAAGTTTATAGCCAGGCACACTGCTTGGCTTGATGGATACAATACAGGTCTGAAGGTGGATGTGTTGTAGAGGCGATGCTAGTTTTTGGACGATGTTACGCACGCCTCCCGAGACGACATATGACTCCTGAAATAATCCCATTGCCATGTACTCTTTAACGAACAAACCATATTAGTCATTACCTTTCAACCCTCCCTCCTTCCCACACCCCGTACTTCAAATATGCCCCACCCCTTGAATCAGAACACGGACATACCAAGAACATCGACTGCCGGATAATCCAACATGGACTTCCATGAGTTTGTGCACACTGCTGCGAATAGAGGAACGAAGATATCGTGCACGAAATAAGGGTGAAAATGATGTCGCCGGAACCAATCGCCCAATGTCATGCGACTCACAATGTGTTCGCGATCCCGTAAATGTCCACGATGGTGTAACCATAACGCCATTCCCATAAGCCAGAGATAGGATATGGACACAACGTAGAGTTTCCAGCATGTCTGATAAATATCGTATATATACTCGCCAAAAGTCGTTGCCCGAGATTCGGGCGATTCTAAGCTTCCGATTGTCCGAGATCCGCTGTAGCTTAACTGGGACTGATTGAGGGTCTTGTAAGTCGCTTGATCGGTCGCAATGCAGAGTGGTTCGTTTATGTTGGGAGCTTGGATACGGTACCACCCAAAACTGAACTTGGCTGGGATAAAGGATATATCCAAGTGTTGGTACAGTCGAAACAAGTGGGAGTAATAACCTGTTTTTTGTTTTGTTGTAGTCGTTATTATTATGGCAGTAACAGAATGATGTTTTTGTAGCGGTTTGTTTGTTACATGTTATGTTTGCACAGAATCAATTTTTTACCTGACATGAACGAGCGCATAGGTACCTAAACTTCATGTTGTTGGTTAGACATATCAGTAAAACCTACTCCACACCTCTTTCTTACAAAGATCCAGTTTTCCTTACATCTACCCGGAACTTGTCGTCCTCCCTGGATCCCACTGATATCGAAGCCGCATCCATGCCGAGCTTTTCGCCCTTTTCAAAGACATGCGGCTCAAAGTGCTCATTGTGCGATAAAAGATAGGCAGAAGTCAATCCTGCCAAGCCGGATCCAATCACTGCGACTTTGACAAGTGTTTGTTTTTCATCATTATCGTCCCGGGCAAGAACCATATTTTATGGTTAATCTGTTTTTGTGTCTGTGTCTGTGTCTCGTCTCGAGAAGAAGGAAGGACCAGCGGAAAGCAGGTACGACTACCCAGATGCCTTTTATAATCGCAGGTCCTCCTGATTTTTTAATTACCGACTTGGATCAGAGGCGTACAAGAAGTTTGTACCGTTTCGGGAAGGAAATCACCGGTTGCTGTGTCCAGGGTCCTTCTTCGTTCTCAGTATATTAAACACACTGTCACCTCTTTTCTCATCATCTATACCCCAGAATCGGCTTATACTTGCCGTTTTGATGACTCTTCAGCGTTGTTCTATAGAATACGTAGTCGTGTGATTTGCTTGGCACAAAGTGTTGAGCAAAATAGCTAGACTTGGTGCTCCACAACGCTTACGTATTATCTTTCTGAGCAACACCCCGTTTCCTGGTTTCGCAAGAGGTTGATGGTAATACATTTATTGTGGAATGTAAGCTTTGCGCACGATCCCTGCACTATAAGATATCATTTTGATCCGAAACGTCACCACTATCGTTAGTACGCTTCGTTTTAGAAGACGCATATATATTTTGCTCCATTAACTTATGGGCCAGAATCGATGATTTAATATCGGGCCTCTTCTGTCGTTTCATTTTTGGTAAGACTTCGTAAGACCGACACACCCCAAGAGCATGTGTATTCTTAACAGAAATCAACATGATAAATTTGGGGCGAGCGCTCAGCAAAAAAAAACAAGTGCCGATGCTGTGCATACATATCACGCATATGTACATACGTATTTTAAACCTGGAATATCATTGATCACTATGCACTTTGAAAGAGTATCTTTCAGTAAAAAACCTTCTCCTTGACTTGCAAATTCTCCACTACCTTAAGATTATCGTAAGCGCCTGGTCCCTACTAAGAAACAATACATAACGCAACCGTCGCGTTATAAAAACTTATATCTACGACATCTGATGGCCTACGAAATTCCCAATCGATAATCATTCGACGTCTCTATAGTGTTGCTATATAAAGCTCCTTACATTATATAAATGTAAGAAGCCACCGTTATGTGCCTCCAAACATCAGAAAATTGGTCATCCAAAAAACATTGCTAGTTAAAATATGGGCGAATGCGTTTTTGTCACCTGCTCTAAATGAGAATTAACATCTATTATGCACTTTATTGTTACAATATAACCTTGATTAACAACAATATTGATTCCGCCCATTCTTCTTCTATACAATCACAAAAGATCCGTTTTGTGTCTGGTCCGTAAAATCACTCAAGCTTGCGTGCTTTTGAAAATAGTACTTGCGGCAACGAAGGTATAAAACACCAATCGACCTATAGGTTGGTGTTTCTTTTGTATCACCATCAGCACCACTAGCGTCTTGCTGTAGTCGAACAACTGGAAAGATCCGTGTACTTCGACTGTCAGTCGATTTGAATGGTATGTCGAGAATGATGCATTCGCTACAATCACTTTCGTCCTCTTCCGTCAACGACAAGAACGAGAGAGGATGGTCGCTTCCGGGAGCAATCTCACGAGCCATCATCCCGCGTCTCATCTCTTCATGTTCAGGCTTGTCTGAAGACAGCTCGTCTATATAATGCGTGAACTTGAAACCTCCATCGTTCATATAACGGGATAGCTCCTCTTTGGTCAGTGGGAACTGGCGCGGTGTCACGGGAAGGTAGTTGCAGTTAATGATATTCAATCTGTGCTTTGCCGGATCGGTAGTTCTATCGACAGTGACAATATCGGACGGGTTCTCGACGAGTGTATATGCCTTATTGCGGATATGAATGCCTGAGATACCTGTCCAGGAAGGGAGATCATAGTAATCGCAAATGGTATTGTTATAGTCGCTCCGTGGTTTTCCAAAGCATAGAATGGATAAGTCTTTTTCGAGAAGATTGCTGTAAAAGCAGCTTAAGACGTGCAAGATTGGAAGATCATAGTTCACTTCCACCTCGATGAGATCGGCAAATATGTTTGCAAGAGCATAAGCTCTATCGTGTTCTTTGGCAGTGTTGCGTGTGTGAGCGTGGCGTAAAACCATGTTGGCCGTGGGAGGCTCGGTTAGAAACAATTCAAACAAATCTTCGATCGTCCCCATATGTGCAGAAAGTGCCATGCCGCCAAAGAAGATGCGCGTTGATAGCCACAAGTGTGCGTTCCTGCCAACAAACACAATTTGTCTTGACATGATGGCTTCCTCAAGTGTCCACATGCGTTTGTACCACTGCGAGTCGCAAATGGCATGGAGGCAATTTTCAATGGTGTTGCGCTCTTTGAACTTTTCGTCATTGATCACATGTCGTAGGTTCAAAATACCGCTAGTCCAGCTAACTTCTTTCACCCCTTCCGGAACCGACATTTCAGGAATCATGGCAACAGCGAATTTCCCGCTACGATAAATTTGGTGCATCCGTTCGATCTCGGAATGTTTGGCCACCTTGTCGTTTTGATCAATACACATCTTGTCGTACCAGATATAATTGATTTCAAAATCCTTGCATAATTGCTGGACAAGCTGCTCGAATTTGACATGCTGTATCTCGTGTTCGAAAAATGATGCGCCTTCACTCGGTTTGTATATAAGTTGGTGATGTCCATTGTCAACGCATTCGTACTCTCCGTCCTCGCCTTGAACAAGATCGCCCGAGTAATTCCAAGAGTATGACAAAGTACAGTAACCATCTACAGCGTCGGTTCCTGGAACACGCTGCATGTCGGATGTACGGACAAGCCAGGTAGGTCGAAAGCCCTCGCTGTCCTCGTCAGCGGATAGATTAGTCCATGGTTTGCCGTCCATAAGGAGCGATATCTGACCGCTTACATATGTCATGTACATCGTTGACTAGCAAAAGGCTCTCTATAAAAGTTAGTATGTATGCAATGCACGTAATAAGTAAGTCTCTACATCTTGGACTCACTTTGTATAAGGTTGCTTCTATCGATGATATATTAGCAGTCAAAAGCGATACTGAAAAAAGAGTCAATACAACACCCGTTTATAAACAGTTTCCTCCTTTTTGTGCAATATAAAAGTTGGTTGAGTTTGCTTGTCGTGTGATACCATGCACATATGTATGCTTGTGGTCTTGAAAGCCACAGACGATCAATCTCGTGTTCCAATACCAAATCAGTCCAAAGAAGTTATCGGGCTTAGCGTACAAGATCCCTAATTGAGACATAATCGTACAAAAGGACATCAATCAGAATAAAACGGATCACACTCCTATTCTGGTACCATACAGAAATCCCTAAAGCTACGCGCTTCTAATAACAAAGAAGCTAGTAAAAAGTTATCTCTATCAAGATGTCAAGCTATTATACAGTAGTTTGGAATTGTTAAAATTCTCTTTCAATTGAAGAATTACAAAAAAGCAGAGGTACTGATGGAGTTTTAAGTATGTGTGTGCTCTGCTGAACGCGGCGTAAGCATTGTACAAGACGTACATATATACTAATTAAGTAAACAGCGCCGAGTGTCTTTCATCTGTATTGCGTAGCAATGCTCAGGAGTACATAGACACACCGATGACTGCCAAAATAGACAATGCGTTGGTGTTGTTTGCACGAAGACAAAGAAAAAAGTACGTGCAGTTACTGATCCACTATAATAGACAGCAGAGAGTTTTTCGTTCGAAGAATGTAATTTTTTTAATACGATCACGATCTAGCTGCCATATTAAGTATTAGCTATGCAAAGGATCTTGCAATGGATTGATACCGACCGCGCAACCAATAACGATTGTAGTTATCAAGTAAAATAGCTGTACATATAATGTTGGTCCTGATTCTATAGTTTAATGCGATTCATTTATAGGTCGTCTCCTTTGGGAATAACTGGCAGTACTAATATGGAGCAATCACAAAGATTTATCATCTATCAAGTGGTTAGCTAATAAGTAAAATATAAGGCACACAGTGGTCCTGGTACTGGCAGCATTGTGAAGCTGGGTCGCTCCTTCCATTTGCGTCTTGACGTAAATCAATCAGCGCAGTTCCTCGTTTCTGTGTTCCTTGATACAAAAACACGATCGATTCACTTCTCACCGATGGACCTTAGCCAACTATTGACTCTTTTTAAGGTAATCATATAAACAGAAGTATAGAAATTGGTGCAATAAAGAAACGAACTGAAATTTTCTAGAGCCAAAAACAACCAGCAGAAGAAGAACAACAACAACAGCAAGAACAGCAGAACACGAATATTGCCAACTATCAAGATCCGATTGATGATCAAGTGAGTCAAATCGATTTTTTTTCAACTTATGGACTGAGCACCAATCTTATACCTACAAATGATTGCTTTTACATTTCCAAAAGGCTCGAAACGGAATTTCTGCTGCACCACTTTCATTACCACTAGTGGATTCGTCCATCAGTGTTCCTTCTGGTATGAACTTGGGAGCAATCGACCCTGCTCTTATTGCAGAAGTACGACAGGAGTTCTTATCCCAGCAAGCCCCAACACGAATGGATCCACATGACCATGATCAGCAGCAGCAGCAACAGCAGTTCCAGTATCAGGATCAGGAACAGGAACAGCAAACGGATACACTTGATTCACTCTTGGATTCTCTCCGGAGTGCTACAGAGATCACACCTCAGGTGTTGGTTGGATTAGGACGGATGTGTAAAGAAACGGAACTATTAGATGTACTACGAGAGTGTCAACAGATACAGGTAACTTAATGATAAATGTATATGCTCAGAAGTAAGGACTACAGAGTGCGTGGGTAATGTAATATGTCGTGTATATAGCATGACACCGAGCGAAACCTCAGTAGCAAACGACAAACAATAGAATCAAGACATCAAAAAGCGCGAGATGCACTATTTGCACAGTAAGTGAAGAAATGTTGCTTTCTCGGTTCAGCCTTGGTCCCAGCAGAATTGAAGTAGTCATGAATTAAATTATATATTATTTAGAGAATTGGTAGGAGGAACACCAGATTATGAGGTACTGTTATCAGCTACACAAAGAAAAACGCGTTTTAAAAGGGGGGAGAACTGACTCAGTGCCCTCTTAGTCATTAGATCAGCAAACCCAGGCAGATCTCAGGAAAATGGATATGCATATCCTTCGAGAGATGGATAGTCAGCTACGATCACAGCAAGTGAAATTGGCAAAGGTAACGGAATATATAGAAAAATATGCTTTGTTTGGGTTATATTAGATGTTCTTTGCAGGTTGTGTTGGGGAGTGGGGAGTTGTTTCTCACTCTACTGTTAATAGTTGAAAGTGCCGTTTTTCAAGCAGACGTTTGATCCTGCAGAAATCGAAATGCAACACAAGATCTTATCTATCCTGTTGAACATGGTGAATCAGTAAATTGCTGTTTGTTTCTTTCCCTCCCTCCCCTCTTGCACACCTCTTGCACAAGCTTTTTCGCCGATATCATCCCGTTCATCTATTATCCTTTGTCCAAACCAAAACAACCTAGCAGCCTGACTAAACACCCGATGCACATGTAAATATACGATACAATACATACATTAAAGCAATTTATAATATGCGATTTCGTAAATGATTTGTAGAAGGGGGAATGGTTTTGTTCAATCAGAGTTGGCGGCGGCACTCTCGGATGATGCTGTTGCTGCTGCAGCCTCTGGTGCCGGTGCTGGTGCTGCTGGTTCCTTTTCGCTGGTAGCCGATGGTGCAGACGATGTTGACGAGGAGGTGGGAGGAGCAGCAGCATTCTTGTCTTTTGGTTCATCCCAGCCCCAGAACGGAATAAAGCTGTCGACAATGCCGACATCTTCGAACAAGTTGGGGAAAATCCAGATACCGCGGGGAAGGACAATGATGGTGATGATGTACAGAATCAGTCGGATAATTGCAATGCCAAAGAATACGCCTAGAAGACCAAGGATACCGACACTGAGGTACCATACACCCAATCGCAATGTTTCTGGCCAAAGTGGGAACAGCACGGCTGCTAATACAACCGCTACTAAAGCCACAGCGCCCAAGTATAATTTCAGTTGCGAGCCTTCCCAGATCCACATGTAATACCCATCGTCTTTGAGTTCTTGTTGTGGGTTGGGCTGCAGTACACGTGCAGAGCCTTTACCACCAATAGGATCGCCACGGTTCACTCGTAAAATGAAGCCATATTTGCCCATATCATTCATCACCTTGAGCGCGTCTTCACGAGTTGCCACTGCTTCACGATCTTTTGGGATCACTTTGGCGAATTCCTCCTTTAACAATGCGTTGAGGCCGCCTTTGCCTAAGTGACACAATTGACGACTCCAATTGATGAGCTGTCTCAATCCTTGCACCCTACCCATCCTTCCTTGCTTGTTTTTGTTGCACTTTCTAGTAAACAAAGAGAACTTACCTTTGAAATATTCGACACGCTTTCCGTTAAAGACGCCCTGCCGCAATTTCAAGCCGGATTTCTTTGTGTCTCGTAAAAAGTCGGCAGTCGCTTTGTAGAAAGGAGGTGCCGTTTTAGCATCGGCGATTCGAATTGTTTGCTGCGGTCCGTGTGAGTGACTCATTTTTTTTCAAAAAAAAAAAATAAACGAAAGAGAAAGGTTGATGTGCCTGTGGCAGATGGAAAAGAGAGGTAAAAATAAAAACGAGCTCTTTTCTTTTCTTGGGTCCGTGGACCTTACTCCCTATGATCCGGGTTGAAAAACAGCCAATCAGCGTAAGCCAATGCATATTTTTCAGCTGATAAGTCGCGTCAGCTTTTGCTAATAATAACTATGCTTTTTATTTTGGTAAGTATCTGATAGTACCGGCCTTCAGTCTTATATACCTGTCCGAGCTTATTTGATCAATCAAATACTTATTTCGAGTGCACGCGATCCCCAATCCTTGTAGAAAAAGGTACAGAAGTGTCAAAAAATTTTAATAACTGGAAGCGTTGTAGTACAAATAAGTATTTTAAAAGAAAGGCGAACTTTTCTCCAAGTTCTTAATGTTGGTGAAACCAGTTTGCTACTCTGCAATGCAGCTTGCAGATATTTCAGTATTAATTAATTAACGAAGCCACCGTTCTATCATTGTTATTGCCAGTGCATTATGTAACCTGGAACGACTGATTTGCATCGGTGGCTAGCATTAGCAACCGTCAGTACTTCAATGAAGATGAAGTAGGCTCTAGAATAATCAGCAGAGTACGACGACAGCACTACGTATCAAGGGAACCAAATACCTGTGTACATGAAATGATATCCATGATAAAAGATGCTTCTAATAACATGGTAATGTTGCGGCGGATGTAAAAGGACAGCGTTTTTGGTAGCTGTGATGGATATGTAGGAAAAAGGACTAGGCATGGAAGAATATACATATAAATTCAATGTTATCATAGAAAGAATAGATAATATTGAGGGAAACAATGAACAACAAGTAATAATATCGTGTATCATACCATAACGACGTTACAGTATTACACTTGTCGGTAGTATCTACTACAGAGTTTTAATGTCTAATTGACGCAGCAGCGCCGCCATCATCATTATAACTACCTGCTCTGTCTATGATATCGATAACATTCTTGTCCACAATTGCTGCACGTAGAAAATCTACTGTCTCGCTTATGTTGACAACACCCTTGCAATTCCAACTCCTTTACTACCTTTGTTTTCGGCATGCAACAGCAGATAATTAAATTTACCGTACACGTGTGAGACTAGACGTGCGGATATCTGTTCTCCTGTATATTTCGCTTCTGCTTTGCGTACACCAGTGAGACAGAGACCGGCCATCATCTTTGTAACGTGCTCATACCTGCTTTTGTTTTCGTGAATCAACAGCAAGAGCAGCTCTTGTTTTTATAATGTCTAGCCAAAACATGATGAATGTGCTGTCTGGGACTGCTGACATATACAGTAACATCTTGGTTTGCGAAAACGTAAGGTGCACACGCTAAATCGATAAGATGTTCTCAAACCATTGGTAACACTTATTAGATCGTGATGCTTTTGCAAAAAAAAAAAAACCAATGCCACGACATAGATAACGAAGTTATATACAGTGTCATATAATAGCAGCATGCGAAGGATAATACAGTATCTGATCAAAAGCAAAACTTATACAGTACTACATACATATTTCTTATACATTCTTCTTCAGATGACAGGATTCTAAAGTGAAAATTCTCATCAGGCTCAGAACAAGATACAGAATTAGAACAAGAAAAGTATAGCTTACTTCTGGCAATACTCCAGAAATAATTCTATTTACCAAAGGCACTAGGAGAGTAATATATAGCAGGTTGAATAAGTAAAATGTATATCTTACTGTATGTAGACGAAAAAAGGGAAATGGACGGAAAAGAAAAATGGTTGATTAAATTATTAGAAAAAACGAAGATTGCTCATGTCCAATCTTTGCCAAAAGTAGGCGCTCTCAAGTATATTCGGATATATATTACATTTTATGATATGTCAGTGTTGATAGTGATAAGCGAGCTTTATTAACACATCAACAATCAATAACGGATAGTTTAACGAGAAGCAAAGAAAAGGAAAGCAAAGTGTGGATATTATTACGGTTATTAGTATGCTAAGATAGCGATGCAAGCGAGTATTACGATAAGCCGTATTCTAAATTATTCCTTGGTTAAGCTCTTTAACACATTGTTATGACTTAGCATGGTCTGTATCTCGTCTCTCAGTGCTGTTGCCGATATTATTCCTTTTAGATTTTCTTTGTTTCGGATCTTCCTTCTCGACACTTCTCTCTCCTTTTGCCGTCTATTACGATTATCTCGATTGATCGGGCGAAAACAGTAGCAGGCATTGGTTTTCATACAAAGAAATATGTATTAAGACTTGATAAATAGTTTAACTGGAATTGTATTATCAAACTTTCCATTTTGTGGAACTCACTCAAGGAGATCTGGTATGTATTGTTTAAGTAGGCTTCAGATACACACGTATGCAATAAGTGTATACTAATGATGGTCAGCAATGATATTTCTGTCGTTAATAATATGTTTGTCTGCTATGAGATTTATAGTTCTTCCCTATCGTGCAATGTATGGTATGGTATATACAACAGCTGACGATAACTCTTCTACTTCTTGGATTGTCTATATACTTGTTATGCGCGTGCAGTGTGTGGGGGGTGAGGAAAGCAGAAAGAGGAATATTTCTTTGTCAAACTATTTTATCTTATGGCGCCACGTGCCCCGTGATCTGCGCACAGCTGCGCAAAGGATAAAACATATGTGATAATGGTAAGTTGACAACACATTTGCATACCTGTTGTCATGAATGCAAAAAGCATAGACTATCATTGATAGGAACACCATGCCCCTCACCCCCTAAATTTTTTCTCAGGGGGTTGCTTGATGGAAGGTCTGAGGTAGAAATATGACGACAAGGACCGGAGATCAGACAATACCAGTTAGAGATGGAAGCATGTCAGTTGGAATAAGGATAATTCTTATTATTACACAGCACTTTTGATAACGATGATGGTTGTCGGCGGGAATTTCTCGAAAGAATGTCCCTGCCAGAAGGAAAAGAGAGAAAATAGAAGAAATACAGATTTGTGTATTGTGTGCGATTTTGCAAAGTGGCCCAACATCCAGTCTGGTGAGAAATTCCTCACTCGGTAGTCGCAAATACAACAGCAAACCCATTCCCAGCAATCGCTTTAAATATAAGATGATCTTCGTAGCTTTAATGACTATTGTCCTCTCTATTATCCTCTATAGCATCTCTTCCATCCACAACACTCTCCTGTCGTCGGATATACCCTAGCTACTACCTATCAACAACTACTGCTAGTACCCTTACCTTTCATTACAAATCACATCCCTGTATATCATGCGCTTTACCCTTACCGCCATCGCAACGGCCGCTTTGCTCGCCCAAGTTAATGCTCAATCATCATCTGCTTCCGCTTCGGCTTCTTCTGCTGCAGCTCCCATGTCGTCAGCTTCCGCCAGCGGCATCTATGGTGCATCCGTAAGCGCTGTTAGACAAGCCGCCTCGTCGGCTTCAGCCTCTTCTGCTGCCGCATCATCCGCCTCAGCATCCGTCCACATGAACGAGCGTCGCGACATTATTGACTTTTTCGAGAACTTGATCTTTGGCGACGAGGATAAGGAAGTCGAGGCTAGCAGCAGTGCTTTCGTCCCCGTTGCTTCGTCGAGCGCTGCCGTCCCCGTTGCTTCGTCGAGTGCAGCCGTCCCCGCCGCATCCGTCTCAGCTCCTTCGATGCAGAAGCGCGCAAACGATGCCGAATACAGCCAATTCTTGGCTGATGTCTCTGCTGGTATCAACTCTGCTAGCTCTGCTATCATGCAATCTGCCTCGTCCATGTACAAAATGCCTGCCTCCGCTTCTGTTCCTGCTGTGAGCGTTTCAGCTTCTGAGGCTCCTGCTGCTGCTTCATCCTCAGCTTTCTATAAGCGTCAAGAACCATCTTCCGCATCTGCCTCGTTCTCTGCTGCTTCGTCTGGTGCTTCATCTGCCGCTGCTCCCTCATCCGCTGTATACAAGGCTGCTGAGGTATCTTCCGCATCTGCTTCGGCCTCTGTTTCCAGCGCTCCATCATCCGCTATGTACAAGCGTCAAGAACCCTCGTCCGCATCCGCCTCGTTCTCTGCTGCTTCATCTGGCGCTCCCTCATCCGCTGTATACAAGGCTGCTGAGGCATCCTCCGCATCCGCCTCGGCCTCTGCTTCCAGCGCTCCATCATCCGCTATGTACAAGCGTCAAGAGCCCTCGTCCGCATCCGCCTCGTTCTCTGCTGCTTCGTCTGGTGCTTCATCTGCTGCCGCTTCCTCCTCTGCTGTCTACAAGGCTGCTGAGGTATCTTCCGCATCTGCTTCGGCCTCTGTTTCCAGCGCTCCATCATCCGCTATGTACAAGCGTCAAGAACCCTCATCTGCATCTGCCTCGTTCTCTGCTGCTTCGTCTGGTGCTTCATCTGCTGCCGCTTCCTCCTCTGCTGTCTACAAGGCTGCTGAGGCATCTTCCGCATCTGCTTCGGCCTCTATTTCTAGTGCTCCATCATCCGCTATGTACAAGCGTCAAGAACCTTCGTCCGCATCTGCCTCGTTCTCTGCTGCTTCGTCTGGTGCTTCATCTGCTGCCGCTTCCTCCTCTGCTGTCTACAAGGCTGCTGAGGCATCTTCCGCATCTGCTTCGGCCTCTGTTTCTAGTGCTCCATCATCCGCTATGTACAAGCGTCAAGAGCCCTCGTCCGCATCTGCCTCGTTCTCTGCTGCTTCATCTGGCGCTCCCTCATCCGCTGTATACAAGGCTGCCCAGGCTTCCTCTGCTTCAGCTTCATCGGCTGCCGCTCGCATGTCTGTCTCTGCTCCCATGTCTGTCTCTGCTCCCATGTCTGCCTCCGCTCCCATGTCTGCTTCGACGGCCGCTGTCCGCAAAGCATCAGGCTCTGCTTCTGCTGCTGCCCGCCAATCTGGTTATCCCGTCGTCATTGTAGAGGAACAGGTTTTGGTTGGTGATGAAAGTCTCTTTGCTGACGGTCAGGCTGAACAGTACTGGGTTGGTGACGATTATGCCGAGAAGGAATACAAGGGCTTTGGCTGGAAGAACTACCAATAAGTCCCCCGCTTATCTAAAGTTACTCCATATTTTACTTTTTTTTTCTTCCTAAAATGACATTTTCAATTCACCACACACAAGAAAATTACAAGGCTATCTACTACTAATTTTTTCATTTTGTAACCTTTTTTTACCTCTTGAATAATCTCAACAGCAATTTCAAAAAGTCTTCTAGTACACTTGTAAATTTTTGCTCTTTTTCTATTTGGTTTTTTTTCCTTTCAAATTCTATTTTCTTTTCGGGTTTTTACTTAATAAAACGTTCCATTTTGTTCCAAGCACAAGCTATAAAAACTATTACCAGCAAGCTATGAAAATTTATATGAAGCCAAGCGCAGTTGAGCTAAGAAAGTGGTAATAATCTCTTGGTCAAAAGATTCAAGTGATAAACAAGAGCATGATATTCCTCACTTTATAGCAACATGCTGGTTCCTGAAATTATAAGCTGATTTTTTGTGTTCTATATCGTTTAGCGAATTCAGCTTAATTTTCACGTGAGTGACATAAGACCAGACGTCTCCGAGTATGGTAGTATTTGTGTTACGGGTCATATAAATAAACTTTTGGCGAAAGACTCTCCATATCTCAAATTCAACATCATCTTCTTTTCATCATAACCATGGTAGCACTCTGGCACATAGAAACAGCTTTTATTCTGTGGTTTGGTTGCACGATTGTTAAAAGGGCAACGTCTCCATTGACACCAAGTGCTTAATCTTCCTTTTGGTGTGACAGTAGAAAAGTATCTTCCTAAACGAGTATATAAAGTATTACCCTTCGATCCTTGAAATATAAGTCCATGTTTGCATCCTTCTTTCTCCCTTCTTTTGACTCTCTCCCCACCTTCTTTAATAAAAACAAATGGACACACATGTGGTTACCCCGCAGCATCAGCTAGGGCCTATCAGCGACGAGCAACAGCAACAAGTACCAGCACCAACCAAAGACGCTCTCGCTCCTCTGACCGATGAAGACATGTGGAAAGACATAGCCTCCATAAGCAGCCATTCTGATACAACGATAACAAGCGCTTCCTCAACAAACTCCTCGTTGACCTCTTCAAACAGCAAACCTCTACCTCCACCTCTCAATGAAGAATTACCGCCATCCAAACGCCAACTGATTGCTGGCCACCTGCGGTCCATCATCATTGCCTTTCTCCGATGGGCAAGCAAGGGCAACAATTGGGCCCTGATCATTAACCTGTTGCACCACCTGTGGGGTGCACGCAAACTCGTCTTTAACAAAAAGTACTATTACCGAACACTCAAAGAAACACAGCCTATTGCTCGTGATGCCGTGCATGCTTCCGTCGGTGCTATGCATCTCACTTTTGCAACTTTGACCGGACTCGCAATGAAGCATCGCCGACTGTCAACCGACCGATCCACACTGTTGGTATTGACCTTGGCCGCCATTGGCCAAGCCTGGGCTTATGCTGTAGCCTTTTGGAATTCTGGAGCCAAGTACACGATCCGTGGATTGCGGCACTCGGGGGCTCTTGATGCAGTTGTATTTGCTGTTTCTAGTATAGCATTTTCCAAAACCGTACGGCGTTCAGGGCGATTATTATAAATTTAAAAAGAGGTACCAACTTGTCTTATCCTAACCCATTCTTTCTCCCTTTTACCTAAACCCATCCCTCGCTCTCTCTCTCTCTCTTTCCTCTCTCCCGCGTTGTTTTTCATTGCTCCTTTTAAACATACAACAAACCATCATCATCCTATAGTCTACGAGTATTGTTTTTACATCATTTTACCTTTACATTTGCAAAGCTAAATATACCCTCCTTCACATGCGAAGAAAAAAATATCAACTGTGTAGCATGCATAGTTTCAGATGATGGTTTTTCAGCTGCAACAAGTAGATTTTTATCATGACCACCGTTTACATATAGCTCACAAAAGATAAACAAAGAAGGGCTGTAGTAGTGGTGACATTAGAAGAAGTTTGTACCTGGTGATGGCCACAGGAAAAAAGACAACCATTGATACATCACTGTAAACTGGCAACAGTGGATAGCAGCTCTATTCCACACATATTGGTTTGGAAAAACGTGTATATCATATTACTATATGGTATGTAATAAAACTACATAGAAAAGCTTAAAAAACTATTAACACGCAAAATATTAAGCAAAAAAGCGGTTAAGCGATATCATGTACAGCTGTATATATCTTTTGGCTGAATTACACAGCGCATTACTTGCAGAAATGGAAATAATCATGCAAGCCGGAATTCATTCCGCATAAAGTGTGTTACTGGACGTATTTTAATATCACAGCCAAGTAAACTGGATACATCTTGTAACTGGTTTATTGATAATGATGTTTTTGTGCATTATATCAGTTAGCAAATTTTAAATATTCGAGGGTATGTATAAATGTGGTAAATGCTATTTTACGCAGTAGCAAGTGACATGGCTAATATTCCAGTAGCTGTGGCAAATGCAAAAATAACGAGTGACGCTTCGACAATAAGGACGAGGGACGGGATGGATTCAGTGCGGTAGCCACTGTCACTTCTGCTGCTGCCGGTCCTGCTGCTGCCACCACCTCCGCCACCACCACCGCCACCGCCACCGCCACCACTTCGACCGCAACACATTGTTGTTAGAGGGAACAGGTATAGATGATTTTGGAGTGTAAGTCAAGTAGATTGTATAGAATAAAGCAATTGTAGGAGGCCTGAACTGTTGAGTTAGACTCGTTGTTCTAGCAAGTTAAGAGTATTTATACTTTTTCTCGCAAAGATAAATTGTGTTGCCAACGACAACGGACTCGTAAACATGAAAAAAGAACAATGACACCTATGTTACCCCACATATAATCGTATTGTCTTTGACATATAAAGGTGTGTGCTTGTTGTCAACTGGGGATATCTATGATTTAGTGTACTGTATAATGTCGTTATTAGCGATATGTTGGCAATTGATCTTAAGCGAAAATATTTCTTTTATTATAATAATCGCATTTTAGTTTACTCAATCATAACTGATACCATGACATGTTTATGTTCGTTTTTCTTATTCTTTTCTTTTTTAACACACGTAGATTCGTCCCGGCGTATAATAACCTTTGTACGCGAGTCTCTAGAAAAGCAAGGTGACGAGCAAGCTGGTTTTGCCGGCTTCTGCTGGGTGGCAAAGGCAAAAAACAGTTGAACGAAACGAAAAACAACAGCGGGAAAGGCAAACGCTAAATTCTCCTGGCATATGTATAATATAGTATATTATAAGACTTGCTGTTCAAGTGACAGAAGAAGGTCCTTCCTTTGCTGGCTCCGCTCTTATCCATCTTATGCTGTCGAAGTCAAGGACGCTGAAGCCGCTACTTCACCCATCTTGGCTATTCCTACCATGGATGAACCTGATATGATATATAACAGTCTATCTGCTTAGTATGATGATATCACTTATATAAACCACCGTATCCTCCATTTCTTTTCTGACTGAGTATATGAGCGTATTATCAAAGAAATCATTGGTGCCAAGTGCAAGCATTACCGATTTGGTGATATGTCTATTACTACTGAATATCAGTAACCATCATAGCATCGTTCAAAATTTGGGCATTTTGAACATAATACCAATGTTTCTTGTTCGAAAAGTTCTCTGTGCTGCTCGTGGGGACTTGAGAGTATCAAGAAGCGAGCAAGTGAAGCTCTCATTTATGAATTCTTAGAGCAAGTCCAGCGGACTCGCCTAAGGAACTTGTAAAATCAAAAGAGGTATCGTCGGACACATTGTCTGTCAAAGTTGACAGACTTTGATAGACTCGCTAAAGATTTTTCTTGTGAGTCAGCTATTGCTGATAGCAATAGCGGACCGCTGTAAAATTTGACTCACCAAAAAGAATAATTGGGATAGCGAGTGGTGAAAAATGTGTGTACAGCTTGATATGTAGCCTTCCTTTGTATAGAATACCTTGGTATCTTTTCTCTGTGAATAGTTTGAAAATAAACTATGTTATAGTAAACTCAACCATACAAAAAGCGAGCCTGCTGAGCAAAGTCAGCAAATATCGTAGACCGAATATGCGAAAACAAACATTATACATATTTATTAGAAGGAATTGATGTCCTTTGCTGTAGGATGCAGTATCTTATGACAGCGAACGAGCTTCCCTTCTTGGAATAAAATATCAGTATGGTAGCCCATGTATGTTAACGTGCAGGTGAATAGCGAACCATGCCTCCAAATTGGGCTGTCACGAGAGCAAACCTCATGCCGCCCACGAAAGATTCGGGCAAGAAAGAGAATAACGCGGTCGGCCTTTCGATCCCGAAAATCAAAGCAAAACGCGCCTTTTCCTTTACACGTTATCCTGACCTCTTTTTTTTTGTCCTCCTTTTTCAACGCGGTCCACCATAAAAACAATGCGAGATAGTTACAATGTTCGCATATTAGGCCAGTCGCTTTATGATAAAGTCGCTTCAAGTCGCGTACTAATGGTGGGTGCTGGCGGCATTGGTTGTGAACTTTTAAAGAATCTCGTCTTGTCAGGATTCAAGCACATTGAAATCGTAAGAGTTCCTTTTTTTTTGACAACGCCAAAACTAGTCTATACCCTTTTTTTATTGTGGTTATTTAGCTTGAACTTGGGTCTATTAAAACTACCTTTGCTCACACTATTAATAAGGAAATGAGGAATAACAGACAGTACTAACTAACCCCCCCCCCTCTATCCTTAGATTGATTTGGACACGATTGACATTTCCAACCTGAATCGACAGTTTCTGTTCCAAAAACAACACGTGAAAAAATCGAAAGCTCATGTAAGAGAGCATAGAGTTGGGCGTCGTCAGTGAGGATTTATTGGAGGAGGGGAGGGGTCCACTAAAAAGCAAGTTTTATCCTAATTGACATGCGAACACTATGCGATATGCAATAGGTAGCAAAAGAATCAGCACTCAGGTTCAATCCTTCTGTCGATATTGTGTCACATCAAGCAAACATCAAAGATCCACAGTTTAATGTCACTTGGTTCTCTCGGTTTACCATTGTCTTTAACGCGCTAGATAATTTGGGTTCGTAAAAATGAAAAGAAGGTGGTGGGTGGAAATTGCAAGTGAAAGGGTTTGCTAAGTCTATCTGTTTGATATCAATAGAGGCACGCCGACATGTCAACCAGATGTGCTTGTTCGCCAACATTCCCTTGGTTGAATCAGGCACAACGGGTTACCTTGGTCAAGCTTATGTCATTAGAAAGGTAAAAATTCCCCATTTATGAGTTAGGATGAGAGTGGGGGGCAGTACATACTGACAAGATTTCATTTTATGATGATTCTCTAGGATGTCACTGAATGCTTTGACTGTGAACCAAAACCGACGCCAACTACATACCCCGTTTGCACTATCCGCAGCACGCCTAGTCAACCTATACATTGCATTGTTTGGGCAAAAAGTTATCTATTCAGGTAAAATCATACGCAACTTATAGAGTAGCTGTACTTTCGAGAAATATTATAAGCTGATGTTTGTTTGTCATAGTCAACTGTTTGGTAACTCTGAAGAAGAGGATGAGGATTTGCAAGTCAAAGACTCCGACAAGGAAAATGGTATGGGACTATTAGCTTGGGTTGATTGCTACGACCTTTGCATGAAACGAACAAAGAAGGATAAAGTGACTTAAAAAAAGTATACGCATTGGCATGAATACATTAGCTCAAGAACTCGAAGCACTGGCACGGGAAACCGGGGAATTAAAGGCAATCAAAGCAGCCATGGGAACCGATGAATATGCCCAAAAGGTGTTTGACAAGGTGTTTACATCCGATATTGAGCGACTTTTGTCCATGAAAGAGATGTGGAAAACCAGAGAAAAACCGGTACCGCTTTCGTACAGCGCTATTGAAAAAGAGAGCCATAATGACTCGACTGAAACAGCCCAGAGTGGATTGAAGGACCAACGAGTATGGAATGTCAAGGAGTGTGTTGGGATGTTCAAAGACAGGTAACAATATATAGTATATATACGTGGTAAGTTTAAGGTTAATCAACTATAAATGTATATAGCATCGAGAGATTATCCACACGACTACTGGAGCTGAAAGAAAAGACCAGTGATGCCATCTTATCATTTGATAAAGATGACGATGATGCATTGGACTTCGTCACTGCCACAGCAAATCTTCGTGCACATATCTTTGGAATCCAGGAAAAGAGCAGATTTGAAGTAAAATGTAAGTGTGTAAACTAGATAGTAGAGCAGAATACATGGAAGAAATTGACGTCTTTCTTTTTTTTTCCCTCCAAATCAGCTATGGCGGGCAACATCATTCCTGCTATTGCAACCACCAATGCAATCATCGCTGGTATTGCTGTGATGAAAGGATTTGCTGTGCTCCGCGGTCATGTCGAGACAATCAAACGGGTAAGGGAATGTGTCTGACGTGGAAAAACAAAGAAGAAGGTTTTCTAAGTGGACGTGGTCCTTTTTTAGACATACTTGACAACAGTGGGCCGTCAGCGCCCGTTGCTTATGCTGGAAGATCCACCCAAACCGAATCCAGAGTGCAAGGTGTGCCAAACAGTGAGTGCAACAGTAACTGTTGACTTTGAGCGGGCCAAGTTGAGCGATCTTTTGGAGACGGCCATTGTCAAGGGTGCCAGTCTCGACGCTGAAGAAGTAACAATGATGAATGGAAACAAGTAAGACAATGAACGGTTGTATCTAAAAATATTTTTTTTTACAAAACACACTAAAGAAATGACGTGCAGGATTGTTTACGATGTCGATCTAGACGACAATCTGCAAACACTGCTGACGGATTTAGGCATACACGCGGGCACGATCCTTCGAGTGGCATCGGATGATGACGATGAAATTGACTTGGTGCTGCAGGGACTGTATGTATATATACAACCAGTTGTTTTTGATCATTATGGATTGCTTGCTAATACGACCACGCTATATTAGCGATGAGGAGAACATAGATGCTGCTGCTGCTGCTGCTGTGCCTGCTGTTCAGCTTGTCGGAGGACCTATTCAGAAGAGGGTGAAAAAGAAGGTGACACCCGCAGCGGGTGGTGAAAAGCGTCCACTGCCCGACGACGAGGGTGAACCAGTAGAAGCAAGCTCTAGCAAACGGTCGAAACTGGAACAACAGCAGCAAGTGGTGGTGATTGATGACGACGACACGATCGTGCTGGACTGAGCACAAGGAAAGAAAGAGAGAGAGAGAGACACGTGGCCACGCCTCACAGGAAAGAGCTTCTTTATGCAGCATGAGAAAGGATTAATTTCATTACTCACACCCATTGGACTCCCACACACGCACATTTATCATGTACACACACACACACCCGCTCCCTTTTCTTTCTCTTCTTTCTTTCCTCTGCCTTTACTGCCTCTTCTCTCTTCCCCCAAATCCTCTCCCTCCTCTGTTTTCTATCCATTAAAAAAGCATAAATGATTGGCATCCAACTCCATAACAAACGAATCCGTGACGAAGAAGAGGAAGGTCGACGCAAACTCAAGCGACGTTCAAGCGCCCATTCGGCACAGACACCCGTCCATGATTTCACACTGAAAGCATACATAAATCAGCATGATATTGTAGACTTGCAGCTGTCCCAAATTCTTGTCGATTTCCAGTGTGTCGTATTGTTTTGCTACGCGCATGATTTGTGAGTTTCTTTTTCTCTCTCTCTCTTGTCCACATACTGAATACACGCACAGACACGCAAGAAAGTTTTTTAAACGTAGACTCTTTATTTTTTTTCTTATATAAATGTCATATAAGCACACCACAAGCACAACAAGATCTCCGGTTGATTGAGTATGTTCCACTGACAACTTGCAATCTTGGAAATTGCGCGCAAGCTGAAACAAAACTAGATTTGCGATCGGAATTGGATCTGCTAAACATGGGCATACTTTTATTAGAGAATGTGTAGAGACTTTGATAAATTTACAAGCAGCACCGCTGGCCATGTCAACGGACCACCCGCACGTCCACCGTGCGTTTGCCAATTTCCCTTCGGGATTACAGTTCACGCCGAGGTTTCCGATGGGTAAACATGGCCGAATTCCCACCCCACATATATACACACACTCACACACTCTCTCTCACATAAGCTACACCAACACAGCGGCCACATAACTAAACTGGTTCGTCATTAGTGTCAGACAGTGTCCGCTTGGTGTCGAGCCACTTGGGAATCCTCGACCATGAGCAAGGCTGCGCAAAACGGTATATACAAGTGATGAAAAGCAGCAGATCAAAGGGACTCAAATGTGATTAAATAGGTCAGTGTTCATCATTGATTCGTTGCGAAACGTACACCACACCATTCATTTGCAAGAACACGAAGCTCTTCCTATGGAGACCATCATTACCAAGGTAAAACGTCCTTTCCCCCCCTATAACTAGCATGGTGCCTATGGGAAAAAACAACAACAACAACATCACTAAATTACCGGACAGGCTGCTCTGTTGTCAAATACGATGCTGAAGTCAGAGGCAGCCTACATTAGTTAGGTGCGCACATCTGTTTCATTACAAAGAACCTCGTTACCTCTTTCGCTCTTTCTGTTATAAAATGCTCATCTTCTACCGATCCAACACCGACAAAAAGCACATACCCACGATTACCCTAGCCGTTGTGCAACATTCCACTTTTCATGCATCACACTTGTACCACCTCAACTTTACCATTGCGTAATACAACTTCTCAGTCTTTGCGTACTGCTTTTTCCCAATACTATAATGCGTGCTGTGTGGGAGATAGACGACGTGGCTTTTTGTGTATTGGGCTATTATTACCGTGCTTGAGGGTCTACAACATACAACTTGTGTATATTTTTATATATATGGCTGCTTTACAGATATGTTATGGATACAAAGAATGGTCGTGGGATATCACATATGAATATGAGAAGAAGAGGGCACTATTAAACGTGAGGCGAATATCTATCAACGCGCACTGTCGTGGCTATGCATTTTGGCTTTTAATTGTCCTTCTGCTCGTCAAGTTCATTATCCCATTTGTTTGGGAATCATCCGGGGCTGACAAGAGAATAGCTTGTTGATACCAACTTTCCCTCAGTTGAAATACTAGTACATAAGAGTGCTGTCGACTTGAGCTAGAGGCAGTGGTCTTTGGGTTCTTCCAAAAGATACAAATTGCCGTCTGTTGTCTTTCGGACACCTGAAACGGTCTTCCAAGACTCTGTGAGGTCTCAAAAGGCACAAACGATCATCTGAAATGTTTGGATGTTGATTTTCAAACACGATATATTTGCAATATATAACAGGCCTTTTCTATCCAGCGATCTGTACGCTTGGCTATGATGATCTTGAAAGAAAAACACACTAGTAGGATTAAAGTGCATGTGAACGTCCATCGATCCAAGCAGGCTCTTTTTTCTTTCTCCTCGAATAGGTTGCTTTGAACTAAGAAAGAGAATAGAAAAGTAAAATAGCTACATAGCAAAGAGTGGGCGTGATTGAAGAAAAATATACACTGCGAAAGTTATGAGATTCAACCACTTTTGAAGGTGCTATGATAAATGTGCCAACGATGGTAAACACATGATTTTCAGTCATGGTTGAAAAGTGATATAGTGATACATTATCCATACATCTTGTTCCGCCAAAAGTAATTCCAACTACTTTATTTTATGAAGCAAAATATGATGTATCTCGGCTTGCCATGTAGTAAATCACTGTACGATGATGATGTAGCAGCAGGCTGTTGCTTTGCCCTCAAAAACATGTAAAGGGGGATATGATAGCAACAGTGACCCTTATGCGTTCCGCAAAAAAAGAAAACAAACTATTAAAGTGTGTGCGCGTCGCAGACCATGTTTCGCATGTGTGTAAGTTAATCAAGGTAGTGCGCAGCTACTGAATTGAGTGACATAATACCGATGGCATGGCGGCTGTATATCGTTTGTATCAGTAATACCACGTGGGTATATAAGAAATCGCGCTACAAACTTCGATCCGCCATGGAGAGGTTTTTTGAGCACCACTATTATACCGCGAACGACGATCCGTGGTATGTATGTAGTAGAGCTTTGGTCCGACCACAATTAACACACAGACATATCACAGACTAGTAATGTCCACAGTACACAGTATTTTCCCATTCTATCGATTCATGAGTTATCTCACCTAGTATCTAAAAGAAAGGAAATCATACAAAGTTATAGAAATACTCCTCATTGTACATATCACCAACGTAGAGAATGTCAAGATACATATGTATCTCAGAAGGAGCATATTATAAGGCTATATGATACACTTACTGTAGCAGTAATCATCTACCTAGTATATGAGGAACATTGTCGTATCAGAAAAGATCCACCAGCGGTATAGTACAAAGAGACGTTATCCATGATTACTTCAAAAGAAAAACATGATATTTATTCGTTGCTTTCTTAATAAATAACAACGTACGGAAGAAAAGGAAGAACTAGAGTGGGATGAGAAAAGATTTGATATGCAAAGACGGAAGAAGGAAGAAAGAAAAAGGATGAGGAATTAGTTTGTGTATGCTGATTTTGCTGGGTGTTTTAAGAGAGGGATCGTTGTGGTGCTTTTAACTTTGAAGGGAGACCGAGGAGCGATAGAGAGAGAGTGAGTGTGTGTGTGTGCGTGTGTCATTGATAGGAGAGGATGGCAAGGGGACGATGAGGGAGAAGTCAAAACAAAGTTTATTATGCGGCCGGCGCACTGTGTCCACTGATGAATCCTGAGCAGATCAGATCCTCTTCGTTCATGGTCAAAGGAGATGATCCTGGCGACCATAAGCAGACTCGGAATAACAGTCGTCGTAATCGCTCATGTGAATTTCGGCAGCCAGCTATAAAAAAAAAGAGAGAGAGAGGTTAATTATTTGTATAATAACCAGGCATGCAAAAGTGACCAAGAAGCATACCTAAAGCTGCACGTTCAAACCAAATGCTTGCTTGATGCAGGTCCACGGCACAGCCAAGACCCCGTTCGTAGCAATTGGCAAGATGGTATTGTGCGGCCACATGATCTTGTTCAGCCGCCCGTTTAAATAAGTCGAATGCGGCACCAAGGTCCTTTTCGATTCCCGTGCCGTTTTGCAGATGGACGCCCAGTTTGTCGAGCGCTCGAGCGTGGTTCTGGTGTGCTGCGTGCTGGTACCAATACACGGCCTTACGGTCGTCCTTTTCAACTCCAATTCCATTGGCATAACCTATTTAAGTCATCAACATGGTTAGACTCAATCGATTCCTTAGGGCGTATGGGGAGCGCGGAGGTGTTCTCTCAATATATAGAGTCCATCCCCTTTCTCACTTACAAAAGCCAAGGTTGCACTGCGCCCATGGATTCTTTTGACGGGCTGATTTGTGGTACCAGTACACTGCGCGTGCTGGATCCTTCTTGAGTCCCAATCCTTCTTCGTAGCAGTAGCCCAGCGAGTTTTGCGCAAGCGCATTGCCCTGTTCGGCTGATCGTCTGAACCACTTGACAGCTTCATGTTCGTTTTTGGGTAAGCCGATGCCGTTTCTATAGCAATAGCCCAGTGACAGTTGTGCAGGGGCATGGTTCTCCTCGGCACTGAGATAATACCAGAATACAGCCTCTTGCTCATTTGCAGTAACGCCAATACCGTTCTGATAACAGTAACTGTAACATTTTGAATTTACGTGTGTCAGTGATCCATCCTATGACATAGTGTTTTCTCTTTCATCCCAAAAGAACCCAGAAGAACCCAAAAGACAGAATACATACCCAAGCGAATGATAAGCAAAAATGTTACCACGTTCAGCCGAACGACGGTACCACTTGACAGCTTCTTGTTCGTTACGTTCAACGCCAATGCCATTCTGATAACAAAAGCCAAGATTATGCTGTGCACGGGCATGGCCTTGGACTGCTGCCTTGCGATACCAGTGAGCGCCCAGCGCATCGTCCTTGGTAATGCCAATGCCATTCTGAAAACAGTAGCCGAGATTACATTGAGCCCAAGGATAGCCTTGCTCGGCAGAACGTTGATACCAGATCGCAGCTTGCTTCAGATCTTGTTCGAGACCAATGCCGTCTTCATAACAGTATCTATTCAAAGATAATCCACTTCACAAGTTAATTTCTTCTTACAAAAAGAAAGCACACGATTGATTGTCGTCTTACCCAAGCGAGTTTTGTGCAAAGGCATTGCCCTGTTCTGCAGAGATGCGGTACCATTTGACAGCCTCCTTGACATCTTTTTCGACTCCTATGCCGTCTTCGTAACAATATCTGCAAGGATAAACACAAGAGAATGAGTATAACTGAGAGAAAGGGCAGTAAAGAGAAAAATTGGGGATCCACTAAAGATAGAAAAAAAAAAGGGGGGGCGAGACATACAAAAAATTAAAGCGTACGGGGATCTCCGTGAAAAAAAAAAAAAGAGACTTACCCAACGTTATAGATGGCAACAGTCTCACCTTGAGCAGCAGCAAGGCGATACCACTTCATGGCCTCGACATCGTCCTTGGCGACGCCAAAGCCTTCGCCATAACAATAACCAAGGATACCTTGACCACGGGCATTGCCCTGGTCAGCACTGGCCTTGTACCACCTAAAAGCGGCGAGTTCGTCTCTGGCCATGCCCACGCCGTCGTGATGGCAAACGCCCAGGGCATATTGAGCCGCAGCGTCATTGTCCAACGTGGCGGCCTCGACAATCCAAGAGACCGGGTTCGTGTGAGCAACACGACGGACCCGTTCGGCCCATTCCTCTGCCTCGGCACGATCAATGTTGACATGCGGACGACCGTATTTCCTTAAAAACGCCAAGCGGGCCATGGCAAGCCCATCCTGTTGTTTGGCTGCTTCGAGATAGTGGCGTTCGGACCGAATGAAATCACGGTCGACGCCCATGCCGAATTCGTAACAAAAGCCAAGCACGCCCTCGGCTTGGGCATGGCCGAGGGATGCTGCTCTTCGAAGATAGGTAATGGCCAGGGCAGGTGCTTTTGGATAGCCCCTTCGGCCGAACAAATGGTTGTTGGCGAGTTTGAAAATCAATCGAGCGGAATGGGAATAGTTGCTTTGTTTTGATGAATGAGCGGAGGCGATGGAGGTGGTTGTCGTGTTGGCGGTGGTGGCAGAGCGGGATTGCATGGTGGGTCGTTGTTCATTGGATTTGTCGTTGACAGTAGTAGTGGTGGAGGTTGTTGTTGTTGTTGTTGTTGTTGTTGTGGAGGAGGTCATTGCACTTCGGCTGGCGGAAGGTTGCGGTAGATTGGTGTTTGATTCCTTGTTGGTGTTTAGCTTTGAGAAAGCAAGTCTAGAGCGGGTTAATATGTGAGATAGAGGGACGGAAGGAGGAGACATGGGGAGGAGGAGGAAGAGGAAGAAGAAGAAGAAGTGAGAAAAAAAGGGACAGGAAGAGCAGAAGCCCAGTGTGTTAGATTCATAAAAATAATATTCGGTGTCACCTGCGAGCGGAACCATGGCCCTCCTCCCCCCCCCTCCTCTTTATTATATTTCATTCGCTCTTTCCTTTTTATCTTCTTCTCTGTCTCTCTTTCCCTTCCAATCAAACAAGTCAGGACGGATGATCCCCTTAAAACCTAACCCATCAGCAGTCAGGATGATTGACCATATCCGATCTGCTCTCAGGGCCTGTTTCAAAGGGAAGAGCAGCAGCAGCAGCTGTCGTCTGTCTGCGGCGACCATCGACTCCCTAGTCAAGGGTAATACGCTCGCTCTCTCTATGCTCCCATGTGCTGTTTTTAATACTTGGCAGATCTTGTGTTTGGTGCTAACAATAGCAAATTCTAAAATTTTCTAAAGCCGTTGTCGCCGTTGCTCTTGGTTTAAGGTAAAAAAGCAATAGAGAGCGAGTCAAATGAATCTTAAACTAGACCCCTTCTCTCTTCCTTTCCGTTTGGCGCCGACTCTTTTCTTTTCTGACTTTGGTTTCAGAGTTGCTCATCTTGTGGATGTTGCTCATCTCTCTTCCGACCAGATAAACCAATTGATTGCCCTATTGCGACAGGTACATGCTGTTTAAAACAAATGACGTGACTTGCTGTTTTTGGTACTAACCTACCTTTCCCCCCCCCCCGCACCCCTCACACTCACCTCTCAGGAACCGCAATGCCAGCCATTGCTAGTGTTACATTTCAAAGACCAGTACATGTTTCTATGTCATCGCCATGAACTGGTACAGCATGTGGAAGCCACGCTCAGTGATCCCAACCAATGGATATACGTCGATATCCGGGGAAGCCAAGGTCCCCCTGTTCAGGTAGTAGAATCGCTTCTCCAACACCCCCCGAACCCCCTCCGGAAGGTGTCGCTAATTAAAAAAATCACCCATAATTGCAACCACCCAAAAACAAACAATAAGCGGCCATGTCCCGAAATACTTTTATACTGGTTACGACATCGACTGCAGCCGTTTCTCATGCAAGGGCAAGATGATGCAGTGTTCTACTCGTCTGTGGTCCCAAGCTACATGGTGGCATTGACGGGCTGGCTGTTGGAATACCCCACGATATACATGACGCACATTGAAAGCGATACGACGGTCGACCAAGAGCTGGATGAGTGGGAAATGGTGCCCAACTGTTTGGGCGATCGGCGGCTCTCGTTGGTCCGCGTGTGGTTGCACGGCGCATCCTTTTGGCAGGACTACATGTTGCTTAGCTACACCTATCCGGAGCTAGTGATCGACGACGACGACGACGACCATGACGACGACGGAACAGTGGATCCGACGCGTAACCTTGGTTTTAAATTGCAAGCGAGACTGGAGCGCCGTCAACAACAGTATCAACAGCAGCAGCAGGTAGAAGGTGCTAATAACATCATCATGGACACTCGGCTGGAAATTGTCCATGAATATGTTACACTGGATAGGGTGGCGTTGTGAATTATGTTTTAGTCTATTTTAGCAGCAGTGTATATAGTGGCATCATTGTATGATGGTCCCTTCTTTCCTCTCTCTCTCTCTTGTGGTAGTAGTTTACTGTACATAACTGACCAGACCCAACCTGCAACTGAAGAAGAAAAAGGGTTTTATTATGATTATTAATTTTCTGTGTTCTCCCTTTTGTTAACTTTGTTGATGACGAGAAAAGGACCATTATGGATGACGACTAGAAATATGTATTAGAAGAAGGAAAGAAAAAGGAAGCATAGCTAAAGAAGACGAGGGCATGCAAATGGATTAAAGAAAGAAAGAAAGAAGGGAGGGAGGGAGGAAGGAAAGGATGCATACGTTATTTAAAGATCAGTCGGTACAAGAAGAGAAAAAGATGCGCAACTTTTTTTTGTTTGTTTGTAGAGTGTGTGTGTGGTATGTATGTATGTGATGATATGGAGATGAAGAAGAGTATGTAATGCAAGAAGAAGAAGATGAAGAAGATGATGATGGGGAGCAGCACTAACAAGAGTAGATCTTTGTTATGTGGGCTATGTAAGAACGAGAAAAAGAAATACATAGTATGTACGTCCTAATGCAAACTGAGATAATAGATATACTGTATATAAAGATAAGATGGGGGGCTGCACGGCTACGATGAGAAGGCACATCCCTCCCCCAAAACTCTTCTTGCTTGTCCGTGGATGCATTAGCGAGGACGGTGTCGTTTAGGGCAGTTCCAAGCAATATGTCCAGTGACACCACAGAAGGAGCACGCCGAGGTCTCAGTTTGATGATGGTTCGTTGGCAGAGGATTCATGGAGGTCGTGGATGACGAGGGGGACAAGACAACCGTGGGAGAAAAAAGAAAGCACAAAAAGGGCAAATGCGCTGTGGAGTAACAGAGTCTCGGAAGAAGATGCGTGCAAAGAGGTATGTAGTAGTGGGTGTATATATGAGGAAGGGAAGAAACGGTGGTTAAGAGTAAGAGTTAGCGAAGAGAGAAAGAAAAGGCAAGGAAAAGGTGGGTGACGATCTTATCTTATCAAGATGGTCTCTGCCAGTAAAAAGGGCGCTTTGGGAAGGATTTGCCTTTTGGCAAGGGCCCTTTTTATATATACACGCCTTCTTTGCAACAAACCATCAACAACGGACCAGCCACTCGAAATTTTGTTGATCCGGCCATCCAATCGCGCAACGTCCTTTGTGGATTTGCTGTCACTGCCCTCTCCCCACCCCCAAGCATGCCTACACCCTCTCATGTATAATAGAGAGCACACCCCCCCCCCCGGCCCATTGCTGAAAGTGAACCGCGGGATTGGTGAGAACCTTATCTTGCTCTACCAATTTGACCTTTTCGGAAACCCAAGGAGCCAAGAACGAGAGAGAGAGAGAGAGATTGTTTGCTGTTTCTCCACCTCGGAATGACAGCAACAACAGCGCGGGGTGCATAATATTGTTTTTTGTGTTCCATCCTTCTTCTATGTCTTAGTCGGCTTTACCCTTGGTTTGCAGCTGCCACATCGCCAACAAGTCCTAGAGTCTAATGCTTTCTCTACTAGGCAGGCCGAAACAAGGTTGCTAACCCGAGAAACAGAGAAACCGACGTCCAAGACAATGATGGTGCTAAAGTCAAACTGTTTTATTATCTTTTGGTGGCCCCTTCACCTGAACCTTGTTCTCACGCAAGGGATCAAACTCTTCCGGGTTAACAAACAAACACACTCACGATACACAAGGAAAGAAAGAGCGACGGCTGTTGTGTTGGTCTACGACCACCAAACGCGTGGTCGCGTCCTCTCTAATACCCTTTGCATCACCGCCAAAAAATAAAAAATAAAACAATGGGTGACTTTGAGCAAAAGAGCATGAGTACCAACTGCCAAGATATTCACAAGGGAGTAGCGACTGAATTGATTTGCTAGGTAGTAAACCGTGTGCAAATAGAAAGTCAGGCCAGCTTGTGTCAGCCACAAGTTTAATAACAAATGGTTGTTGCTGTAAAACACAATGCGACAACACATTATGCAAATGATGATAGCAATGATGATGATGATCAGCATCACATTAGACAGATAAAGCAACGTGGAGCAAACTATTAACTTCTGGTAGCCGTTCCTTTGCTCGTTTCGTGGCGAATGGGGAGTCATCAATTTTTTGTCTGCTAACCGGCCCATGTATCACAGTACTGGTGCGAGGCCGCTTGGTATATGTAGGGCTGGTACTACATTAATAACAGCAGATCGTGCTGCTGCCTTTCTCTCATGTGTTCCCAAGGGACTGTATTGCGTGTGTATGTATACAGTAAAAGGGAAAATTGTGGGGTAACTGCAAAAAAAAAATTCCCACCCTTTCTTTCAAACTATATTTTTCTTTGGCAGCAAAGAACGAACGCATCGTCAGAGAAGCTATGGTGTTGCTGTTGTTGTTGTGTCGAATTGCTGCTACCATATCTGATCAGTCCATTATGATATCCTTGACTAACCACACTAAAATGCAGTCCTGAAGCAAGCAATGATTGTTGAATTATCCACCATGTGCTCAGGTATACACACACAGCACAAACACAGCGACTGCCACTGCGCATGGGAGGGCAAGCCCTCCCATCCATCACCCACTTGTTCTTGCTGGCGCAATTCTCATCGTGTATATGATAGTCTATAATCACAGGCATAAATAGGCCTTTTACACACTTTAGCGTAAAAAAAAAAACGGCTGATGATAGGTAAAACGAATGAAGCCTTTTTCTGCATCCGATTCATCAATAACGGGCTGACTTCTGTTTGCGCGATTTATCATGACAGCAACGCAGCAGCCCATCATGTTTCAGAAGGGGCCTCAGTTTCATCTATTGAAAATCCTGTTGTCCCTTTGCTATCCTTTTGTTCAAACAACAAATGCAAGCCAAAAACGAGGAGAGTCTGACCAAATATAAACCGATGAGGCTAGTGCCGGTGAAAAAAAAATTCATTTTTTTTTTACGCATATAGCACGCTATGTGTAGTATAACCATACACAGACTGAAACCATACATCACCTCATCAATCTATTCTCTCCATGACGCAAAAACGGGAGGCTAGAGAAGAAGCATTTTGATCTGTACATAGTGAAGCAATCGTGAACAATGGAATATTACTACAAGCATACACATCATCATCAACCAACGTCCAGTGGAATACCATGTGACATCATTACAGAGATAACACCAAGTGACGGCAACACAGTATAAAGATGGTGTGGCCTTCTTAATCGCAAACCCAGACATTCTTCTCCTCGTTAATAGCCAGGATCATCTGTCACAGATGTTGAACATGTATCTAAAGCAGGACAATCGGGTTTGCTATCATCTGACAAAATCTTATCGATCAAGTTCATGGGCTCCTCCTATTAGCATTACATGATCATCTCGTAGATCTCGCTCACGGGTCCCGCGCACGTTTGATCTATCGGAGGATGTCAAGGCGATTGACATATTTACTCTGGTCATCGCAGACAGAGCTGATAAAATCATCATCGATTGAAGCACTCTCATAGTAAAGTGGACCTTTTAATCATTCATGGTGATGAGGGTGGGAGAAATAAACATCTCTTTCTTCCGGAACTGTTCCATCCGGGCTTTCCTTTTCGTTTTAGGACCCCGACCGGGCCGGTGTACGTACATAACCATTGGTAAGGAGCTGGCCTGTGCATCCCGACCCAGCAAACTGGGAGAATGGAGTACATGACGATAAAGATGAACATGCTTTTCCCTCTCCACAAAATTGTTTAATAAAGGGGAGAGAGCTATCACGCTGCCAAGTAGTACTAAGATAGAGTCACTTTGTGAGCCAAGCATAAGAAGGAGGTGCGGACACCGCTCTCATATCACATTCGCACAGAACAGGGGGCCCGGGGTCCTTGCCGCACGGATGTAAACATTCATCCCCACCCCAGTAATAGTAACATTTATCCTTTTTCCCATGACATGAAATGGCTCTTTGGTTCATGCGCACGGAGTACGGAAGGAACAGGCGTTAATGCTAATATGCAATGACGGACTTTATTTAGCTGAGTAGTTTTTTCTTTTTTGTTTTATGCATGCACAGATAAGCTTTCATCTGAAATCTCTTCTTTGATGGCGTCATCTTCTTGTCTAGTATTAGCCTTAAAAAAAAGAGGCCCATCTTAGCTGCAGTCCAGTTTTTGTACGTCTCGATTGATAGTATGCAACAGGGTATCGATCTTAATGCACTGGATCGATCTGCTAACTCGATTTTTCCACGGTCCAGGAGAATGAGATCCAGTTGGCCCTTTTGCTCTGTCGACTCCCGAGAAAAATTGTCTACTAGTCCAACTGGTGCTAGTGGCATTGGAAACTGTTGAGTGAGATGCGTTTTAAGCGACCGCACTGTGCGCCTTCTTGCAGCACCACTACGTACAAAAATGATATGACAACACCTCATCTTTTTCGTCTTGTTCTTTTTCACAACAGCTATTATTCTTCTAGTGCTTAGCATTTTATTTGACCACAAGTTCAAGTTTGAGATGCTACAGCTTCATGCTGCTGGTCAGGAACAAGCTGACATGGATTGTACCAACTCCCGTGCTGTGCTACTGTATGCCACCGCTGGATGTGTTTTTGATTCAGTGGAGCATCTTTCCACGGGTGACGAGTGTAGTATACATATAGTGCTTTGAGCTATTTAACCATTGCATGTATTTTCCTGTTATACATTCCTTCTGGTGGTATACTATATGTTTTTGTATACCTCGTCATAGGTGTCCCTTGTAGCACTAAGAAAGAGCTTATTCTATACGACAATACAATGCATTTATCAAAGGAACCGGTAGTTACCTACAGCTTAAAGCTTATACAAAACATCACGTTTAGCAGTAACAACTGACGCCGTGGCTGATTATCATGGGGAAGAGCTTATACCAGCTTTGTAAGCACGCAGCGTCACTCTAAATTTAAACCTGTCTGCTACCATCACTTTGTTAAAACATATGCCATAAAATTTCGTCATGATCAATAATTATCATTTAATTTGCAACCAACAGCTTCTTTAATAGCACTGCAGTGCAGAGATGCGACGGTATTTAGGGTATATACATAAAATTTGTATTTAAAATTTGGAAAATAGAACCTTTTCGAGTCAAAAAGCTTCAAAGAGAATTTAAAAAAGTAAGGAAGAGCCTGTCCTCGCAGACAATTTTCTTTCTCTTTTTTTGGTGGAGGGATAGTGTTAAAAAAGATAGTAAATTTTTTCTGCTTAACGTCTACTGGGATGGAGTAGATGGAGCGGAAGAAGGATCGAACAAAGGAATGCTAAGCGCATCCATAATCTTTTCCAGCTTTGGATTACCACCGAGTTCTTGAATCTCTTGGCGTGCTTCCTTTTCAATCCCGTGAAGGAAGCTTCGACAATAGTTGAAAGTATCCGTCTTTTCCAAGAGTTGCAACGCATATTGTTTCAAGTCGAGTGAGTTGCTACGTTTCTGTAATATGTTGAGTAGTTGGCGGCTGTGTGGATCCGTACGGATCGAGTGGATGATGGGGAACGAGAATTTGCCTTCAGTCAAGTCTTCGCAAAAGCCTTTGTTGTCGGCGTACTATGATGTGGAAGATTACCAAGATTGTTTTTTTCTTAGTATGCATGGCAATTAAAGAGTGGCAACAGACGTCAAGGAGAGGGGATCGTGGGAGAAGATGATATCACGTATTAGATAATTTTGCATTTACCTGTTGAGACTGTAAATTCATGTAGTCATCTCGTACTTGAAAGTGAATACCGATCTTATTCACAAGACTTGTGTAATCGCTAAAAGCATGACCAAAACGTAATAACTCAATGTTAGTAGAAAGCTCGATATATTGATTGGTTAACAGGAGAAAAGCATACGTTTTTGATTGACTTGCAGCTTGCATCAACTTGACAGCCAATCGCAAAAGACCACCCGTCTCTGAAAGATAAATAAGAGCAAGAGTTAGAGACGATGTACACACAGATAATGCCAGGCAGTTTGGAGGACTTACTGTTGTTGACCATTTCAATAAACTCTGCTTCGCTTGGGCAAAGCACACGATCACGCCAGTGGATCTCCATGCCTATTGTTTTGTTTAATGTATAAAAGTTCTTGTGTAAGTTGCCATTGTTGTTTTTTTTAGTGCACATCATATTGGTGTGTGATGATTACCTTGACCGCGATGGAGGTTGATCAGTTCCTCTAATAGGGTTGGATAAGAACAAAGAAATATAAATTTAAGGTTAGCGCATGTGCAAGTTGATGCAGAGCCCTTCAACAGCTACATCATACAGCCAGCATCGCATTAAAATGCATAATTGTAGCAGAAAATAACTGCGACATGTACCCGTATAGATTTGCACCATCTCTGGGTTGTTGAGCTTGTTGATTTCTTGCAAAGCCAAAAAGTAGACGTAGTTTGCAGAATTGATGGTTTGAGCCACACCAAACAAATGATGTGCTGCGGGCACACCACGTCGCAAAGCAGATTCATCTTCAACATCATCAATTCTAATAGAATATAGACAGTCAGTTACCCACAGTGTTTTTTAGAGACTGAAATCATCAGAGTAGCGTGATAGACGGACAAAGAAAAGATAGGAGACATACAACAAACTAGCACTATGCAGCATGCCGATGACCTTGGTGATGACCAATAAGTCGTCGTGTGGCACCTGTAGCCAGACATTGAATGCAGCAATCATCTTGGTACGAACATCCTTGCCTGGATGGGCACAGAGGTATTCGTAGGGCTCAAGCAAGACCTGAAATATGTCATACATGAAGAAATGAAGAGGAAGAAGGGGGGAACAATGTGGTTAGTTAGCCATCAGCTAAATAATCCGAGGTTCTATATACTCTTCTGCTTCCAAAATAATAGCAGCTCTGTACAACAATGACGACAACTACAGCAGTAATTTTTACCTGATCTTGTTCTTTCACAGCCGGCGTGTTACTACCGTCTTGATTGACATTGAGACGCAAGTTGGCATTGATATTTGAAACACCGGCAGGCAAAGCACCTTGGAGTTGGGTTGTTGAAAGCATGATGTTGGATAGCACTTGAATAAAGTAGAAATGGCAGTAAGGGAGAAGAAAAAAGAAGGTAGTAGTGATAAACGAGATGACACAAAAGACCGAGCCTTTTTTATGTCTTTTTCCTACATTCGTCCCCTTATTCGAGGCGCTGGCCGATCAACTAACAAGCATCTGACATCCTCACTGTGGATGCAAGGTAAGCAAGTCACTTTCATTGTAAACGGTCGAAGGGGATGGTGTTTGAAAGCTGAGGAGGTACTTTACCCCCCCCCCCCACCAACACACACACCGATCCCCTTTTAGCGGTGATCTTTTTGTGATAGGGGGTCATCTGTTCAGACAGCATGGCATGCATCCATAACTGTGTTTATAAGAAAAAGAGAGAGAGAAGCCTGTTTGAGATGGCCAATAGAGTAGCACACACATATACGTGACACAACAGACTAGTTTGGGTGAACGCTTTTCTTTTTAATTGACAAGAGCCAACTCATGTTGTCTCGTGTTGCATTGGGGGAAATGTAGTGTAAAGCATCCAAGCGAATGGGCCAGCATCAACAAAGTCGTCAGAACCTGTCAAAACAAGATTTTCGATCTTCTTGTTGTTTCGTCGTCCTTGTCCACTCCCATCATAGAACTCAAAGCACACAGGCTTTTTATTTCTTGCCACTCTTCTTGATGCCGCCACCCACTATACAAGTAATACCATGATCGTTTAGTACACTATGCTCGTACGTGCTTTAACGACCCCACTCTTTCTATCTCGCCCCATCCCCCCCCTCTCCTGCGTATAATACATATAAAGTATACCTCTTGTAAGTCTGTTCTCTTTTCCTTGTTCTATTCCACCTACTTTATACCCACACCAACCAGCTCCTCCCTCCACACCCTTCTACAAAAACGATGGATCAATCATTAATACGTACACAAAGGTCCCTTGCCAGAAGCCTTGGCTTGGAGTTCCTTAAGCTTCTTGGCTTCCTCAGCTTGCTTCTTCTTGAAAGCGACGTCCTCCTATATATAATAAATATCAAGATGTAATTAATAAACGAGTAATTCCGTAATTTTTTTTTTCTTTGCCATTATTTCACTGATCAACATACGTCGTCGAAATCCTGTTGCTTCTTCTTGCCTTGCTTAAGAGGCTTAAGTTTACCACCTATTATAAATTAGAGTGCCATGTGTAAATTCAAATGATCTCATACCACTAATTTTTTGTTATCAGTTAGAACTCAAAAGATTTACCTTGTCTTCCGGACATTGTTTACTTCTTGTATGTTTGTAGTGTAAAGAAAAGAAAAAGAACACTTCTTCCAAGTTATTTATCGCTACTTTTCACGCCCGCAGAATTTTTCGTTTGAAAGGCAGGAGTCCGTTCCGCGATTGTCGGTATCTCATCTTTTCTCTTCTCTCATCCCTTGAATGATACGTTTGCCTATCCTATTGACCTCTTATATTAGACCTCTTTTTTTTTTCTTTCATTCATTGGTACCTCATGTCACCATAGCCATAAACACGATATACAAAGCAAGGAGCTTGATGCCCGCTCATGCTTATCTGCCTTTCTCTTTGAATACTTTTGTAAAAAGCGCATTACTCTCTAAGATGAACTGCAGTCTATCATCATATTTACCACAACAATGCATCCTATTTACACTTTAAAAGAAGCAGTAAAGCTTTTTGCTAGTCATAGCAAACCAATACAGTAGTAACAATAAAGTGCTGTGATCAACTAAATTCATCGCCGCGGTCACGATGCATTTACTCTGCGGGAGTTGAGTTTGGCGCTCTTTTCCTCTTCTCTGATTCTTTCATCGCACACAAAATAATACTCCTTTTACTGCTGCATAAATAGTAACTATAATGGAGATCAACAGCAACGACAACAATCCGAGCAACACAAAAAATACTAGCAGTGACAACAATAGCAACAGTGTTCCGTCCGTGAAGCAACCACCTGAAGACGATTCTTTTATTGCGGCATTACTTGTGGTCGGGTTCCATCATGCCCATGGACCCATTGTCGAGTTTTGCGTCCCACCTTTGCCACAACAAGACAACAACACCCAGCAAACAACTTTGGAAAAGTTAAAGGTGCCCGAAGAGTGGAACTTTCTACCGTTTCTTGCACTCCCTGGTACATTACATATCTGCCACTACCCAACAACGAAGACGTTGATATACACTAACTTTCATAACCAACCCAATCGTTTGTATCTATCATAGATGGTGCGCATCAAAAGGACGAGGACTTTGCTTACTTTCACTTGCCGCCCGTCCCAGGATGGCCTGTAGCAGAGACTACATTGTTTGGAATATCGTGCAACCGTCAAATTGCTGCGAAAGTAGGTAATGCAGATAATTGTAATTTCCTGGCGAAACGGAACATAAAAAAAAAAGCAAGGCAAAACCATGTGTATGTATGTGATGAACGGATGAATAACGAGGTTCTTTGGAATCACAATAATAATAGGATTTGCTGGTGAAAACACCCGATGTTACTCGGTCAATCGTTCAAAAAGCTGTAGTTGTTTTGGCACGTCAGGTAAAGTTCCAAACAGTGGGCATAACATGTCTGCGTTGCATGAACGGGAATGTAATATGTTGTGTTCTTCTCGTAGCCCATTTTTGGCCCACTTCGACAGAAATTAGCCGTCATCACTTCTGCATGGTTTAATCAGAAGGACTTTACACAACTGGATATCCTTTATGTGAGTTCAAGTAAAATTATTCGTCGCTTTCTGGTAGGCTTGGATACTGATAGATAACAATTCATCTAGGATTTTTATCGGAACCTTCAATCAACCTATCGCGGCCCAATTGACGATTCTACGCTGTACATGGGCACATCATTACGTGAGTTGTTGCACAAGTTCAAAAGCAAGACATTAATGCTGCTCAAGTTGTTATTGTTGGAAAAGCGAGTAAGTAATCGGTAAAATAAATGGGATATAGCTCCATAACGATTAATGTATGTATACTGTTATTCCAACAAAGATACTCTTTTATGGATATCCAGTGGAACGATTATGCACTTTTGAGTACTCTCTTATGTCCTTGGTACCAGGTAAATCCAACAAAACTTACCATTATTCGTCGTTACATCGCGTATAGAGAGGAGACAACTAATATAAATCTATTATTACGAATAACAGGACTTTTACGCTCGTTACAAGATTCTGGCGACCCAGATCTCGATACGTCAAAGAAGTTCCTAAGAACGACAGAGGCAAAGGAACTTTCCAGTGGCAATAAAGAGAGCTTGTTGAAATTCATGGGGCTGCCATTAAGGCTTTTTGAAAAGGTAACATATCATTTTCCTTAACTGACGTAACACATATAAGGTCATAGAGTGGCCAGCTGTATACTCATAAGGATTTGTTTTATAGGGATCGTTCTTCCAACCCTATCTACCACTTCAACAAATAGACATTCTTTCGTCCGAAAAGACAAAATCATACGTTATCGGTACAACGAACCAAATCTTTTTCCATCACAAAAGCGATATCAACATTGATGTTTTAGTCAACGTAAGCTAAAAACCCCAATATCATGCATTGGTGAAGAAAAGTGATGGAAAAATGGTATTCACTCTACCATATAGGTTGAAACTGGGTCATTAGAGTTCCACAATCAACGTTTATCCGCCATGGTAGGACCCACTATGGCTGATCGTCGATGGATGGAGAATATCGTAAGAGTGGTTAACGACACATGGGATGAAAGTGGTAATATAGATCTCATTCTTCTTCTTTCTGCTTATATAATACAACGATAACAAAAATATGTATCCAGTAGAGGATGAATGAGGCTAATTTCTTCTGCGGGGTTGAATTATTGTGTAGATCCAAGTCGACCGATGCAAAACACTTATCTGGGATCGGACGATTATCTTCGTGCACGCTTTGAGGAGTACATACTGTCGCTATTATCGAGTATGAAGCACGCCCAGGATGCAAATCTGATCCCTGATGGCGTACTCGATGAATCTACTGCCACTTCCCTGGATCCTCAACAACAACATGAAGATGTGATGAGAGATGATGATCGAGGTAATCTATTCACTGCTTGTGAAAGTATTATTCACGGTGTCGTGCTAGTGATAAGTGGTGTCACTCATACTTACACACAATGCACTCTATCATGACAGAGAAAAATTACCTGTCGGATTACGGAATGAGTTGGCTGATGGCATGGCGCGAAACCAACAATTTTACCCTGTGGAACCAATATACCGATCATGAAATCTATGAAATTGTCGAACCTGGGTAAGCTATAACCATGACAAATTTCCATGCAGATACGTGTATCCAGATCCGTATTTTTAACGATTTGATATACAATTTTATAAAGGCATCCCGGGATGGGCAACATATCCATTTCAGACATACAAAATACCTTATCAAAGTGAGTTTTGTTCTGTTAACGGGTTAACATTCTCATATTAAAAGTTCGCTAATTGTTAATCTATTACTTTTGAATACTTAGCCGGTTACGTGATTTACAATTGAGACAGAACCTTGCACCATTACGGCAAACGTTATCTCGTGCAGTATCAGGCGGCGCCAAAGCCATGTCTACTGGCCGTTCACGATTATTCCGTGGGATGGATGCTTTGTGGAACGAGTTTGAACGTGGCGCTAATGATGAGGCACCACGACGATCTTCAGCAGATACAGCCAATCCAAACGCAAGCGGTAAGAATCAGGAAAGGGAGCTATTGAACAGGAAAAAGGCTTAAATATCGAATTAATTCCATCGCTCTATTCTGGAACAAAAGGTCAGCAACCGCGGAAAAAGGTGGATCACAATCGTCGCTGGTCATCGTTTGCTGAAGCATCAGTTGCTGCAGCAGAACCAATATCCCCAACATTAGAGTCTTCAACACAGCAAGCTGGACGTCTTTTCTCTAGCCTTTCGTCGTTCTTGAGCAGAAAGCAAAAGGAGATATCACAAGCAATGGAGGTTTGTTTTGTCATGTTTTTTTGTATCGCTGCTCTTATGGCACGCTATACAACCAAAACTAGCTATATACACAGCTCTTATCAGAACTACAAAATCATATTTAGGAATCCATGGCAACGACTTCTGCTAACAATGAACATGAACGCAATGTCAATGCACGATCACCTATAAGCCGGACCGCTTCTTCAGGAGCCACAAGTGATGATGATAGTAGCTCAGCATTTGTGGATGTTGGCGCTATGTATCCGTTTTCTACATCGACTGCAAACAACAACGGCAATAACGGCGCTATCGTTACTGCCGGTGCATCATCAACGTCAACACAACCACCTGCTGCATTAACAAAAAAGAATGACAAACAAGAACAACAAGATGAGAGTAGCAGCAGTATAGAAAAGAAGGATGTCATTGATATTTGAAAAAGCTTCGGCATCTTCTTATTTATATATATACTTTTTTTTCACCTGTGCACTTTTCTCTTCCTCTCCCACTGCTGTCTAATATATTTCTTTAAGTAATACACCCCTCCTCTGATGTACATTAAACCAATACACGTACACATTATACTCCATAGTACGTCTACACGAACTTCACTTATTATCACAGTAATGTTAATGTCTATGTGTGCAGATTAGACCCTTTTCACTTGGTTGATAAAAGCAAGCTTTCCTCCTCTAATATTTTTCTTGTACGTCGACACTCGTCTATTTCTACCTGTGTGTATATATGAAAGAAAGAAAAAAGACACGACGACATATATATAGGAGGATTTGCTTATCCGTGTCACACCAGTTTAATCTAAGATACACTTCGTACATTAAACACACTATTCATCAAGAAATTCCATCCAAAGAGTAACTTCATTAAAATTTACTCCTTGATAACTGTCAGTATATACAAAAGAAATGCGTTATCCAGTGTTTGCTATGATATCGTATGGTATGGCACCAGTAGTTATAGTCGAAAAAATAGCAGACGTTTTTCAATATTTATTCACAATATCTTTAATAAACCGCCTTCAACAAATGCGATATCTGTATATAGCCAATTCCTTGCACGGATTCCAGAAGTTTCGTCCTTGATATTGGTTGATATACGCATAATCGTCTAGTGGGACACATGTCAATACAGTATAATTTAATAACATTAAAGCTATAAGTTTCAAAAGTAGAATCAACGGAACTGAAAAGTCTACCTTTCATTGGAGATGTTATTGAAAGCTTTAAGTGAAAATGCCTGCCTATTCCTACAAGTGGAAGGCACCTAAATATTTGAAACAATACACTGGCACACTGTGATGCCACAGAAATCACTAGAATTCGCTACTTGCCCGAGCAAAGAAAAAAAATATTCCTTAAGCAGTTGGAGATATGATTGTCTCCAGTAGGGGTCGCAATTGGACGGTTTGGGTCGGGTCAAGTGTCTGACCCGTTGACCCGTGGGTCAAGAAAACACTGACCCGACCCGACCCGTTCAACCCGACGGGTCAAAACTCGGGTTGACGGGTCAAGACTGATTTCAATGTAGTGATGAAGGAAGTGTCAATCAGCCTGAACTTGAGCGCTGGAAGTGCAAAACTCCATATATATATAGCTCTCTAAGATGATGGCACGCAAATTCCTAGCAGTGCTAGCAACATCTACGTTTTGAGTGATTATTCTTAAAGGTAAAGGGCTCTGTGCCATCACAAAAGAAATCGCTTGGGCTCACATGCTTTAAAGAAAGCATAATATTTAAAGTGTGGTTGAAAATCGACTTCCCTATATGCCCCTTATCCTTTTCCCTTTTCCCTTTTCTTTTCACTTCTTTCTCCTTCCTTCGATTTTCTGTCTTTTACTAAATCGCGTCTCTTACTGCCACCTTCTATTGTATATTCTTATTGCACTATCGCTACTTCTTTACTCCTATCATATATATTGCTTATAGCTTACTTATCCCATACTGTTGAATATAAAGTATAATCCCACAATAGAAAGAATTAAGTACGTTTTATGCTATAGTTCTATAGCAGACATATTGACAACTAATGATGTTTCCCAACAAGAAGATTGACTACTTAAATATAAGTACTTCATACATATTATGTGTATACACGGGTCACGACGGGTCAACGGGTCGGGTCAAGGGTTGGATGGGTCGACCTGCGGGTCAGAAAAGCATCAACCCGACCCGTTGACCCGTCCTCAACCCGCGGGTCAGATTGCGACCCCTAGTCTCCAGCCATGACATTCTCTCCTAGTCAAACAAAAACTTAATTGACCAACGCGCAAAATGACGAAAGGCAGAAGCAGTGTTGCACTGGATGCATCATCATCTCCCACTCGGGAGCTCCACTAGCAGCAACTTACTAGAGGTTTCCCTACAATGGCAAGTTCGGAAACGCAGTAAATAGTGATGTGAAACCAAAGACAGTGCCTAAATTCAACAGACATGTTGATTTCACAGAACCTCAAATAATTGTAAACAATGCTTAGTATAAAAGATGGCAATACCTCTTTTGTGAAGCAGTGTTGTTTCCGAGACAAACGCAAAATGTCTGTTCGATGAACTTACAGCTTCGAGCCAATTACAGATTTAAGACGCCTAATTTGGTTGTGCTAGCCAGGGTGCAACTTGGAAAAGAGAGGCAGTGCTCAAATACGCAGATGCTACAACACCTTTCCATATAATGTAGTAATTAATTTGTACCTCTCAGAACGTTACGCTTGTCATTTTCTGTCTTGATGATTTGCTTGTTATGTTAGAAGAACGAAGTGACATGAATTTATGAAAGAAATACAGAGAGATGTTTTGGTATACAGATTGTTTTTGAAAGAAAATAAAAGGGACAGAGGAGAGAGAAAAGAGCTAAAGTGAAAAAGAAGAGGGACGGAGGAGAGAGAAGACAGGCTAGTTGCTCTTCTGTCTTTTGGATGATGATGCGGTAGATGCCGAGTGCCGAGAACTCAAAGGAACAAATGTTGTAGGTAGCTTCCATTCATTGGAAGACCTCAATGACTGGAGCTCACTTTGTGTGTTGACGATGGCTTTTCTGGTTTTTTCCATTATGGCGAGTCCTGACAGTGCTAGCTTCATCAACGGAACAATTCTTGAGACATAGTCGTCGCTACAGGTCGGGTACTCAAGAGGCTTTGAGCGGCGAATCCTTGTCACATAGCCACCAGGCGAGTCCATGTCCAGCAGAGCAACCTTGCCACCTATAAAATGAAAGTTAGGTCGGAGATGTTTCACTGTTAGACTTCATAGACGATGACATTTGGGGGATGCACATACCAACTATCACGAAGCCGAGCACATGCACGCAACGTAAGAGACTTTCTGAAAATGCCACTTGCAAAAGCATGTCATGCATGACGATGGGCATCTTCAACAGCCCATCCTTCATCTCCTTCGTCTGGTCTTCGTCCTTGCCAATCTCAATGCAACCTAGCTCTTTGCCGCTACTTTCGTAGAGCAGGTCCATTTTACGCCCCATTTTGCGGTGTATCGCGGGGTCTACGGCAGATATGCACCTTTTCTTGTTGTTTTCGTCGGCATTCGCTTTGCTCGACCCTTCTTTGCTATTTTGAAGTGAATTACAAATACAGCTCAAGTTATTGCTGTTATGTCACGCGTTGGATCATTTTTGCTAGTGATAACTTACCCTACTGCCTTGATTTTATTGCCGTTCACCATGGACTTCAAAAAGGACCACATCTCGTACTGCTGATCTGACTCCAGCATACTTGTTAAATGAAAATCGCCGTAGAAGTGCAGTTGCGAGCTTTTTTGGAGCTCGAGGCTCACCCAATGCTTCAGAGGCTCTTTTATAGGATCGAAATCCAAAGTGCGAGCGAACTTGTACGCCTCCATCGGGGTTTTCTGTCAAATCGAGCATTATCAATCAACAAGCTACTAATTATGCATTTCGTTAAAATCTAGTATAATCTTTTTAGTGCATCTTACCAATTTTGACACCTCGTTCAGAATCTCGATGATCTCAGCCGGCAAATCACAAAATAGTGGATCACCAAATGCTTCGATCCTGTCTAGCTGGGCGCCGCTGAATACTGTTTCCCAGTTACCATCACCCAAATCCAAGATCAAAGATTGCGACGGGCTAAAAAAATCGTTTATGTGAGTACTGTAAAATACGATCTCTCAAGCTTTTTTCGTCTACAGTACTTACTGATAGTAGTTGCATGATCGGGCGAATTCGATTACTCTCTGATCAACATTGAGACTTTCATCCAAATGAAGCGCCCAGAACCTATCTTCTTTCAGATTTTGGAACGTTTGAGCCAGTCTAGCTTTGTCGGCGGATGACAAGGATGTTGAAAAGGATGTGTGAGATGGTGTTTTTGTTGTTGCTGTCACTGCTGATGTAGAGTGATCCTTGCTCGCTAATAAACAGAATCAGTAAAGGATTCAAGTACGTAACATGTAACTTTTTTCTACGCAACGATTTTACGTACACTCCCTTGCCAGCTCCAACATTTTCAAAGCCACTGCCCCGAAATCCGGCTTCTTGTTTACTTTTGCCTATTTCATAAAACAATATGTCTCGGTAAGTCTGCTCAATGATCATTTTAGCCATATAATTCTGACACGTACTACTTCGATTTTACGCTGTTTCATTGCTGCACCGAAAATTCCAGCCCACTTGGCCTCAATCGCTGAATTCCTGTCGGAATTCTTTGCGATGAAATCAGTGTTTTCTTCAACAAAACGCCATAAGCTTGGATTTTCATTCAGCTCGTTGCACTTTTCGAGAAAGCGTTGAACGACTACATATATATAGTTGCGTTAGTGACACCAATTGTGACACGTAGTATTTGGAACATCTTGCTACACACCTGTTTCCAACTTCATATTAGCTGCTTCTTTATCACTGCTAGAGCGTTCGTTGTCCGATGGCGTGTTATCTGTAGGCATGGTAACAGTTGCTAAGTAAATTGCCAACAGGTTAGAGTCAAAGGCTACTGTCAAAGGCAACCATACGCGATTTGCTAAAATTTTAGCACCCACCCACAACACCTCATCTACAAAAAGGTTGTTAGCAACCCCACATCCGCACACACACACACACGCACACACAAAAAAAAAAGGAAGGACTCACAAAAAAGAGGTAAAAGTGAAGAGAAAGGAAAAGAGAGGAGCAACACGCTGCGGAAAATAGGTGCATGTTGTACCGTATCAATCGCATGTGCACACGTTCAGATTCCGCTTCCCTTTTTTTTCAAGAACAAAAAGTAAACACCCCCACCTCCCCAGGTGCCATAGGGACCGCTGAAATTTCCCTGGCATCAGCCTAAATTCCCTGGCAACCTTCGGGAAAACTGATTACCCGGAAATACCAATACTACCATGCACCTTTCTTCGCGTTTTTTTTAAAACAGGTATTTTATAGGTGAGAAAAAGAGATGAATAAAGTTAAGAAAAGTTTGACAAGAAATTGAAAAAAGCAGAATATTCTATAATAAAAGGTTTAAGAAAGAGATCATGGAAAGTGGGATTGTATACGGAAAAAAAGATGGAAACCATAGTTATGCATGTCGCGTGTTAGCATTTGTTTCGCGGTAAGTGGTGGGCAACGTGCGTCTGCGGCGTAATTGGGCTACATCACTGAGGTATTCGTCGATGTGGCGACCTGATAGTTGCTGATTGAACCGGTTGCGTTGCTGTTCGTTTATGCTAGCTCTGTATAAATCAGCAACTTCATCAAAACGCCTGTCTTCTTCTTCTAGTTGTAACACCAGTCGTCGTCGACGCTCCCGGCTCCGTTGCATCTCTATTTCAAAGTTGCGCGATTCTTGCTCCCTATCTGGAAGAACTGCAGTTTGAAGAGAAAGGAGGTCGCTTTCTGTTGTTGATTCATCATCACTGATAAAGATGATGCTTTGTCGGGAAGGAGGAGGAGTAACAGGAGCAATATTGCGATTAGCAGTAGCAGAGGTGCGGGTCGAGGTCGTGGTGATAGTAGTGATAGTAGCAGCAGGAGTTGTAGTGTGGATGATGCTGGCATTTGTGGTATCGCTGAAGCGGGGTCTTGAACGTGTGCATGAAAAGGCACCCATTTTCCGCAGCGTGCTGCTTCCTCGCTTTTTCTCGATCACATGTGGTAAGTCCCGTCCTTTTTTTTCAGTGTGTGTGAGTGTGAGTGAGGGTAAGTAAGCGCAAGGGTGGGTGCTGATGCTTGTTTTGTAGGCACGGGGCGACTTCTAAGTAGGTAAGTGGATTGGTGAGACCGCTGGCATCTCAATACCGATCGGACCCTCCGAGATCCATAAAGCGCCCAAGACAGAACCCAGCTTTGTGGTAGAGGGTTCGGGAGCAGATGTCGATGCACCTTCCCGGAAAACTAAGACATCGACACTCTCGTTTTTGGACGAGCCTCTTTAGGAATTTGACCTAATTAAATAAAGGCCTTGTTGTTGTTGTCCCCCGTCTATCAAACATGTGCTGTTTGTTATTGTGTATTACGCGTATTGTATGTAGTCAAGCTACTACTTTAATTAATGCTGCATATTAGCTATCTTACCTCACCCAAGCTACACGTATCTTTACGATATTCTACGGTTTGAGACCCAAAGCAATATTTTTAAGGTTTGATAGCCTTTGAAAAGAAGAAGGTCTGACAACGTTGAAATTCTTAATGATGCGCGCTATACCTCTAGTCAAGAGTGTCGTATGGCAGATTCGTTACATTTCTTCGAGAGGAGACCCTTAATACATAGCTCTAAACAATACACGTCCAAAAAGTCGAGCGTAGACAACCATTTGCAATTAATCTGTGTGATCATGTCTATTTGATCTTTAACGCAAATACAATTCGATCAATCCAAAGTTTCTTCCCGATTTAGCCACAGCTCCGCGGGTATGTGCACAGGTATTGTTAATAGATGCTGTGGGCTGCGCGTTCCATGACGATCCAATTGAGCCAGTTTCCTCTGTTTATGCCTGTTAATTAATAAACATAACGTGACAGTAGCAACACATACAACTTATTATTATTGCTTGCTTGGTCTCAATAATTATGAAAAGCAAAGATCTTGGGTTGCACATCCGCAGCACGACAATTTCTTCCTTGACATATATAGAGGAAAATATAGCATAACAAACAGTTTGCGTGAGAAATCAATTCAAAAGTCTTTCACACACCCGTTTGGTATGGTATCGCTCGAGAGATTAACCACAACATCAAATTACTGGTCCCAGTCTTGTCGGTACTGTATTATCCCTGGCGATAAGATTTCGTTTTAACCCTTCCCTACTCTTTCGCTAGGCACATTAGCACAGTTTATATAGTTTAAGCATTAATCGCATAAGATGGATGTACATTAGTTTTCCACCAGGGTATGTAAAAGTAGTCATTCTTACTACATTTGTTTGGTACTAAGTCTTAGTTGTAAGTCAAGAAATCTCTCGGCGTATGATACGAGCTTTTTTGAGTGTGCGTTGTCAACTTGGAAGATCTTTTGGAAACACACCCGTATTCTTTCTTCTTATCTCCCCTGAGTATGATATGTTTATATAATTATAAGGGGCGAACTATCACAACGGCTTGGACTTTCTACAATGTCGCACTGATCCCATGAAGACGCTGGCTACGGTGTTCAGCACATGTTTACTCCAAACCGAAAACTGCTGTGTATCTTATCACACCTTGCGCGGTATATATCATTACGATTCAAAGATACTGTTCACCGGTCAATATCGACGCGGTACAACCAAACAAACAATTTCATATTCATTATGAGCAACATTGACGGGAAAGCTGTACAGAGATAAGACAACTTGCATAACACTATCCGCTATCATCCCCCGTCCCCTCCTTTGCACCTGCCCCTGCCAGGTATGGTGCATTGTTTTTGTAAGTGACCGTGGGTCAAGTTTACTTGTCTACACGTACAGTATAGGAAATAAACTGGCTCCTATAATTCCTTCGGGCCAGTGTTTTCTTGACCCGACCCGACCCGTCCAATTGCGACCCCTACTAAGTGCATAGTGTGGGGAGAGGGAGGTGTCATAAGTTAGTAGCATAAAGTAATTTATTGCTATCATACATGATCATGATTTATGGCGTTGGGTCGAGGACCGAGCGCCAGTGCATGGTCCAGACAATTTGAAGAATGGTACCCATGGGTCGAAGGTTACTGCTATAATAGGTCGTGGTCGAGGAAGTTGGAGTGCGTCCCACACCTGATTCAGCATAACTGACTGTGAGGCAGCGACATCGTGTGAAGTGACGAAGGGTCTCTGCTTCGGTCTCACAGAAAGGGAAGATGTTCGCGGGGTTTTTACTGGTGAAGACGCAGTGTAGATGCTCTTTGTTTGATAGACACTTAAAAAGGAGTCGCCACCACGCTGTGCGACTGTTCATATGCTGTCGTAGCATCTACGTATTTGGGCACAGCCTCTCTTTTCCAAAGTTGCACACATTAGGAGTTTAAAGCTTTGATTGGTTCGAAGCTGTGACGTCTTCATGATTTTCCAGTTGCGTTTGTCTGGAACCAACATGTATACTTCACCAAACGTATCACCATTCTTTACAGTGAGTATTCTTAACATTTATCATTGTGAGCTCCTGTGAGATTAAAGTGTTTATTCGATTTAGTACTGTCTTTGGTTACACGTTAGTGTTTACTGCGTTTCCGGATTTGCCATTTGTAGGGGACCCCTAAAGGTTTTGCACCTGATGGAACTCCAAGTAGGCTGATGAAGTCGACCATCGGGGTGCGTGGCTTGGGTGGTCAATAGTAGGGGCGCCATCCACCTATTGCAGATGCTGGAGCTACCGAGTAGGGAGATGATGATGCATCCAGTGCAACACTGGTTCTGTCTTTCGTCTGGTTGCGCATTGATCACTTTAAGTTTTTGGCTATCTGGAAACGATTGTCATGGCAATATATTTTCAAGGAAACATATGTAGGGGACCCCTGAAGGTATTGCACCTGATGGAACTCCAAGTAGGCCGATGAAGTCGACCATCGGGGTGCGTGGCTTGGGTGGTCAATAGTAGGGGCGCCATCCACCTATTGCAGATGCTGGAGCTACCGAGTAGGGAGATGATGATGCATCCAGTGCAACACTGGTTCTGTCTTTCGTCTGGTTGCGCATTGATCACTCAAGTTTTTGTTTGCCTTGGAAAGAATGTCGTGGCAGGGACAATCATTTCTCCAACTGGTTAAGGAAAGTTTTTTTTTTCTATGCTTGGGCAAGTAGCGAATTCTACTGATTTTTGTGGCATCACGATGTGCCAGTGTATTTTTTAATATTTAGGTGCCTTCCAGTTGCAGGAATAGGCAGGCATTTTCACCCAAAGCTTTCAATAGTATCTCCAATGAATGGTAGAATTTTTAGTTCCGTTGACTCTACTTTGAAACTTGTAGCGTTATGTTATTAACTTATATCGGCATGTGTCCCCTAGACGACTATGCATATATCAACCAATATCAAGGACAAAACCTCTGGAATCTGTGCAAGGAATTGGCTATATACAGAAATCTTATTTTGAAGACGGCTATCAAGGACATCGTGTAATAGTTGTTGATTGTACATATCTATTTTGAAAGCTGTAATTACTGGTGCCACACTATTCGATAACATAGTAAAACCTCTGAATGACACGTTATCTCTGGATTCATGAACAGCTACCGATAATCACAGGGTTAAAGATGTTATCGTTGGATGGACTTCCCTGAAACAATGTTATACATGTGCATAGTCTATCTTAGAATAAACTGGTGTGACACGAAAGAAGAGTTTCCTATTTGAATGTCAACGCTTCTTTATCTTCCAATACATTCGAGCTGGTATAGGAAATCGTATGTCAACGTAACACGATGGATGTCTCGTTGCTATTGATCAACGAGCGTTTGTCACCTTCGCACCTCAGTCTTGTGCCTCTCCCACTTCGCTACGTGTCAATCCCTATAGAGCTTCGGCTCGGCGGCAAGGGGGATCGCCCCGCCCTCTCCTCCACCCAAACCCCCCGTAGCGACCGCGTTCAAGGCATCATCAGTATTTGTCGTTAGATGCTTTGTGATATCGTGGATAACAGTAAAACCAACCATTTACCTACCCTAACGCTAGCCCTACCGAGAGCGACTGATTTTAAGAGGTCGTCTAAGTCAGTGATTTATATCTAGTGACTTGTGACGGTTGCTGATGCTTCTTTATGGACAATGTTTAAGGTGGAAGTGAAGCATGTGATTTTGGTGTGTCTGGAGGAAGTAGAACAATTGTAAGTAGGTTGGGAGTGCAGACGTGGGATAATGGCATACTGTATATAGTTTCCCATGTGCGAAAGCTGGCTTGAATAGCCACAGCATTGCCCTACTGTATTGAGGGTTGATGTTGCGTAGAAGCGTTAGTGGCTGGTGTCGCATTCAAGATACATATTTAGCAGATTACTGCAATCAAGTGGCTGTCGTTGGATTAGGGGTTTGCTGGACACGCACATTTCGGTGAGTCGAAGTACACGGGCAATGTTGTTGACAAAGAGGTAGGACGTGGTCAGGGAGGCATTGACGATACCAGCCTTGTTGCCATTGAGAACTATGGGCTGTATTTGTCCAGAGTCATCACCAATAGCAACAGCCTTTCTACCAAACGGAATTTCGTTTCAAGCGACGATGAAAACACGTCTTCAAAGCTCATATATAGTGCATTGATTAACTATCCGCTAGAAACAACAAGTATCATGGCAATTATGAGTTTGACTTGCGGCTCCTGAAGAAGCAGTCCGGCCCGGGGTGTTCGTGCTTCAACATTGCTTGCATATTCATTGTTACAGTAGCGGCAGTCGGTGTCATGGATTCCTTATTATGATTTGTTGTATTGGTAAGGGCTGTGTACATAGCTAGATTTGTTTGTATAGCATGCCATAAGAGAAGCGACATGAAAAGAAAAAGAAACATAGCAAAATATACCTTTATTGGTTGTGATATCTTTTTTTGCTTCCTGTTCGAGAACGACGAAAGCTATGATGTGATGGAGCTGATAATGTATCATAGATTTTGTTCTTCTTCTTTCTGCTTATATAATACAAAGGTCGTCGACAATACATACCATAGAACATACCGTTAAAAAGGATCTCATAGAATAGAACAATACTACAGTATTATGTTATACCCAGAATTCATTGAAGTATAACATGCTGGAAGTTGAGTTGCAATAGCAAATGTTAGTATAGAATAGTGGATCAAGGTTGAGTAGACAGAGCACTCTGGACGGCACCATCGGATGGCTAACTTTGCCGGTCCGCACAAAGCGGCAAATATATACAGTGGGACCCCGTTTTGCAACAGTGACAGTTCCAGATATTTGTTGCAGAATTCGTGGACTTGCAACGGACTGGATTTAGTACTAGGCGTCTAAGCACAGATAAGATCAGTTTATATTTTGGTCTCTTTCCATGAGTAATACACTACTGTCATCTGATGATCGTGTTTATGACTACATATGTAGCAAAATAAAGATGTATAAATAGTTATGTTCAACATAGCTGGAATGTGTCTATATAAGCAGTTCACTAGCTTTGATGTTGTCGCTCTTCTGTGTATCATACGTATAATATTTCTACATTGTTACATTTATTTCTATGGTAAAATCTTCTTTTAAAAGCTCACAGCCGAGCAAGAAGATCGTATCAGAGAGGAATATTGCCGTATTAATGGTGCCGCTTTCTCCGGTGCAGGTAGCCACCTGTGCTAAAAGTACCACTGTGTCCCATTTTTCCCGCCTTTTGCATAAGAAATGTATCGGCCCATGCTCAATTAACGAACGGAGAGAAAGCGGCATTAACAAGAAATAATAATTTGTAAGGCATGATCTGATTGATTATCACAAATAACTATCTGTAATATCGGTATTCTATGTACGGACATTGTATGCTGATATTTTTTGTGTAGGATATTGAGGAAGCGATATGCCTTTGGATGCTAGAATCGAACCTTTATTGGCTTTTACTATCCCTTTGATAAGATGCAACAAGCGACAAGGCATATGTTTCTGTTGCAGATCACGTGAATGCTTTAACTCTGATAAGATGCAACCCTACCATACAGGTCATCCAGGTTGCAAGTTTCTAATGGTTTTTTGACATTTAAATCAACGCGTTGCAAAAAGTGTAGAGATTGCATTTGCCGGGAGTTGCAAAACCGGGTATCTACTGTAATGCGATCTAACGGCTGTAGGTTTGGTGGTAGCTCGGAAGGAACATATGCAAAGGCCATTAGCATAGGACGTTGCGATATCCACTTGACTTGAGAGAAGGCTTTTTGCGGCAACCGCGGACAAAAGAAATATCAAAAAATATTGCTATGCGCGCGCGAGAGAGAGAGAGAGAGAGAGAGAGAGTGAAGGATAACAGTAAAGATGTATCAAAGCAAAAGAGTTCTGGTATTTATAAATTGATTGAAATTCTTGGGATTCGATCTGTAAGGTACTGACAGGAACAAGACAAGATGGAAGGAGCACCAAGACTGAAACAAGACAAGGACCAGACAACGACGGAAAAACTTATTAAAAAGGGACTAGGTGCTTTCAATAGGAACAGGACAGGACGAAGAAAAACCGGAAGGTATGATAGGAGTCAAATGATGAGGAAAGAAACAAGATGACTGATTGATGTTTTATTATTTATAGACTATGTCATGTGTATATATCTTGTAGTATGGATTTAACCGTATTGCAAATAAACGAGAAGATGAGCATGAAGTATGTGAAGTCGGATGACGTTGACGCTGAGGAATAGTGTATGATCATCACGGTTGAAGAGTGATCACATCAAAGGTCGGGGTGTGTTCATGACCTAATTTATCCATCCGTAACAGTTCACCAATCACCTTTCTCTTCCCTTCTCTCTTCATATTTCCCTTGAGACATCTTCATTACTATTACCGTAATGTATTGCTGACATCCTTCTCAGCCATCCTTTTGTCTTATCTGTCGACTTTTATGGGTCTACATTTCATCTTAACTGATTAGGGCGGCATTTAAATCATCAAGTATGCATTCAAAACTGCGGCGGGTGGCAGTCGCCTTTGACAGTAGCTTTTGACTCTGACCTGTTGACAATTCACCTAGGATCCGGTACAAGGCTAACAGATAACACGGTAACAGACAACTTGACGCCAGTTGAATGCTTAAGCAACAAAGCGCAGCAGCTGAAATGGAGATTGAAACAGGTGTGTAGCAAAAGTTTCTAAATATTACGTGTCATAATCGTTGCAACTGACGCATTTATAACGTAGTCCTGAACGTTGTTTTGAAAGTTCATTTAAACGCGTGAACACCCCAGTCTTGAAAGCTTCTCGTTGACGACAACAGCGATTTCAATGCCACGATAACTGTAGTAGGCGAATCAATCGAGGAAAAGTGGATTAGTCTTTTCGGTGAAGCGCAAGCAGTACGTTTTAGAACTATATGGCCAAAATGATCATAGAGCAGACTTACGGTGGAGCTTGCAACAAATCGTACGTAAATCGTTGCGTAGAAAAAAGTTACATGTTACGCACTTGAATCCTTTACTGATTCTGTTTATTAGCGAGCAAGGATCACTTTACATCAGCAGTGACAGCAACAACAAAAACACCTCTCCCACATCCTTAACAACTTCCCTGTCATCCGGCGACAAAGCTAGACTCCTACATATATTCAAAAATCTGAAAGAAGATAGGTTCTGGGCGCTTAATATGGATGAAAGTCTCAATGTTGATCAGAAAGTAATCGAATTCGCCCAATCATGCAAGTACTATCAGTAAGGACTATAGACGAAACAAGCTTGAGAGATCGTATTTTACAGTAGCCCAGCGCAATCTCTAATCCTGGATCTAGGAGATTACAACTGGGAAACAGTATTCCGCGACGCCCAGCTAGACAGGATCGAAGCATTCGGAGACCCTGTATTCTGCGATTTGCCGGCTGAAAACTATTACGATACTGGGCAATGCATCAAAATTGGTAAGATGCATTATGAGATTAAGTTAAATATAACGAAGTGCATAGTCAGTAACTCGTTGATTGATAATGCTCGATTTGACAGAAAACCCCGATAGAGGCGTACACGTTCGCTCGCTCTTTGGACCATGATCCCATCTCAGAGCCATCAAAAGCATGGGTATGCTTTGTACTGATCAAAAGTTCGCGACACCATTTTTACAATGATTTTAACTTGAAAAGCATGCTCGAGTCGGATCAACAGTACGAGATTTGGTCCTTTTTGAAGTCCATGGTCAACGGCAATAAAATCAAGGCAGTAGGGTAAGTTATCACTAGCAAAAATGATCCAACGCGTGACATAACAGCAATAACTTGAACTGTAGTTGTAATTCACTTTAAAATAGCAAACAAGGCTCGAGAACAGCGAATGGCGACGAAAAACAATAAGAAAAGATGCATATCTGCCGTAGACCCCGCGATACATCGCAAGATGGGGCGCAAAATGGATGTATTGTACCAAAGTAGTGGCAAGGAGTTAGGTTGCTCTGAAATCGGCAAGGACGAGGACCAGACCAAGGAGATGAAAGATAGACTGTCGAAGATGTCAATTGTCATGCATACCATGCTTCTCCAGTTAGCATCATCAGAAAGCCTCCTTCGTCGAGTGCATGTGCCTGGTTTCTTATTAGCTGGTATGTGCATCCCCCCAAATGCCGCCGTTCATGAAGTCTAACAGTGAAACACTTCGGACGGTAATTTTCTAGTAGGTGGCAAGGTTGCTCTGCTGGATATGGACTCGCCTGGTGGCTATGTGGCAAGGATTCGCCGCTCAAAGCCTCTTGAGTACCCGACCTGTAGCGATGACTATGTCTCCAGAATTGTTCCGTTGATGAAGCTTGCACTGACGGGTTTAGTGATCATGCAAAAAACCAGAGCAGACATCGTTAACACGGAAGTGGAGCTCGAATTGTCTTTGTCCTTACGATGGATGCTTACAGCATCATTTGTTCCTTTGACTTTCTTATTAACAAAGTCATCAACTGCAGCATGCTCATAGGCAGCATCTGTTTCCTCTCTCCTTAGTTGCCCTCTATTCTTTGCACCCTATCCTGTGTCCTTTCCTACATTTTTTCCTACTTTCTTTGTCTAAAAAATAAATTGAGTATTTTATTTGTATTTTCATTTCTATTTATATTTTAGTTATTCTCAAGGATCGCGGACGGTTAGAAAAAACAAAGAAGCATACTGGGATTTTTATAGGATGCTGCCTCTATGATAATTGACAAAGATCTACATACTGTAATTGTTCCTGTCCGTTCTACAAATGTGGGCGGTGGTGGCTGTAATATAATAGACGGCTGTGGTGCTGATGCCGGCGAATGAGCAAAGGAAGAAAGCAGTTGTTTTAACCGTCTGTGATTGTTAATAAACAGGTTTTTTCTGCGAAGATGACTGACTAGTAAAGTCGTTTCCGTCGTATTGGCCGTGAAGCAAGCGGTTGGTGAATCGAAGTGTGTTGTTCTAGTGATGGCAGTGCGTGTTGGCATGGGCGGACTCGATGGAGGCTCCAAATATAATCAGAGCAATGATAATAAGAGAGTTGAATTGTACTCTTGTTTCCAGCTTCCAAGAGACACATTCTGCTGGTTGGATCTGAGGCAGCAGCGAGTAAAACTGATCGTCTTATTGGCCTAGAGAGCTCTTGGTAGACCGTAAGAGAAAACACATATACATTTAGTATCTCAAGGTGCATAATCGAGCGAAATCGTTTGAGCTACAATGTCAAAAAAGGTCTTAAAGATTAAAAGTGCGTATCATGCGGCTGTCAATGATTTGAACCTGAAAACAATAAGTTCAAGCACGCGTTAAAAGAAGACGCGTTGAACGAAATCGCGCTTTCCTCCAGCACGATTCAATCTCTCCTCAAGTCCGACAGCTCACTTACTCTCCACCTTGCTTTTTTTTTGGACGGTGCACGCCCATACTCTTAAATATATATGTACCTTGAAGAGTTAATCATCGAGGGCTTCAAGTCCTATGTCTCAAGAACACACATCACCGGTTGGGATCCCGAGTTTAACGCCATCACCGGTCTCAATGGTTCAGGAAAATCTAACGTTCTGGACGCTATTTGTTTCGTACTCGGAATAGTGTATGATCATCACGGTTGAAGAGTGATCACATCAAAGGTCGGGGTGTGTTCATGACCTAATTTATCCATCCGTAACAGTTCACCAATCACCTTTCTCTTCCCTTCTCTCTTCATATTTCCCTTGAGACATCTTCATTACTATTACCGTAATGTATTGCTGACATCCTTCTCAGCCATCCTTTTGTCTTATCTGTCGACTTTTATGGGTCTACACTTCATCTTAACTGATTAGGGCGGCATTTAAATCATCAAGTATGCATTCAAAACTGCGGCGGGTGGCAGTCGCCTTTGACAGTAGCTTTTGACTCTGACCTGTTGACAATTCACCTAGGATCCGGTACAAGGCTAACAGATAACACGGTAACAGACAACTTGACGCCAGTTGAATGCTTAAGCAACAAAGCGCAGCAGCTGAAATGGAGATTGAAACAGGTGTGTAGCAAAAGTTTCTAAATATTACGTGTCATAATCGTTGCAACTGACGCATTTATAACGTAGTCCTGAACGTTGTTTTGAAAGTTCATTTAAACGCGTGAACACCCCAGTCTTGAAAGCTTCTCGTTGACGACAACAGCGATTTCAATGCCACGACTGGAACCGACATGTATACTTCACCAAACGTATCACCATTCTTTACAGTGAGTATTCTTAATATTTATTATTGTGAGCTCCTGTGAGATTAAAGTGTTTATTCAATTTAGTACTGTCTTTGGTTACACGTTAGTGTTTACTGCGTTTCCGGATTTGCCATTTGTAGGGGACCCCTGAAGGTATTGCACCTGATGGAACTCCAAGTAGGCTGATGAAGTCGACCATCGGGGTGCGTGGCTTGGGTGGTCAATAGTAGGGGCGCCATCCACCTATTGCAGATGCTGGAGCTACCGAGTAGAGAGATGATGATGCATCCAGTGCAACACTGGTTCTGTCTTTCGTCTGGTTGCGCATTGATCACTTTAACTTTTTTGGCTATCTGGAAACGATTGTCATGGCAATATATTTTCAAGGAAACATATGTAGGGGACCCCTAAAGGTATTGCACCTGATGGAACTCCAAGTAGGCCGATGAAGTCGACCATCGGGGTGCGTGGCTTGGGTGGTCAATAGTAGGGGCGCCATCCACCTATTGCAGATGCTGGAGCTACCGAGTAGAGAGATGATGATGCATCCAGTGCAACACTGGTTCTGTCTTTCGTCTGGTTGCGCATTGATCACTTTAAGTTTTTGGCTATCTGGAAACGGTTGTCATGGCAATATATTTTCAAGGAAACATATGTAGGGGACCCCTGAAGGTATTGCACCTGATGGAACTCCAAGTAGGCCGATGAAGTCGACCATCGGGGTGCGTGGCTTGGGTGGTCAATAGTAGGGGCGCCATCCACCTATTGCAGATGCTGGAGCTACCGAGTAGGGAGATGATGATGCATCCAGTGCAACACTGGTTCTGTCTTTCGTCTGGTTGCGCATTGATCACTCAAGTTTTTGTTTGCCTTGGAAAGAATGTCGTGGCAGGGACAATCATTTCTCCAACTGGTTAAGGAAAGTTTTTTTTTTCTATGCTTGGGCAAGTAGCGAATTCTACTGATTTTTGTGGCATCACGATGTGCCAGTGTATTTTTTAATATTTAGGTGCCTTCCAGTTGCAGGAATAGGCAGGCATTTTCACCCAAAGCTTTCAATAGTATCTCCAATGAATGGTAGAATTTTTAGTTCCGTTGACTCTACTTTGAAACTTGTAGCGTTATGTTATTAACTTATATCGGCATGTGTCCCCTAGACGACTATGCATATATCAACCAATATCAAGGACAAAACCTCTGGAATCTGTGCAAGGAATTGGCTATATACAGAAATCTTATTTTGAAGACGGCTATCAAGGACATCGTGTAATAGTTGTTGATTGTACATATCTATTTTGAAAGCTGTAATTACTGGTGCCACACTATTCGATAACATAGTAAAACCTCTGAATGACACGTTATCTCTGGATTCATGAACAGCTACCGATAATCACAGGGTTAAAGATGTTATCGTTGGATGGACTTCCCTGAAACAATGTTATACATGTGCATAGTCTATCTTAGAATAAACTGGTGTGACACGAAAGAAGAGTTTCCTATTTGAATGTCAACGCTTCTTTATCTTCCAATACATTCGAGCTGGTATAGGAAATCGTATGTCAACGTAACACGATGGATGTCTCGTTGCTATTGATCAACGAGCGTTTGTCACCTTCGCACCTCAGTCTTGTGCCTCTCCCACTTCGCTACGTGTCAATCCCTATAGAGCTTCGGCTCGGCGGCAAGGGGGATCGCCCCGCCCTCTCCTCCACCCAAACCCCCCGTAGCGACCGCGTTCAAGGCATCATCAGTATTTGTCGTTAGATGCTTTGTGATATCGTGGATAACAGTAAAACCAACCATTTACCTACCCTAACGCTAGCCCTACCGAAAGCGACTGATTTTAAGAGGTCGTCTAAGTCAGTGATTTATATCTAGTGACTTGTGACGGTTGCTGATGCTTCTTTATGGACAATGTTTAAGGTGGAAGTGAAGCATGTGATTTTGGTGTGTCTGGAGGAAGTAGAACAATTGTAAGTAGGTTGGGAGTGCAGACGTGGGATAATGGCATACTGTATATAGTTTCCCATGTGCGAAAGCTGGCTTGAATAGCCACAGCATTGCCCTACTGTATTGAGGGTTGATGTTGCGTAGAAGCGTTAGTGGCTGGTGTCGCATTTAAGATACATATTTAGCAGATTACTGCAATCAAGTGGCTGTCGTTGGATTAGGGGTTTGCTGGACACGCACATTTCGGTGAGTCGAAGTACACGGGCAATGTTGTTGACAAAGAGGTAGGACGTGGTCAGGGAGGCATTGACGATACCAGCCTTGTTGCCATTGAGAACTATGGGCTGTATTTGTCCAGAGTCATCACCAATAGCAACAGCCTTTCTACCAAACGGAATTTCGTTTCAAGCGACGATGAAAACACGTCTTCAAAGCTCATATATAGTGCATTGATTAACTATCCGCTAGAAACAACAAGTATCATGGCAATTATGAGTTTGACTTGCGGCTCCTGAAGAAGCAGTCCGGCCCGGGGTGTTCGTGCTTCAACATTGCTTGCATATTCATTGTTACAGTAGCGGCAGTCGGTGTCATGGATTCCTTATTATGATTTGTTGTACTGGTAAGGGCTGTGTACATAGCTAGATTTGTTTGTATAGCATGCCATAAGAGAAGCGACATGAAAAGAAAAAGAAACATAGCAAAATATACCTTTATTGGTTGTGATATCTTTTTTTGCTTCCTGTTCGAGAACGACGAAAGCTATGATGTGATGGAGCTGATAATGTATCATAGATTTTGTTCTTCTTCTTTCTGCTTATATAATACAAAGGTCGTCGACAATACATACCATAGAACATACCGTTAAAAAGGATCTCATAGAATAGAACAATACTACAGTATTATGTTATACCCAGAATTCATTGAAGTATAACATGCTGGAAGTTGAGTTGCAATAGCAAATGTTAGTATAGAATAGTGGATCAAGGTTGAGTAGACAGAGCACTCTGGACGGCACCATCGGATGGCTAACTTTGCCGGTCCGCACAAAGCGGCAAATATATACAGTGGGACCCCGTTTTGCAACAGTGACAGTTCCAGATATTTGTTGCAGAATTCGTGGACTTGCAACGGACTGGATTTAGTACTAGGCGTCTAAGCACAGATAAGATCAGTTTATATTTTGGTCTCTTTCCATGAGTAATACACTACTGTCATCTGATGATCGTGTTTATGACTACATATGTAGCAAAATAAAGATGTATAAATAGTTATGTTCAACATAGCTGGAATGTGTCTATATAAGCAGTTCACTAGCTTTGATGTTGTCGCTCTTCTGTGTATCATACGTATAATATTTCTACATTGTTACATTTATTTCTATGGTAAAATCTTCTTTTAAAAGCTCACAGCCGAGCAAGAAGATCGTATCAGAGAGGAATATTGCCGTATTAATGGTGCCGCTTTCTCCGGTGCAGGTAGCCACCTGTGCTAAAAGTACCACTGTGTCCCATTTTTCCCGCCTTTTGCATAAGAAATGTATCGGCCCATGCTCAATTAACGAACGGAGAGAAAGCGGCATTAACAAGAAATAATAATTTGTAAGGCATGATCTGATTGATTATCACAAATAACTATCTGTAATATCGGTATTCTATGTACGGACATTGTATGCTGATATTTTTTGTGTAGGATATTGAGGAAGCGATATGCCTTTGGATGCTAGAATCGAACCTTTATTGGCTTTTACTATCCCTTTGATAAGATGCAACAAGCGACAAGGCATATGTTTCTGTTGCAGATCACGTGAATGCTTTAACTCTGATAAGATGCAACCCTACCATACAGGTCATCCAGGTTGCAAGTTTCTAATGGTTTTTTGACATTTAAATCAACGCGTTGCAAAAAGTGTAGAGATTGCATTTGCCGGGAGTTGCAAAACCGGGTATCTACTGTAATGCGATCTAACGGCTGTAGGTTTGGTGGTAGCTCGGAAGGAACATATGCAAAGGCCATTAGCATAGGACGTAGCGATATCCACTTGACTTGAGAGAAGGCTTTTTGCGGCAGCCGCGGACAAAAGAAATATCAAAAAATATTGCTATGCGCGCGCGCGCGAGAGAGAGAGAGAGAGAGAGAGAGAGTGAAGGATAACAGTAAAGATGTATCAAAGCAAAAGAGTTCTGGTATTTATAAATTGTTTGAAATTCTTGGGATTCAATCTGTAAGGTACTGACAGGAACAAGACAAGATGGAAGGAGCACCAAGATTGAAACAAGACAAGGACCAGACAACGACGGAAAAATTTATTAAAAAGGGACTAGGTGCTTTCAATAGGAACAGGACAGGACGAAGAAAAACCGGAAGGTATAATAGGAGTCAAATGATGAGGAAAGAAACAAGATGACTGATTGATGTTTTATTATTTAAAGACTATGTCATGTGTATATATCTTGTAGTATGGATTTAACCGTATTGCAAATAAACGAGAAGATGAGCATTAAGTATGTGAAGTCGGATGACGTTGACGCTGAGGAATAGTGTATGATCATCACGGTTGAAGAGTGATCACATCAAAGGTCGGGGTGTGTTCATGACCTAATTTATCCATCCGTAACAGTTCACCAATCACCTTTCTCTTCCCTTCTCTCTTCATATTTCCCTTGAGACATCTTCATTACTATTACCGTAATGTATTGCTGACATCCTTCTCAGCCATCCTTTTGTCTTATCTGTCGACTTTTATGGGTCTACATTTCATCTTAACTGATTAGGGCGGCATTTAAATCATCAAGTATGCATTCAAAACTGCGGCGGGTGGCAGTCGCCTTTGACAGTAGCTTTTGACTCTGACCTGTTGACAATTCACCTAGGATCCGGTACAAGGCTAACAGATAACACGGTAACAGACAACTTGACGCCAGTTGAATGCTTAAGCAACAAAGCGCAGCAGCTGAAATGGAGATTGAAACAGGTGTGTAGCAAAAGTTTCTAAATATTACGTGTCATAATCGTTGCAACTGACGCATTTATAACGTAGTCCTGAACGTTGTTTTGAAAGTTCATTTAAACGCGTGAACACCCCAGTCTTGAAAGCTTCTCGTTGACGACAACAGCGATTTCAATGCCACGATAACTGTAGTAGGCGAATCAATCGAGGAAAAGTGGATTAGTCTTTTCGGTGAAGCGCAAGCAGTACGTTTTAGAACTATATGGCCAAAATGATCATAGAGCAGACTTACGGTGGAGCTTGCAAAATATCGTACGTATAATCGTTGCGTAGAAAAAAGTTACATGTTACGTACTTGAATTCTTTACTAATTTTATTTATTAGCGAACAAGAATCACTCTACACCAACAACAAAAACACCATCTCACACATCCTTTTCAACATCCTTGTCATCCGGCGACAAAGCTAGACTGGCTCAAACGTTCCAAAAGCTGAAAGAAGAAAAGTTCTGGGTATAAAATACCGATCAGCGTCTCGCTGTTGATCAGAAAATCATCGACTTTGCCAAAATATGCAATTACTTTCAGTAAGGACTATAGACGAAACAAGCTTGAGAGATCGTATTTTACAGTAGCCCAGCGCAATCTCTAATCCTGGATCTAGGAGATTACAACTGGGAAACAGTATTCCGCGACGCCCAGCTAGACAGGATCGAAGCATTCGGAGACCCTGTATTCTGCGATTTGCCGGCTGAAAACTATTACGATACTGGGCAATGCATCAAAATTGGTAAGATGCATTATGAGATTAAGTTAAATATAACGAAGTGCATAGTCAGTAACTCGTTGATTGATAATGCTCGATTTGACAGAAAACCCCGATGGAGGCGTACAAGTTCGCTCGCACTTTGGATTTCGATCCTATCAAAGAGCCTCTGAAGCATTGGGTGAGCCTTGAGCTCCAAAAAAGCTCGCAACTGCACTTCTACGGCGATTTTTATTCATCAAGTATGCTGGAGTCAGATCAGCAGTACGAGATGTGGTCCTTTTTGAAGTCCATGGTCAACGGCAATAAAATCAAGGCAGTAGGGTAAGTTATCACTAGCAAAAATGATCCAACGCGTGACATAACAGCAATAACTTGAACTGTAGTTGTAATTCACTTTAAAATAGCAAACAAGGCTCGAGAACAGCGAATGGCGACGAAAAACAATAAGAAAAGATGCATATCTGCCGTAGACCCCGCGATACATCGCAAGATGGGGCGCAAAATGGATGTATTGTACCAAAGTAGTGGCAAGGAGTTAGGTTGCTCTGAAATCGGCAAGGACGAGGACCAGACCAAGGAGATGAAAGATAGACTGTCGAAGATGTCAATTGTCATGCATACCATGCTTCTCCAGTTAGCATCATCAGAAAGCCTCCTTCGTCGAGTGCATGTGCCTGGTTTCTTATTAGCTGGTATGTGCATCCCCCAAATGCCGCCGTTCATGAAGTCTAACAGTGAAACACTTCGGACGGTAATTTTCTAGTAGGTGGCAAGGTTGCTCTGCTGGATATGGACTCGCCTGGTGGCTATGTGGCAAGGATTCGCCGCTCAAAGCCTCTTGAGTACCCGACCTGTAGCGATGACTATGTCTCCAGAATTGTTCCGTTGATGAAGCTTGCACTGACGGGTTTAGTGATCATGCAAAAAACCAGAGCAGACATCGTTAACACGGAAGTGGAGCTCGAATTGTCTTTGTCCTTACGATGGATGCTTACAGCATCATTTGTTCCTTTGACTTTCTTATTAACAAAGTCATCAACTGCAGCATGCTCATAGGCAGCATCTGTTTCCTCTCTCCTTAGTTGCCCTCTATTCTTTGCACCCTATCCTGTGTCCTTTCCTACATTTTTTCCTACTTTCTTTGTCTAAAAAATAAATTGAGTATTTTATTTGTATTTTCATTTCTATTTATATTTTAGTTATTCTCAAGGATCGCGGACGGTTAGAAAAAACAAAGAAGCATACTGGGATTTTTATAGGATGCTGCCTCTATGATAATTGACAAAGATCTACATACTGTAATTGTTCCTGTCCGTTCTACAAATGTGGGCGGTGGTGGCTGTAATATAATAGACGGCTGTGGTGCTGATGCCGGCGAATGAGCAAAGGAAGAAAGCAGTTGTTTTAACCGTCTGTGATTGTTAATAAACAGGTTTTTTCTGCGAAGATGACTGACTAGTAAAGTCGTTTCCGTCGTATTGGCCGTGAAGCAAGCGGTTGGTGAATCGAAGTGTGTTGTTCTAGTGATGGCAGTGCGTGTTGGCATGGGCGGACTCGATGGAGGCTCCAAATATAATCAGAGCAATGATAATAAGAGAGTTGAATTGTACTCTTGTTTCCAGCTTCCAAGAGACACATTCTGCTGGTTGGATCTGAGGCAGCAGCGAGTAAAACTGATCGTCTTATTGGCCTAGAGAGCTCTTGGTAGACCGTAAGAGAAAACACATATACATTTAGTATCTCAAGGTGCATAATCGAGCGAAATCGTTTGAGCTACAATGTCAAAAAAGGTCTTAAAGATTAAAAGTGCGTATCATGCGGCTGTCAATGATTTGAACCTGAAAACAATAAGTTCAAGCACGCGTTAAAAGAAGACGCGTTGAACGAAATCGCGCTTTCCTCCAGCACGATTCAATCTCTCCTCAAGTCCGACAGCTCACTTACTCTCCACCTTGCTTTTTTTTTGGACGGTGCACGCCCATACTCTTAAATATATATGTACCTTGAAGAGTTAATCATCGAGGGCTTCAAGTCCTATGTCTCAAGAACACACATCACCGGTTGGGATCCCGAGTTTAACGCCATCACCGGTCTCAATGGTTCAGGAAAATCTAACGTTCTGGACGCTATTTGTTTCGTACTCGGAATAGTGTATGATCATCACGGTTGAAGAGTGATCACATCAAAGGTCGGGGTGTGTTCATGACCTAATTTATCCATCCGTAACAGTTCACCAATCACCTTTCTCTTCCCTTCTCTCTTCATATTTCCCTTGAGACATCTTCATTACTATTACCGTAATGTATTGCTGACATCCTTCTCAGCCATCCTTTTGTCTTATCTGTCGACTTTTATGGGTCTACACTTCATCTTAACTGATTAGGGCGGCATTTAAATCATCAAGTATGCATTCAAAACTGCGGCGGGTGGCAGTCGCCTTTGACAGTAGCTTTTGACTCTGACCTGTTGACAATTCACCTAGGATCCGGTACAAGGCTAACAGATAACACGGTAACAGACAACTTGACGCCAGTTGAATGCTTAAGCAACAAAGCGCAGCAGCTGAAATGGAGATTGAAACAGGTGTGTAGCAAAAGTTTCTAAATATTACGTGTCATAATCGTTGCAACTGACGCATTTATAACGTAGTCCTGAACGTTGTTTTGAAAGTTCATTTAAACGCGTGAACACCCCAGTCTTGAAAGCTTCTCGTTGACGACAACAGCGATTTCAATGCCACGACTGGAACCGACATGTATACTTCACCAAACGTATCACCATTCTTTACAGTGAGTATTCTTAATATTTATTATTGTGAGCTCCTGTGAGATTAAAGTGTTTATTCAATTTAGTACTGTCTTTGGTTACACGTTAGTGTTTACTGCGTTTCCGGATTTGCCATTTGTAGGGGACCCCTGAAGGTATTGCACCTGATGGAACTCCAAGTAGGCTGATGAAGTCGACCATCGGGGTGCGTGGCTTGGGTGGTCAATAGTAGGGGCGCCATCCACCTATTGCAGATGCTGGAGCTACCGAGTAGAGAGATGATGATGCATCCAGTGCAACACTGGTTCTGTCTTTCGTCTGGTTGCGCATTGATCACTTTAACTTTTTTGGCTATCTGGAAACGATTGTCATGGCAATATATTTTCAAGGAAACATATGTAGGGGACCCCTAAAGGTATTGCACCTGATGGAACTCCAAGTAGGCCGATGAAGTCGACCATCGGGGTGCGTGGCTTGGGTGGTCAATAGTAGGGGCGCCATCCACCTATTGCAGATGCTGGAGCTACCGAGTAGAGAGATGATGATGCATCCAGTGCAACACTGGTTCTGTCTTTCGTCTGGTTGCGCATTGATCACTTTAAGTTTTTGGCTATCTGGAAACGATTGTCATGGCAATATATTTTCAAGGAAACATATGTAGGGGACCCCTGAAGGTATTGCACCTGATGGAACTCCAAGTAGGCCGATGAAGTCGACCATCGGGGTGCGTGGCTTGGGTGGTCAATAGTAGGGGCGCCATCCACCTATTGCAGATGCTGGAGCTACCGAGTAGGGAGATGATGATGCATCCAGTGCAACACTGGTTCTGTCTTTCGTCTGGTTGCGCATTGATCACTCAAGTTTTTGTTTGCCTTGGAAAGAATGTCGTGGCAGGGACAATCATTTCTCCAACTGGTTAAGGAAAGTTTTTTTTTTCTATGCTTGGGCAAGTAGCGAATTCTACTGATTTTTGTGGCATCACGATGTGCCAGTGTATTTTTTAATATTTAGGTGCCTTCCAGTTGCAGGAATAGGCAGGCATTTTCACCCAAAGCTTTCAATAGTATCTCCAATGAATGGTAGAATTTTTAGTTCCGTTGACTCTACTTTGAAACTTGTAGCGTTATGTTATTAACTTATATCGGCATGTGTCCCCTAGACGACTATGCATATATCAACCAATATCAAGGACAAAATCTCTGGAATCTGTGCAAGGAATTGGCTATATACAGAAATCTTATTTTGAAGACGGCTATCAAGGACATCGTGTAATAGTTGTTGATTGTACATATCTATTTTGAAAGCTGTAATTACTGGTGCCACACTATTCGATAACATAGTAAAACCTCTGGATGACACGTTATCTCTGGATTCATGAACAGCTACCGATAATCACAGGGTTAAAGATGTTATCGTTGGATGAACTTCCCTGAAACAATGTTATATATGTGCATAGTCTATCTTAGAATAAACTGGTGTGACACGAAAGAAGAGTTTCCTATTTGAATGTCAACGCTTCTTTATCTTCCAATACATTCGAGCTGGTACAGGAAATCGTATGTCAACGTAACACGATGGATGTCTCGTTGCTATTAATCAACGAGCGTTTGTCACCTTCGCACCTCAGTCTTGTGCCTCTCCCACTTCGCTACGTGTCAATCCCTATAGAGCTTCGGCTCGGCGGCAAGGGGGATCGCCCCGCCCTCTCCTCCACCCAAACCCCCCGTAGCGACCGCGTTCAAGGCATCATCAGTATTTGTCGTTAGATGCTTTGTGATATCGTGGATAACAGTAAAACCAACCATTTACCTACCCTAACGCTAGCCCTACCGAAAGCGACTGATTTTAAGAGGTCGTCTAAGTCAGTGATTTATATCTAGTGACTTGTGACGGTTGCTGATGCTTCTTTATGGACAATGTTTAAGGTGGAAGTGAAGCATGTGATTTTGGTGTGTCTGGAGGAAGTAGAACAATTGTAAGTAGGTTGGGAGTGCAGACGTGGGATAATGGCGTACTGTATATAGTTTCCCATGTGCGAAAGCTGGCTTGAATAGCCACAGCATTGCCCTACTGTATTGAGGGTTGATGTTGCGTAGAAGCGTTAGTGGCTGGTGTCGCATTTAAGATACATATTTAGCAGATTACTGCAATCAAGTGGCTGTCGTTGGATTAGGGGTTTGCTGGACACGCACATTTCGGTGAGTCGAAGTACACGGGCAATGTTGTTGACAAAGAGGTAGGACGTGGTCAGGGAGGCATTGACGATACCAGCCTTGTTGCCATTGAGAACTATGGGCTGTATTTGTCCAGAGTCATCACCAATAGCAACAGCCTTTCTACCAAACGGAATTTCGTTTCAAGCGACGATGAAAACATGTCTTCAAAGCTCATATATAGTGCATTGATTAACTATCCGCTAGAAACAACAAGTATCATGGCAATTATGAGTTTGACTTGCGGCTCCTGGAGAAGCAGTCCGGCCCGGGGTGTTCGTGCTTCAACATTGCTTGCATATTCATTGTTACAGTAGCGGCAGTCGGTGTCATGGATTCCTAATTATGATTTGTTGTACTGGTAAGGGCTGTGTACATAGCTAGATTTGTTTGTATAGCATGCCATAAGAGAAGCGACATGAAAAGAAAAAGAAACATAGCAAAATATACCTTTATTGGTTGTGATATCTTTTTTTGCTTCCTGTTCGAGAACGACGAAAGCTATGATGTGATGGAGCTGATAATGTATCATAGATTTTGTTCTTCTTCTTTCTGCTTATACAATACAAAGGTCGTCGACAATACATACCGAACATACCGTTAAAAAGGATCTCATAAAGTAGAACAATACTACAGTATTATGTTATACCCAGAATTCATTGAAGTATAACATGCTGGAAGTTGAGTTGCAATAGCAAATGTTAGTATAAAATAGTGGATCAAGGTTGAGTAGACAGAGCACTCTGGACGGCACGTTTCTTGTTGGTTCTAAAGCTTGTTCAGGTGTCGGTCCACTATTAGTATAGTCACCATCGGATGGCTAACTTTGCCGGTCCGCACAAAGCGGCAAATATATACAGTGGGACCCCGTTTTGCAACAGTGACAGTTCCAGATATTTGTTGCAGAATTCGTGGACTTGCAACGGACTGGATTTAGTACTAGGCGTCTAAGCACAGATAAGATCAGTTTATATTTTGGTCTCTTTCCATGAGTAATACACTACTGTCATCTGATGATCGTGTTTATGACTACATATGTAGCAAAATAAAGATGTATAAATAGTTATGTTCAACATAGCTGGAATGTGTCTATATAAGCAGTTCACTAGCTTTGATGTTGTTGCTCTTCTGTGTATCATACGTATAATATTTCTACATTGTTACATTTATTTCTATGGTAAAATCTTCTTTTAAAAGCTCACAGCCGAGCAAGAAGATCGTATCAGAGAGGAATATTGCCGTATAAATGGTGCCGCTTTCTCCGGTGCAGGTAGCCACCTGTGCTAAAAGTACCACTGTGTCCCATTTTTCCCGCCTTTTGCATAAGAAATGTATCGGCCCATGCTCAATTAACGAACGGAGAGAAAGCGGCATTAACAAGAAATAATAATTTGTAAGGCATGATCTGATTGATTATCACAAATAACTATCTGTAATATCGGTATTCTATGTACGGACATTGTATGCTGATATTTTTTGTGTAGGATATTGAGGAAGCGATATGCCTTTGGATGCTAGAATCGAACCTTTATTGGCTTTTACTATCCCTTTGATAAGATGCAACAAGCGACAAGGCATATGTTTCTGTTGCAGATCACGTGAATGCTTTAACTCTGTTAAGATGCAACCCTACCATACAGGTCATCCAGGTTGCAAGTTTCTAATGGTTTTTTGACATTTAAATCAACGCGTTGCAAAAAGTGTAGAGATTGCATTTGCCGGGAGTTGCAAAACCGGGTATCTACTGTAATGCGATCTAACGGCTGTAGGTTTGGTGGTAGCTCGGAAGGAACATATGCAAAGGCCATTAGCATAGGACGTAGCGATATCCACTTGACTTGAGAGAAGGCTTTTTGCGGCAGCCGCGGACAAAAGAAATATCAAAAAATATTGCTATGCGCGCGCGCGAGAGAGAGAGAGAGAGAGAGAGAGTGAGTGAAGGATAACAGTAAAGATGTATCAAAGCAAAAGAGTTCTGGTATTTATAAATTGTTTGAAATTCTTGGGATTCAATCTGTAAGGTACTGACAGGAACAAGACAAGATGGAAGGAGCACCAAGACTGAAACAAGACAAGGACCAGACAACGACGGAAAAATTTATTAAAAAGGGACTAGGTGCTTTCAATAGGAACAGGACAGGACGAAGAAAAACCGGAAGGTATAATAGGAGTCAAATGATGAGGAAAGAAACAAGATGACTGATTGATGTTTTATTATTTAAAGACTATGTCATGTGTATATATCTTGTAGTATGGATTTAACCGTATTGCAAATAAACGAGAAGATGAGCATTAAGTATGTGAAGTCAGATGACGTTGACGCTGAGGAATAGTGTATGATCATCACGGTTGAAGAGTGATCACATCAAAGGTCGGGGTGTGTTCATGACCTAATTTATCCATCCGTAACAGTTCACCAATCACCTTTCTCTTCCCTTCTCTCTTCATATTTCCCTTGAGACATCTTCATTACTATTACCGTAATGTATTGCTGACATCCTTCTCAGCCATCCTTTTGTCTTATCTGTCGACTTTTATGGGTCTACATTTCATCTTAACTGATTAGGGCGGCATTTAAATCATCAAGTATGCATTCAAAACTGCGGCGGGTGGCAGTCGCCTTTGACAGTAGCTTTTGACTCTGACCTGTTGACAATTCACCTAGGATCCGGTACAAGGCTAACAGATAACACGGTAACAGACAACTTGACGCCAGTTGAATGCTTAAGCAACAAAGCGCAGCAGCTGAAATGGAGATTGAAACAGGTGTGTAGCAAAAGTTTCTAAATATTACGTGTCATAATCGTTGCAACTGACGCATTTATAACGTAGTCCTGAACGTTGTTTTGAAAGTTCATTTAAACGCGTGAACACCCCAGTCTTGAAAGCTTCTCGTTGACGACAACAGCGATTTCAATGCCACGATAACTGTAGTAGGCGAATCAATCGAGGAAAAGTGGATTAGTCTTTTCGGTGAAGCGCAAGCAGTACGTTTTAGAACTATATGGCCAAAATGATCATAGAGCAGACTTACGGTGGAGCTTGCAAAATATCGTACGTATAATCGTTGCGTAGAAAAAAGTTACATGTTACGTACTTGAATTCTTTACTAATTTTATTTATTAGCGAACAAGAATCACTCTACACCAACAACAAAAACACCATCTCACACATCCTTTTCAACATCCTTGTCATCCGGCGACAAAGCTAGACTGGCTCAAACGTTCCAAAAGCTGAAAGAAGAAAAGTTCTGGGTATAAAATACCGATCAGCGTCTCGCTGTTGATCAGAAAATCATCGACTTTGCCAAAATATGCAATTACTTTCAGTAAGGACTATAGACGAAACAAGCTTGAGAGATCGTATTTTACAGTAGCCCAGCGCAATCTCTAATCCTGGATCTAGGAGATTACAACTGGGAAACAGTATTCCGCGGCGCCCAGCTAGACAGGATCGAAGCATTCGGAGACCCTGTATTCTGCGATTTGCCGGCTGAAAACTATTACGATACTGGGCAATGCATCAAAATTGGTAAGATGCATTATGAGATTAAGTTAAATATAACGAAGTGCATAGTCAGTAACTCGTTGATTGATAATGCTCGATTTGACAGAAAACCCCGATGGAGGCGTACACGTTCGCTCGCTCTTTGGACCATGATCCCATCTCAGAGCCATCAAAAGCATGGGTATGCTTTGTACTGATCAAAAGTTCGCGACACCATTTTTACAATGATTTTAACTTGAAAAGCATGCTCGAGTCGGATCAACAGTACGAGATTTGGTCCTTTTTGAAGTCCATGGTCAACGGCAATAAAATCAAAGCAGTAGGGTAAGTTATCACTAGCAAAAATGATCCAACGCGTGACATAACAGCAATAACTTGAACTGTAGTTGTAATTCACTTTAAAATAGCAAACAAGGCTCGAGAACAGCGAATGGCGACTAAAAACAATAAGAAAAGATGCATATCTGCCGTAGACCCCGCGATACATCGCAAGATGGGGCGCAAAATGGATGTATTGTACCAAAGTAGTGGCAAGGAGTTAGGTTGCTCTGAAATCGGCAAGGACGAGGACCAGACCAAGGAGATGAAAGATAGACTGTCGAAGATGTCAATTGTCATGCATACCATGCTTCTCCAGTTAGCATCATCAGAAAGCCTCCTTCGTCGAGTGCATGTGCCTGGTTTCTTATTAGCTGGTATGTGCATCCCCCCAAATGCCGCCGTTCATGAAGTCTAACAGTGAAACACTTCGGACGGTAATTTTCTAGTAGGTGGCAAGGTTGCTCTGCTGGATATGGACTCGCCTGGTGGCTATGTGGCAAGGATTCGCCGCTCAAAGCCTCTTGAGTACCCGACCTGTAGCGATGACTATGTCTCCAGAATTGTTCCGTTGATGAAGCTTGCACTGACGGGTTTAGTGATCATGCAAAAAACCAGAGTAGACATCGTTAACACGGAAGTGGAGCTCGAATTGTCTTTGTCCTTACGATGGATGCTTACAGCATCATTTGTTCCTTTGACTTTCTTATTAACAAAGTCATCAACTGCAGCATGCTCATAGGCAGCATCTGTTTCCTCTTTCCTTAGTTGCCCTCTATTCTTTGCACCCTATCCTGTGTCCTTTCCTACATTTTTTCCTACTTTCTTTGTCTAAAAAATAAATTGAGTATTTTATTTGTATTTTCATTTCTATTTATATTTTAGTTATTCTCAAGGATCGCGGACGGTTAGAAAAAACAAAGAAGCATACTGGGATTTTTATAGGATGCTGCCTCTATGATAATTGACAAAGATCTACATACTGTAATTGTTCCTGTCCGTTCTACAAATGTGGGCGGTGGTGGCTGTAATATAATAGACGGCTGTGGTGCTGATGCCGGCGAATGAGCAAAGGAAGAAAGCAGTTGTTTTAACCGTCTGTGATTGTCAATAAACAGGTTCTTTCTGCGAAGATGACTGACTAGTAAAGTCGTTTCCGTCGTATTGGCCGTGAAGCAAGCGGTTGGTGAATCGAAGTGTGTTGTTCTAGTGATGGCAGTGCGTGTTGGCATGGGCGGACTCGATGGAGGCTCCAAATATAATCAGAGCAATGATAATAAGAGAGTTGAATTGTACTCTTGTTTCCAGCTTCCAAGAGACACATTCTGCTGGTTGGATCTGAGGCAGCAGCGAGTAAAACTGATCGTCTTATTGGCCTAGAGAGCTCTTGGTAGACCGTAAGAGAAAACACATATACATTTAGTATCTCAAGGTGCATAATCGAGCGAAATCGTTTGAGCTACAATGTCAAAAAAGGTCTTAAAGATTAAAAGTGCGTATCATGCGGCTGTCAATGATTTGAACCTGAAAACAATAAGTTCAAGCACGCGTTAAAAGAAGACGCGTTGAACGAAATCGCGCTTTCCTCCAGCACGATTCAATCTCTCCTCAAGTCCGACAGCTCACTTACTCTCCACCTTGCTTTTTTTTTGGACGGTGCACGCCCATACTCTTAAATATATATGTACCTTGAAGAGTTAATCATCGAGGGCTTCAAGTCCTATGTCTCAAGAACACACATCACCGGTTGGGATCCCGAGTTTAACGCCATCACCGGTCTTAATGGTTCAGGAAAATCTAACGTTCTGGACGCTATTTGTTTCGTACTCGGCATCACCAACTTGTCTCATGTAAAGAAACAACGATCGATCGATGATATATGACAACAGTTAAAAATCGGCCTATATGTGAGGGAGCTCAACTTGTAACGCATGGATTTGGTTTATTTAGGTTCGAGCCAGCAATCTACAAGATTTGATTTACAAACGTGGCAATGCTGGCGTGACAAAGGCTTCTGTGACGATTGTCTTTAACAATGAGGATCGGGAAAGAAGTCCAGTAGGCTTTGAAAACTACAAACAACTTACAGTGACTCGACAGGTAGATATATATAAAGATAGCTGATGTGTCAATGTTATAGTGTAGCTAATATAAAAGGATAATATATGAAGTCATAAACATTTCTAACGCCAAAACGACTCTGTATGTGTGTATAAGGTCTTGATGGGAGGTCGTACGAAATATATCGTCAACGGACATAACGCACAGCAACAAACCGTCCAAAACTTGTTCCAATCCGTCCAACTCAATATTAACAATCCGCATTTCTTGATTATGCAAGGCAAAATCACCAAAGTGTTGAACATGAAACCGGTCGAGATCCTAAGTATGGTGGAAGAAGCAGCAGGCACGAAAATGTTTGAGGATCGTAAAAACAAAGCTATCGTCACTATGGGTAAAAAGGAGCGTAAAGTGGAAGAAATCAATACGGTAAGTCGCTCTCCCTTTTGTGTGGTGAGAGAGTGTGTGGCATATGTATCAATGCGCATTAAGTAGGCCTCATACACGCGTATTCAAAAAAAATTAGATTCTACAAGAAGAAATTGCACCCAAGTTAGATCACCTTCGTGCCGAGAAACGCTTGTACCTGGACTTCCAGAAAACAGAATCTGAAATGGAACGATTGAACCGTGTTATGGTAGCATACGAGTATAATCGGCTTGAGGTGCGTTATTAACAAATGGTAGTGAATGGTTGCTGTTGTCAAGGGGATAATACTGATAAAACGAGCTGTATCTAGGAGAGACTGAATAAATCCGGAGTGGCTAGCCGTCAGGAACGTGTGAATCAACTGATGGAGGAAAAGACGGTGTTGGAGAACGAACTACAAGCGATTGAGGAGGATCGAAATGCTGCTGCTTCAAAGCTTGCAAACGTAAGTACACGGCTATTCGTTTGCTAGAGAGTAAGGAGATAGTCTCTTTCGATATTTTGGCCAAATCATGCTGAATGCATCTCTTTGGCTCATGATATTTTAGGACTCGACTAGTAATAGCAACTATCGAAAACTTGAAAATCAAGTCAAGGATTATTCAACACAACTTGTACGACTGAAAACGAAACGCGATTTGCAAGAAGCAACCACTGCTGATGAACAAAAAGCCTTCTCAAACTTGGCGTCAAATAAAGGCGAGGTAATACATTCTAAAAAGGGAATGATGAGTGCGATTTGGCTATTCTGGTTTCGCTAAATTCAATATAAACATGTCTGCTCTATAAGATGGAACGCAATCTTGCTGAAAAGGACGACTCATACGATAAAATCAATCAGCAATACGAATCATACAAGAAAACACACGATGAAAAGGTGGAGGAGCTGCACAAAAAGTCTGAGCTTTTACAGACGTTGACGACCGGTATTTCGGCAGAAGAGGGCCACGAAAGCGGTTACATGGAACAGTTACAGAGTATGGATTGATACTTTACTTCTGGGCTACTCGAGGGGATATGTAAAGAAACATATACCCGGTAACTAATGATGGGTCTTCTTTCCTGTCTGCTATCTTTGTTTCCATTAAAAAGGCGCCAAGAATGCAGTCAACGAAGCCTCCACGATGGAAGAACAATCCAATCTCAAGATAGCACATCTGAAAAAAGAACTCAAAGAAAAAGAGCCACAAGCAACGCGTGCTGAAAAAGAAGACGAAGGATTACTAATAGAAATGTCAGTAAAGCGAAAAGACCTGTCAGAAACGGAAAACCATTTAGCTACATTGCATTGGAATCCAGAGCGCGAAAATGATCTGATTTACCGCAAAAACCAGGAACGAGAGACCATCATGGAGTTATCTGACGTAAGTTTTGCCACGATAAGACATCTCTGTGTGGTTTTCCTGTTTTGCCAACGATACATATACGTAATTGCATAGCGAGTCGAAAACCTATCACGACGATTGTCCAATTTGGACTTTTCCTATTCTGATCCCTCGCCCAATTTTGATCGATCCAAAGTCAAAGGTCTTGTCGCCGAACTGATCAGCCTCGATAAACAAAACTACAATGCCTCCACAGCACTCGAGATTTGTGCTGGCGGTCGTTTATACAACGTTGTAGTCGAGAACGAGGTTGTCGGTGCTCAATTACTCGACAAGGGACGCCTACGACGACGTATCACTCTGGTACCACTCAACAAGATCCAAGGCTTCCGTGCGTCTGCAGACAAGATTGCCAATGCACAGCGTATCGCACCCGGCAAAGTCGACCTAGCACTTTCGCTCGTGGGCTATGATGAGGAGGTCGAACCAGCCATGGACTGGATTTTTGGCAACACGCTGATTTGTGAAGATGCTGCTACTGCGAAGAAAGTCACGTTCGACAATAGCGTCCGCATGAAATCTGTCACGCTCGATGGTGATGTCTATGATCCATTTGGAACGCTTTCTGGTGGCTCAAAACCGCAGTCGTCGGGTGTTCTTGTCACGATGCAGGAACTGACCGAGATTCGACACGATATTGAAGAACATCGTTACACGCTTGAACAAATTGAACGAGAGCTTTATGATGCGCAAAAGGCCATTGCCGAATATCAAAAGTGCAAGCAGCGTTTGGACCTGCAATCGCATGAAATTTCGCTTTTGGAGAATCGTCTGAACCAGAGCAACCATGCTCAGGTAAGGTACTTAAAATAATACATAGAGGATGACCATTCTAACCTTTTTTCCTCCCACTATATAGCTTAAACAACGAGTGAACGTTATTAAAGTCCAAATACAAGAGCAAGAAGAGGCCGTTGTTAAGGCCAAAGAAGCACATCGTGAGGCACTCAAGAATGAAGAGCGGATTCAAAATGAAATGCGCGAATTCAATGCCAACAGAGACTCAAAGCTAAACGAAATGACGGTACGTGTATTCTTTCCTTCTCAAGCCTAGTAGAAGAATTATTGCCGTTTAAGCATGGTTTTAGGATACTAAGTTTTTCGTATCTATCCATTAGGATCGTGTTGCAAAACTCCGGGTTCAAGTAAACAAGGAAGCACAAAGAGTCAATGACATGCATCGCGCAGTACAAACATTGGAGCTTGAGCGAGGTAAACATTTACTTTTGTTCCCATTACACCATTGCACACACACACACAAAGCTTAAACATGTATTGGTTGCACTCTGTAGAACAGCTGCGATCCGACATTTCATCTTGTGACCAAGATATGAAACGTGTACGAGACACAATCAACGGATATAAGGAACTCCAGTCCGGGATGGCACAAGAGATTGAAGAAATAAAAAAGAATCTCGAGACAGCGCAAGAGGATTTACAACGAGAAACCGAAGTGCTTGCTTCTTTCAATGAAGAGTTGAAGGAGCTTGAAGCATTACAACAAAAGAAAGCCAAGGAGGTCAATGAACACAACCTTGAGATCCAGAAAATTAAGCACGAGCTGGAAAAGTTTCATCGAGACCAGCATGGAGCACTGCAAGCTATCGCTGATCTGGAGAATCAGTATGATTGGATTGTTGATCAGAAGCAGTAAGTTTATAAACATTGGCACTCTATAGGATGAAACGACGCTGATGCTTGTCTGGTTTTAGATTCTTTGGTGCATCAGGGACACCCTATGATTATACAAACATCAATATTGGTGATTCTCGAAAGACACTGCAACGGCTACGTGACAAGTACGAGTCGATGCGGAAGAAGATCAATGTTCGAGTGATGAACATGATTGACAAGTGCGTACACTGTCTTCTAATCAACTAAAATGGAAGAATATAGTGAGGGCGGCAAAACAATGTATTAACCTCTTATTTACAATACAGTGTCGAAAAGAAAGAGACATCTTTAACGACCATGCTTCAAACGGTCCAAAAGGACAAGCAAAAGATTGAGGATACCATCAAGTCGCTAGACGATTACAAAATGGAAGCACTTGAACGAACGTGGAGTAAAGTCAACAAGTGAGTCTCGTGGGGTGCTATGTGTTACAAGCAACTTTTTTTCTTCCAATGACGACTTATCGGATAAATATAGGGACTTTGCCGAGATTTTTGCAGATTTGTTACCCGGCAACACATGTCGACTGCAAGCACCCGAAGGAAAACAGATTTCGGATGGCTTGGAAGTCAAAGTGAATCTTGGTGGTGTGTGGAAGCAAAGCCTGACTGAACTAAGTGGTGGACAACGGTAAATGTTTGAGCCTGAGGAAGAAACCCCCAAGATTGGTATTTCTTAACTCCCAGCTGACGTTAAAATTTGTAGATCACTGATTGCACTTTCGCTGATCTTGTCACTACTCCAATTCAAACCTGCACCAATGTACATTCTGGACGAAGTCGATGCAGCCTTGGATTTATCACATACACAAAACATTGGTCAATTGTTACGGACACGGTTCAAAGGATCACAGTTTGTGGTTGTGTCACTCAAGGATGGCATGTTTAACAATGCAAATGTCCTTTTCAGAACCCGGTTCCGGGACGGCACGTCTGTTGTCGAGGTATGGTTGGTGATACATGATCTATAGAACGTTCGTCGTTTTCTAATTCTATGAATCAAAACAATCTAAATTCTTACATAGCGTACGACCCATCGATCGTCATCAACCGCATCAGAAAAACAAAGCTCGAGTGCAAGCAGTAGCGGTGCCACTGGTGGTAGTCGCAAGCGTGGACGTGGTGACAAGGAAAACCGACCCGTTGTTGCATAAGCCCGCTAATAAGTACAGACCCTAAAACATTCCCATGCATTCCCATTACAAACATCATCATCACCGTAATTTTCACTCCTACTCTCTCCTCCATTCATTGTCTTACATGCACTTACAAAGCTGTATATACTACTTTCTTCTCTACACCACCGCCACCGTCACCGCTGCCATCATCATCATCTGCAGTAATAAAGAAAAGTGGCACCAAGAGAGTAAAAGAAAAGATCCACAGCGCTTAGTAGTATTTCTAACTTTTAAAAAAAGAACGGGGGAATGATATAATTTACTTTGTATATGGTACTGTACAACATGTGGGAGACTTGCATATATGTGTATTAAACAAGAAGAGACTACCACACAAAAGGAAAAGGGCAAAAAGATATGGTATGCTACTATATATGCGGGTGTGTCTGTACGTATAGCGGTTAGGGTGATCTTCTTTCTTCTGGATAGGGTTTACCCCTACAGTCGCGTTTACACATGGGACATCTGCTGTTCAGTGCTAGCCATTCATGAACACAGGTACGGTGAAAGTGATGGTTGCACCTATTAAGTTTTTTTTTAAGTTTCTCGAGCTTTTTATAAATAATAAACAAATGAAAGAAGCTGACGTGCTTACCATAATTGGCACAAGATATCTCCGTCATCGTACGTGGATAAGCAGATGGCACACACTTGGTCTTGTTCATTAGGAATCTCGATCGTATCGAACTCTGGCTCTTGTTGATCCTGCTGACCATTGTCAGAAACAAAGCCTAACCGAACCCAAAGATGATCTAAAAAGCTCAACGATGGTTCCATGCGTTCACCCGCCATCATCTTTTTCGCTTGTTTTGTCGTCGTGGTTGATAATGGTAATTCGTGAATTTCAATTTCCTCGGCGCCTCCTGCTCCTCCACTGCCGATAGGATGATGATTCGGCACAGGTGCCGGTGAAGTGGTGGTGCTTTTGTTGGATTTAAATTGATAGACTGGAATCGTTGCAATCTCTGCGCTTGACGCACCGCCCATATCCACTGCATCCTCTACATGAATGATACGCATTCCCACTAATTTCCTATGTGTGTGAGTTCCATTGTTCTTGTTTTCTCTCTCTTTCACTCTTTCTCGAACGGACAAAAGGATTTCTTACCAAGAACACAGGGAAGACAGAAAATGACGGCAGTACATAAGAATATCGGTACAGAAATGATCAGATAATTGTATACAATCACCACGAGCGATAGATAATATAATGGTACAGCTGTCTCGGAGCAAGTGCTCGACGTGAAAAGCATATAGTTGCCTATTATGAACCACAGCAGGCCAAACATATCCAATGCCGACTTTGCTCTAAGGAATTGCAAGTTTTTGTATCAGAAACCAAAGTAGGTACAGAAGAAGAAACGAGGTTCTCTTTACCGATCAATCCAATGTGTTAATGTCGTATCTGCATAAAGTGGGTTAAAAACTTCAGGTCGACTCGTACGATGCATGATGTTCGGTGGAGGAGCTTGGGCCATGACAGACGGCGGTAATGATGATGCTTGCTGCTGTTGTTGCTGGTGATTGAAATGATGATGGAGATGATAGTATTGCTGGTGATCGGAAGAGGGTGGCGACATTAATGATGCTGCTGGTGCTGTGGGAGGTGATGGCGTGGGTGGCGAGGAGACGATCGCAGAGGAAGAGGGTGACGACAATGCCTGGATATGAGCGGAGGTAGTAGTAGCTGTTGCTGTGGCGGTGGTAGTGGTGGAGGAAGAGGTTGTATTATTATTATTCGTGGTTGCGTTTGCATTTGTTGTGGCGTTAGTGGTTGTCGTGGGGACGCGGGTCGTGTTGTTGGGTGTTGCTAAGGTAGTCATAGGATATATTTCGCCTGCTTCGGCGCGGTTCTCCGCGCTAACTAGCCGGTGATGGTGATGATGCCGTGAGTGTTGCTGGTGATGAAGATGATGATTATATTGCTGTGATAAAGATGCATTATGCAGTGAATGTTGCTGTTGAGAATGTAAATGCGAATGTGGCTGTTGCTGCTGCTGTTGCTGTAAGATCTGCTGTTGCTGCAGGCGACGTGGTATCAGATGTAAATAGACGGTAAGAGGAGAGGCGAGTGCAAGTCGCAGGATATACACTGTGATGAATATACGTAGTGGTTTGTCGCAATACATTTCCCAAGAAAACGTCAAGACGATGATCGATGCAATCACCTAAGGATATACGATAAGTTAAACTTTTAATGTGCCTTCCTTGATGAGCCCTCTTTACTTGACTTGTTACTCCCTAAGAGACACACGCACAACACACCCACAGAGAGAGAGAGAAACAAGTACAAGTATTTAACAAGTTTTTTTATACGCTACCTGCACCGCCATCAACGTCATGGAGGAGGCAAGAAATAACTTTGAAGAACGTGAACTTCGACGCCAATTTAACGCAAAATGGCTAAACCAGTGCGATCGTACTCGTCGCGACGTCCGTGCCGTGCTCCTGGACAAATGAACGGCATTGGAGGGTGAATTGGTGAGGATGCGTTGAAGAGCAGGTCGTGTAGAGGACGAAGACGAAGTAGACGATGTCGAAGACGTGGTAGACGGTTGATGACGATGACTAAGCCTAGCTGTTGTAGGCATCGGCAAAGGCTTTTGGAGAGAAGGAGGGTGGGGTGTTTCTTTGTGTTAATACGTTATGGTTGTGTATATACTCTATATGAAGAAGTAGCAGAAGGTATGAATGAGGGTTGCGTTGTGGTTCCAGGGCCGGATAAGGAAAGGGGGTGCGAGTGAGAGAAAGAAGAAGAGATATATCGCGCCTAACGAGAAAACAAGTTTATCTTGTCGAGGAGAGGGATCTGTAGCTTTTTCAAAAGAGAAAAAGAAAGGTTCTGGCTGAAAATACAGGCGCTGCTGCTCAAAAAAGCTGCTTTGAGTAACCAAAGTCCTTACATTATGTAATGCAAACCTGGTAATAGGAAAGAGTCTGGGTTTGATTTTCATGTACATGTACTGTACACACTGCACTTACTTTATATATCTGCTAAATGAGGCGTTATTGCAACTTCGTTCTTCGCTCGTTAACGTATGACCGCGAGGTCTCTGATAAACTACGGCTTGGGGCGCTGATTTACACTTCAGTGTTGTTGGCGGACCGAGTCTTTCGCCGCTTTGGCCGAGTGTCACGTCCTTTGTTCAGGTGCGCGTAGTTACGTGCTCCGGGTACCCGTAAACCTCCAATTATAGCATATTGCCGCCATTTTCCATAAGCCCAAAAAGTGCGCGCCTTGTGAAGGCATAATGAATTCCCAAGTTTATTTTTCTGGATAAATATGTCATCGGCGGTCGTACTCATCTCCAGTCTCTCTTTAATCTATAATAGAGAAGGCATCAATGCCATTATGTGAAAAGAGTGCTTCACTGAAAGTGTAGTTCTTGACAAGTATTCACGCGATAATTCATTGTTTATTTCTGACAACCATACCTTTACGCTGCTATTATAGTGGAGAATTGTTCCTTCCTTTTACCTGCTTTATCATATACCACACTTTCCACCTCCCGCAGCACACCAACCACCCGATCCCTTTTTTGTGTCTCAATCCTCATGTCCGACAACACTAACAATACACTGCGAATCCTAATCGCGACAGACAATCATGTCGGTTATCTTGAAGAAGATCAAATCCGCGGCAAAGATTCGTTCCAATCATTCGAAGAAGTCCTCATTCTCGCCAAACACCACAAAGTCGACTTTATATTACTAGGCGGCGATCTATTCCACCACAGTCAACCGTCGCTCTATTGTCTACGCCATGTCATTGGCTTGATCCGTCAACATTGTTTTGGCGACAAGCCTTGTGAATTCAACATTTGCAGTGACCAGAGTATCAATTTCCAAAGCCGGTTCCAACAAGGTGCCAACGTCTACGATCCTAATCTGAACGTCAGCATTCCTATTTTTACCATCCACGGCAATCACGACGATCCTGTTGGAAACGGCAACTTGTCCGCCATGGATTTGCTGGCCAGTGCTGGCTGCGCTAATTATTTCGGTCGGTGCCATGATTTAAACGATATCAAGGTTTATCCTATTCTGATGCAAAAGGGTGAGACCAAGCTGGCCTTGTATGGAATGGGTAACGTACGCGACGAACGATTACACCACGCATGGCGCGACGGATCCGTATCGTTTATTCGACCCAGTAACGAGCACGGTGGACAGACATGGCTCGATGACGCGTTCAATATGTTTGTTCTGCACCAAAACCGCGTACGACACGGTCCTACGTCTTATGTGCCTGAAGAATTTCTAGACGAGTTTATTGACTTGGTGTTGTGGGGTCATGAACATGATTGTCGAATCGATCCAGAACCTAGTCATGGGAAATATATTTCCCAGCCTGGATCATCCGTCGCAACAAGTTTGGCCGAGGGCGAAGCTTTGCCCAAACACGTGGGTCTCTTGGAAATTACAGGCAGGGAATACTCGCTACAAAAAATCCGATTGACTACTGTACGACCCTTTCAATATACTGCTGTGTCCTTATCCGAAGTCGCCGAGCTGAGAAACGCTACGCACGACAGCAAGGCAGTCCAGCGATACCTGTTCTCTGTTGTAGAAGACTTGATCCGTCGAGCACAAGATGAATGGGACGAACAGCAGGATGACCTACGACTAGAGAACGATAACAACAACGACAACAGCAATCCAGAACTGCAAAGCCAACGAAATCGACCCATGCCATTACCATTGATCCGTATTCGAGTCGAATATGGTGGCGACTTTGAAGCATTCAATGTGGTGGTGTTTGGCAAGAAATTCGTGTCACGCGTGGCCAATCCGCGAGATATACTAAAGTTCCACCGACAACGCAGCGCTGGCGACGGTGCACGGCGACAAGCCCGACAACGAGCGACGGAAATACTGAATGATCCAGATGCAAGTGTGCCTGAAAGACTGGATACGGTCCGTGTTGAAGCATTGGTCGATGAAATACTGGGCAGGACGCTCGAAGTGCTTCCGGAAAATGAGATGCAGGATGTGGTGCAGAAATTGATTGACAAGGAGGACAAGAAGGCTGTCTCAAGCTTTATCCAACAATCTGTGCAGCGCATGAAGCGTAGCATTGACGATGAAAATCATAACACAAGTATTGAAGACCTGTCGGACCAGTTTGTCAAGCGAAGAGCAACAGAACTCAAGGAGGATCGATTCAATAACTATGCTCGTGAACAAGCGTCCCGAAATGCTCGACGAACCAGACGAAGCGATAACAATGAAGATGACAGTCATGGCGAGTAACGTTTTCAAAAAACGGGAAAACGAAGGATAGCCCAAGGAAAAAGGACCGTTTTTTATTGTTATTGCTATGTTGCAGTGCTTGTTTGGTGGATCAATATGTAAATAGTGTTTTTTGATACTCAATTATTACATGCACAGTCATACACACACACACCCAAAAACCAGAAAAATGCCAATATTAAATTTTCTACTGCTTGCAGAAAATAAGGGGTACATGGTCTGGGCTCTCTGTGTATGTGCGCCTGTTCAATGTTTGTGCCAATTTGAGAAGAAATCAAGGGATATATGGAAGTGCTAGGAATTTCAATATGCTTTTTTTTAGATTGACAATCATCGAAATTCTCTTGCCCGTTTTGCCAAGTTCGCGTGGTTTCCTTTTCTTTTCTACTCTTTCTTTTTTTATATACTGAAGCATTCCCAACGTCATCAATGCATCAGCATCAACAAAACCCACCAACGTTACAGAACACGGTCGTCCCTGAAGAAACGGACGAGCAGATTCAAAGCATGATGAGCGAGGAGGAAGAACTCAACGCCACGTCAAGACATAGGCACAGCACCAACAACAGTATAAGAAGGAGCCGTCTATCAGATATCATATCGCAGCGGATGCTTAGGCCATTTTCAGGACACCAAGGTAAGCTTTGCTTCTTCAGGAAAAATAATAATTTTCGACATACAACCGAAGAAGATGTACAAGACTAACACATGTATTGTATTCATAGAACCTACGAATGGGATTAGTAGCTTTCACCAACAACAACAGCGCGACAGTGACAACAACTATTATCTTGCTCGAGACTCCCGTGTATCCGCTAACTCGATGCCACAATTCCCATGCGCAGCTAAACGACAATCATCCATAAAGAAGCAACATCATCACAGTTTACCACGGTCACCCAGGATCCCATCCTCCTTATCCGACATCATGTACTACAGCTGCGACCAAGACAGCATTACTGAATTACCCTTGAACATGGGTGACGACGACTACGACGATTATGGATACCACCACAAAAACGAAAAACAACACGGGAATACTTTGCACGGCGCATCGAGTAGTCAGACACTCGTAGCCATGCCCTCTTACCAGTATCATTCTCAGTTCTGCCATCATCATCAACAATCAGAACCCAATCAGCAACTACAACCAAACAAGCAACAACGTCAATCTTGGCGGGTCACTGCAACGGATTCAATCTTTTCCTTCTTATCCGCACCTTCCAAGATCAGTCGTTCTACAACCCAGCACTATGTGTTTTCGCCTCCTTCGTTGGCCGAATTACACGGCATTGATAATATCACCACAGAGAAAAGGACAAACAAGGGAAAGCCGTCTCAACGCGGCATATGTACTACCGTGACAATTGCTACCGTGATAATGGTGATTTTGTTTTTGTTTGCAGGATACCCATTATCTGTGCACATTGCAAAGCAACAAAGTGAAAACAAGGGCAACAGCAGCAGCAGCAGTATCAGCGGAAGCAGCAGTATCAGTGGTAGCAGTAGTGACATTAGCTAGTTTTCCTCAACCATTTAATTTGTTGATTCAGCTGGTTTTCCGTCCCCATTAATCTTTCACTATGAAATGTTTATTCGATTATACAAAAATACCACTAATACATTATAGCATACCCCATTATCACGCTAACTCTAACAATCGTTTGAATGCAATAATAGGCTGCTCTTTTAGAATCATTGACTGCTGGTGATTGTTGTATCCATCTATCATTTTTTGGTCTCAGGAAGGAGCTTCAACCAATGGTCAAATATGTATATATTGTCTTTGCTTCTATCGCGCCTAAATTGCGAAAAGCCCAGATGACAATAGCTATAGCAAGCGCTTTAAGTATATCAATTTATTGGCACATATGCGTACATGCCATGTCAAGAGCACCCACGTTTTTGAGCATACACAGTATACGCAAAGTACGGCGGCTCCCCTTGTCGATTTCAACCGATTATACAGCATAATCTTTTTCACCTTCCAAACGCTTTTCTTACTAATGATGCAGATAGATGATCAACCTTCGTATTCTACCTATACGAGTTGCGGTTTGCCTCAGAGCTTTTCCCATATATTTGACTAACAAGCAGAAGCTTTGGTTGGTTTCCTTTTTAGTGAATGCATGATAAAAACAGCAGTACATATAATAGAACCAATGAAAATTCAACATCGAAGACGATGACAAGATACTGTTTTTGGGAATACTGTTTGTTTGTTTGCATAAAGTGGTTCTTGGATAGAGTGGGCCCCAATTTTTTGCACGCCCACTTGATGAAATTACATTTTCCTCGCTTCTTGCATTTTGCAGACCAAATAAAGTAGACCTGCGACTTTTTACTGGTGACCAAATTTATGTATTGCTTAGACAAGCTCAATATTTCAGAGAGAAAACTATCTGACAGAATGGTTTATAATAGCATTAAAGTAGCTTTCAGGCAGCTTAGAGCAGACTATGAGGTTTTCTTACAGTTGTTTTCGAATATCCTTGTAGGTCTAGAAATATAAGTCAACAGTTATTCAAGGTGATAGACCCAAGCTCAAAGCCGTCCACTTTTTATGATACTGCAAAAAGCGGAGCTTTATTTGCTAACGTCATTAATATACAAAACGTTCGTACTTGGTTTGTTAATATCTAGTTGATTTACAGTAGACCCTCGTTGATTTCAGCGTAAATTTATATGTATTTTGTGTTAGCGAGGATAGTTTATACTAGACTCCCTGCTGCTTTTCTTGTTAGTATGATAGGTTTAAAAAACTTTAAAAATAATGAGGATTGCGGGTATGAAATTAGAGTGGGTCGACTATATTTGGGATAAGGCAAGCCTACTGTATCTTTTTGGTTTCGCCGAAAATCTGCTTATATCAAAGTACAGCTTCTTTTGGTCCAAATCCATACACGTCGTGTTTTTTATTTACCGAACAAACAGTGTTTGATACAAGCAGCAGCAAAGGTAGTACCTAAGGCGTTGTGGGATTTTGTTATTTTTCTGGTTCAGGATAAAGCAACTAAAGTAAGGTCATACATAATTGTCACTTGTATATTCCATTATCTAACAGGAACTCTTTTATCAAGGCCGTTTACTTTTGCAATGCCTTTTTGTTTTTTGAGTTAATGATGTTGGGAGAAGTCCCTTGATCGCTGATATACTCGTGGCGTCTCTGATTGTCATTTGTTTGTTTCACACAAATACACAGAAAAATGCTTGCTGTTCTTCTATAACATTACTGCAGTTTGGCCCGCATGAACTGTTATGTTCCACAGTTTCATACATGTACAAAAGACTAATGTGGTGCGACCTCAATAACTGGAAGTAGCAGACATAGACTTCACCTTCTTCATCTTGTTTCAAACATATGCAGAGCACGTACGCACATACGCAGCATAAAGTCATCAAGCAAGTTTATAATTTAGATCTACTCCGCTCAAATCTTACAGTACATTCTTTCCCATACAACAAATGCTATAGTTTCAGCTAGCAAGCAAAAATTACTATTAACTAGAAGGAAGGTCGGCAAAGCGAATTACGTGCCACCACCACTTTCGTGAAGTAAACAAATAAACTTTGACATAGAGACGCAAATACAGTATTCTCTTTCTCTTCCGAAGTAGCGTATACACAAATAAACAAATATCACAAACGGGAAAAGTAATATGCGAGCCCGGATTTCTTTTCGCCACCATTATCACCCTCATTGACAACTAGTTTCTGTTTTTTCTCTCTTCTTTCTTAGAGAAAACATCACATATCATGCCGTGGACACGTCCGGACGAGAAGGAAAAAGCCGTGATTGCTGAACAATATCGCAACGTCATTAACGATGAACGGACATCACTGCTGCCAACAACAAATGTATCTCTATCAAGCAGCAACAGTGCCTTACTTTCCGTTACTGCTGGTGGTGGTGGTGGTGGCACTCGATCAGAGGCCATTGGCTTGACGATCATGGCATTGTGTGCCCTCACCTATAGTATTATGAACCTCTTAATCAAATCGACCGGTTCCTTTGTCCCATCGTTCCAAATCGCGTTTGTTGGCTCTGCGGTGGAAACCGTTCTCAGCCTGGCTACATGTCAATTTCTAAAGATCAATCCGTCGGGACCACGCTGTCAACGCCCTTGGATGATCGTTCGCGGTGTTTCCGGTGCAATCGCCTTGGCAGCAATTCTCTACAGCATGACTCACATGCCACTTGGTGATGCAACAGGTATTGCTTGTCACCCCATATACACCAGCATATTACCATACTATGAGAACAACTAATATTAGCATACCTCATTCGCCATGGTAGACCAAACTCTGATAATTAATATACTATGTACACATGTGTCGTACTATCTGACTTTTCTGTAGTAATCGTCTATCTGAACCCAGTTTTCACTGCCATCCTCGCTGCCATTATTTTACACGAACCATATCATTGGTTTGAAGGCGTTTCCACTATACTCTGTCTATTGGGTACGACTCTTGTTACTCAACCGGGATTCTTGTTTGGAGCCGGTAGTCATACTGATGGGAACAACCATGAGGAAACAATCGGTGCAGTTACAGCTCTGGTTGGCGCTTTTGTCGTTGCAATTGAATATATTGCTGTTCGCAAGGTCGGCGAAGCTGCCCATTTCATGGTGATTGTCGTCTACAGTGCCACCTCAACCTTCTTGATGAGTATCCCATTATTGTTCACCTTTCAGAAGTTTGTGTGGCCTCAATCGTGGTATCAATACTGCGCTTTATTTATGATTGGTGTGATGCAGTTTGCTAGCCATTGCTTGATGGGTAAAGGGTATGTTATCATATATGTTTATCTCTATATGTTATCCAGCACTCCTGTTTTATGGTAGAGAATAACTTTTTAGTGCACTCTTCCTTTTCCTTTATTTTGGGATGATAGACTGCAATTGGCTCCTGCTGGACCGGCCTCGGTAATGCGTATGAGCGAGGTCGCTTATGCATTTTTGTTTGGTATGCTGGTATTCAATGAGTACCCCAATCTGGTGACCCTGACCGGTGTAGTTATTATCGTCGTAACGACAAGTGCACTAGCGTGGCGCAAATGGAGTCGAGCCAACAGTATCGCACGACATGGATAAAACTATAATTCTTTCCCTCACTGAGAATCGAAATGCCTTCCTGTTCTGGCCTTGTGGCTAATAGCTGAATTACGTGTACTATAAACTTCTTCATTCACTACCATTACCTCTCATTGTATTTCCCATAACATGTGGTAGTAGCATAAAATAAAGCTGCAAAATGGCAGCAGTAAAAACCACGCTGTTGTGTCTCATATCAATTGATGATCTTCTGGCTTGAAGATTGTCCCATGGTGGGTGCAGTATGCATTTGTTGTCTATGAAAATGTAGTAGTAATACAATCAATATTTATACAGCAAAATCGTGCACGAAGAAGCTCACATTATCAGCAGACTTAAAGATTGACATATATCTACAGTAGATATTGAGCTTTACTGCTTATACTATGCGGATAGAATGGTGGCAGTATCCATGTCTCCACTGTATCGCCAAACATAAGGAACGCACACACTCAATTTGCAGCGACGGCATTTCAACCATTTTCTCCCAGTGCGGAAAGCCCTACACTTTTCTTTCACCTCTTTAACGCATACACATATACAGCCATGAGCGAACAGCAAACGACAGGAAGCGCGTGGCCGGACCCACCTTACTTATATAAACGATACACAAAAGAGAACTTGGAGAAATTACAACAAGCAAAAAAGACTGGCGAGTTTCCAGAAACTCCCATTAGTCAATCACCACCAGCTCCCGATTTCCTGCTACAATCTCTCGAACCACCTGCACCACCCACCGACTCTTATACCATTTTCGATCAACGATGGCAGGTCCACGAACAATTACAACCATTGAGTGAACTCGGTGTCAAACAATTATTCCCTTCAGGATCCATCGGTAAAATCCAAACACGATCGTGTTGACGTTCTCTATTTTAATATTACATACACGGCACTATGGTATATACGCAAAGCTAACAACAACTTAATACAACGGCTTCTATTAAATACTGTACAAAGATCGTATTCAGGAACTTAAAAAGTTGAACCGTACATTGATTGTACAGTTTCTTGATTTACTCGATGTCCTTGTCAAAGATCCGGAGCAGGTAAGCTAATCTAAAAGACGTAACTTCTTGCTTGAAAAACGTTTGCTAAACATGCAGTAATCTCTTGTAGTATGGCGAACGGATAGAAAACATTAGTACAATATTCATCAACATGCATCATATCCTCAACGAATACCGACCTCATCAAGTACAGCATTTGTTCCTTTAAGTGGATGAAGACGGAGGGTTGCTATTTGAAGCCACTGTTATTTAACGCGCACAATAACTTGCTGTTTCTCTTAGGCACGAGAAACGTTACGTCTACTCATGGAAAATCAAATAGCAAAGAAAAAACGATTGGCAGCCGAATTACGAAGGTAAAAACGTGTTGATGACGGCACTTTGTGGAGAAGTGCATCAGCAATTTGTAATACTGATTCATGCCATTGCTACGCCATATCTTATAGTAGAAGCAAAGAAACGCTACAAATGCTGCAAACTTTTGGTGCAGAAACAACAAAGCCATTATTGGAAGCGGATCGGAAGGACTCGATTATGGATATGATGGATATCAAGGAGGAGCCAGATGATAAGAAAGATATTGTGATGGAAGAGCCAGAGAAAAACGACACGGAAGCAGAACGACTGCGTGAAAATCTAGTATCCTTAATTGATAACATTGTATAAACCATTCTAGCATAATTGGAGCGTGTGCAATTTCTCCTATTTGTGTCAGCGCTACGCGCGCATTATTTTTAATTATCCAATGCTTGTCATTCCGACCCACTTCAACAAAACTGCTACAGCACAGATCTCGTACCAACGGCTACGAAAACTCGGCCTAACTGCAGGCGATTGGGTCAAGATCAGTGATCAGCGATCCAACGTATGATTTGGTTTTGGTGCTTCATAGCGATCTCTTGTAAACAATTACTTGATCAAAAATGTGATTAACGATTAAAAACAAATCTTAGTTATCGTACTATGGTTGCGTGTGGCCCACCCACATGCCTGACGATCAGATTTTCATTGACGATTTTGTTCAATTTCAGTTGAACGTCAACAGTGGTCCAGTGATCGAACCAGTAGACAGGGTACGAATCGCGATCGAAGCAGAGGTCCAGGTCACTGTGCTGGAAAAGGAAAACGCGGATGCCCAAAAACGTGATATTGGTTTCGTGTATGACCAAGGCACCGATATCCAAAAGCTCGAGGTAAATGCACGAAGTCCATTGAAGTTATATGCATGTTGTTAGGTAAACTAAGAAGCTGTCATGGAAATCAAACGCGTACACGTATATTTAGGCCGTACGTAATTTTGTGGATGGAATGCTGGTTCATCCTTCTGCTGTTCTATCACATCCGCCGTCTTCGGTCTTGCTTGTGAAAGTGAGTAGATGTATAAGGGTCGAAGGATGGAAAGCTGCTAATCTCAAACTTGCGTTCTTAAACTCACCGTGCGAAATGGGCATCTATTTTCGTGTATTTTTTATAAAAGATATTATCAACATACCCAAAGGACGTACCTGTTCTATTATCCGGTGCCACACGATTAACGATTGCTACAGATAAGAAAGAAGAGGCAACTGAATCTGACATACAAGACTTAGCGGCATCTATCGAGAATTTATCGCTTGTTAAGAACAACAAAAAGATTGGTGGTTCCGGTGATCGACCAGAAGGACTCGAAAAAGCATATGACAAGCTGCTGGAGATCGTTAGCTATCCATTGTTGTATAAGGAATGGATCGATCAGATCGGTATTGAATGTCCAAAAGGGATTTTGCTCCATGGTCCTCCGGGTTGTGGTAAAACGTTCCTAGTCTCGTCCATTGCGCGAGCATGCAATGCCGAACTGTTCAGCCTGTCAGGATCCGAAGTGTATGGTGCATATATGGGTGAGAGTGAAGAGAAATTGCGAGCCAAATTTAAGCAAGCACAAGAAGCAGCCGTGATGAAGGATGCGCCGGTTATTTTATTCATGGATGAAATTGTAATATATCCTTATGCACCCATCTCCCTACTGCAGTCTCACTAACCTTATAGCTATATCTTTTGGTGATTGTTTTAAAAGGATGCACTATCACCACACCGTGATCGCGCTCAATCTCACGAAAATAGAGTTGTTGCTCAACTGCTGACGTTGATGGATGGCATGGAATCACGAGGGAGACTTATCATTGTTGGAGCAACAAATCGACCAAATGCTATTGATCCTGCCCTGAGACGCCCTGGAAGGTAAAGTGAATACTACTATATCTTGATTCTATGTAAGGATAGTAACTAACTGTTCGCTAGATTCGATCGCGAGATCTCAATCGATGCTCCCGATACCGAAACACGTAAAGCACTGTTTTATACGCAGTTATCGACTATGCCACTAGAAAACGATATAAGTGCAGGTATGATATCTTTTGAGGGTTTCAATATATATTACTGGTGTAATCACAGTGCTCATCTGTTAATCGATGGAAAATACATGTGTTATAGAGTCGCTTGCTTCTATTACGAACGGTTACGTTGCTGCTGATATCACAGCGCTTTGTCGTGAAGCAGCAATGCATGCAGTTGAGCGGGCAAGTCATACATCGTCTTCCTCTCCGTAAGTTGCTCAAAAAGAGGCTTCCTTCTTTTAATGAACGAGATGCTAGGGTATCGTTAACATGAGATGATATAACAGGGATTTGAAGGTGAATCTTGGCGACTTCAAAGCAGCGTTGGGTGTTGTACGACCGTCTATGCAACGGGGTTTCCAAGTCCAAGTTGAGAAATCAAATTGGCAGGATGTGGGCGGATTGGCAGACGTTAAAAAGGTAAAACAGGAATATGAGTGACCTTGAAAGACTATACTCATATATAAACCAAAAAAATACTTTATAATAGCAACTCAAGCAAGCGGTTGAGTGGCCTATTAAGCACAAGGACAGTTTTCTCCGGCTAGGATTGAAACCACCACGTGGTATCTTACTCTATGGTCCTCCAGGATGCAGTAAAACAACATTAGTCAAGGTATGCGGTAGACTGCAGGCAATGAGATAGAAAAAAATCGCTGATGATCAATGGACGTATAATAGGTGATTGCATCTTCGTCTGGGGCAGCTTTCCTATCCATCAACGGAGCACAACTTTATTCGCCCTATGTGGGTGATTCCGAAAAAGTTGGTAAGTTAGTGAAAAGAAAAAGTAATACATTATACTAATTGCAATTTCTATTCCCAGTACGCACTACTTTCCAAAAAGCAAGAGCATCGGCACCAGCTATTATCTTTCTGGATGAAACAGAGGCCATTGTAGGGAAGCGGAATATGGGCAGTGGCGGATCAAATAGTGGTGACAGTGTGCAAGAACGAGTTTTGTCGACACTTTTAAACGAGATGGACGGCGTAGAGACTGCTGAATCTGTTCTCGTAGTGGTAAGCCTCCATTTTTTCAGTATCGCTCAGGGAAGATTTATTGCTCAATTCCAATATAAACCTAAATTCTACACATTATAATAGGGTGCTACCAACCGACCCGATATGCTAGATGCAGCTTTGCTACGACCAGGGCGATTCGATCGGCTTGTCTATGTTCCGCCACCAGACGAAGAAGCGCGTGCCGAGATTCTCAAAATCCACACTCGGAAGACACCTCTAAGTCACAGCGTTGATCTTAGCAGTATCGCAAAACGAGTAAGCATCTTGGTTGTAAGCGAGAAGGGGAACGAAGTACTTGTACTGAATCACTTTCTTTTGACATATTTCTAGACCAACATGTACACTGGTGCTGATTTACAAAATGTATGCCGAGAAGCTGCCATGATGGCACTACGGGATATGCACTCGGCGGATGAAGTTGAAATGATCCACTTTGAAAAAGCACTTGGCACGATACCTCCATCAATAACACCATCCATACTTGAAACATATAATAAACCAGCAGCAAGGTGATTTTTATTGCCATCACTGTCTATGAATTGCTTTATTCTTCATCTTTTACGCGTCGTTTTTTCTTCTTTTTACCATTCTCCTCTTCATCCTTCGTACCCTTCTCTTTTTCTTTCTTTTTGCTCTTGCTCTTGCTCTTGGACTTTTTGGCCTTATTCTCCTGCAATTCTTTCTCTTGCTCCTCTTGGATCTTCAGCTCCCGTCTAACCTTCTTCGCCTTTAAACGTTGGCCTCTCGTCCGGATCCCTGGACCAAGATCCTCGTCACCTTCGCTTTCGTCCTCAATCCGCTGTTGTTCGGCCGTCTCGACATCATCCACCACTTCTTCTTCTATCTTGACCTCGACCGTTTCGCCATCTGCACCTTTCTCGACCTTGCGCTTCTTGACTTTCTTTTTCACAACTTTGGCAGTAGCTGTGGGGACCCATACATCGTCATCCACAGGGTATAAATCATATAGCTTATATAGTTGGAACACAGCTTGCTCTATACATAGTATATAAGAAATACCGATATTTATGAGATATGAGCATATATGTAAAGAAAATGCATTCTTCTTACCCTTATCTTTTGCTTCAATCATTAAATCGACATCATCTCCAGAGGGCGGTAAAACCTATGACACCAGATACAACATTGATTAAAAATTGCTGTAAAGGGAGAGGAACGCCTGTACGGAGCAAATTCTATATTTTGCTTACTTTGACTCTATAATGATCGCGGTACACAGTGTGGGTCATTAATTTCCGGTTGTGCCATGTCACTACAACTCATACTCCACTATTGTATACCTGTCACTATGAGCTCGTCGCTCAACTGCAGATACCGCGCCTGGTCTTGACTCGGAATAATGTTGCTATTATATAAGAAATAAACATAATTAAACTCTATCATAGCTCAACAAAGATAACACTCTGTAAATTACCTTGGGCTTCAATCCACGTCCTGTCCAAGTTTGATTTATTGCCGGAACAAGGTCCAATAAGTTGCCTATTTCTCCGGGATTTATACTATAGATTTTCATCGCAGTGAGATTCTTGGTCATACACAATTCAACTGTTTCTTCATACAAACCTATGATGATGCCTTGATGAAACAAATATATACCGACAAATTAGTACACATGTCTGAACATAGAAATGAAAGATAGAATGTGAGCTTATCAAAGCAAACAAGAAAGAGTTTTGACGTACCAATCAAGGACAAGAGGAACATTTAGCCTTTGGCACACTGGAAGTATATCACTGACTGAATAACAAAGTTCATCATTTTCGATGACCTACGTCCCATATTAAAAGAACTCAAGGTTAATAACTAGCATCTATTTTTCAACCATTTAAAACCTCTCATTCATCGTGTTTGCTCACAAGTCTACGAGTTATGGGCTCTGGCAATTTCCGATATGTTTCTTCAAATCTCTATGAGGTAAAAAAAAAATTAGAATGGATAAGTTCTTTAAGTCTGCTATGGACAGCACAAGTACATGTACACCCTGTTAATGATACGTACCGCTATTGTAGCTGGTTTATCACCTGGTAAAAGATTACGCTTAGTAGGTATTCAATATGAAATGCCTATCACAGGCACTTTCCTGCTTCGTTCAAAATACACATTTACTTACCATAGACACCACCCATGTGTCTATAAATTTGGATAGAATTCCCGTTAGAGAAAAACTTTAAACAAGTACCAGTAATCAGTTATAATATAAAAATGAGTCGTACATGATCATAATCGAATCAGGAGGCAGGCCCATCAAATCCAGCATCGAAGCATGGTCTATGTAGTGGCAATGCAGACAAAACATGTTTTAATGCCTATTATCAAACAAAACAGAACGCAACTCTCACTTACAGCTCAAATCTTTGATCGTCCTGTCGACAACACCTGGATTGGGTGATCCCAACTGATTATATTGGCCTGGATGGCTTGTCTTGATTTCACAAAAAAAATAGGTGGCTTTGTTAGCGTCTCAGTGTATCGTTTGATATGTAGAGGAGTACTATAATCATCAGTATTACCAGACGATGGCCGTACTTGGCGGACAGTTTTCCGACTTTCTTAAGCTCGTCCTTTGCATAATCCAAGGAATATCTTCACACGTGCACCGGCACCGAAACAGAAAGATTGATAAGTCATCAACAAAAAACAAAAATCCAAAGTAAATCTCTTACCCAACGGTATCATGGCTCGCAAATGGAAACATATCGCTCGAGATCCGCATAAATTTGATTCCATGGGCTATCAAAAAATTTAGTTCTGAGTAATGCCTACGCAGCAGGGTTGTTCTTTTTTTCTAAAGTAGCATGACGCACCTTCGTTCCATTCTATCAAAGTAATAAGATCTTGTACATTCTGCAAAGCGAGTTCTTTGACAAATTCTATGCCCTTCTGCCGGATTGTGTCCAATCGACAAGTGCGCGAGCAAAATACAGGAGGTTTCTGATGCCTCAGAATCGTATTCAAACACCTTTGAATTGTCAATGCATGAATGACGAGGCACACGTCAGTAAACCACTTGTAGGAAATAGAAACAAACAAGGCAAAACTTACGCATAACCCAAACGGCCTTTATAGTTGCGAGGATCAGGATGAACATAGCGTTGGTCTAACACAACACTATCTGTAGCAATGGCAGCTGCTTCGATGATTTTTTCTTCGATCTGTTGCTCTTCTTCGACGGTTGCAGTTGTTGCAATATTTTTTGCAGGCATTGAAAAGCGAAGTGAAGGCAAAGAAGCAAAAGGAAGAAATGGCAGTTTTTTGGCAGAAAGCAAATGTCGCAGCATTTAAAAAGGCAAAAGAGAGAAAAGAGAAAAAAAGTAAGCTCCGCTGATCGGGCGATCCTGTAGACTCTCGATTTCGTTCCACCAAACAAAACTCTTGTGTGACCGCCCGCCGGAACTGGTCGGTCCGAAAACCATCCCCCTTGTCAAACTCGAACATAGCCACCTTAAATCAAGCATACTTTTATTGCAAATATTAAAAAGACATGGCCATGCACTGTCTAAGGACGAGCGACCTTCCTTTCTACAACGCCTTGATCTATGCTTCATCGGCGATAGCATGCTATGCACATCATCATCATCCAAAGTTTAAGCACTTTTCCCAAGTGGACGATCCACAGCAACTAGAACTCACACAAGAATTGTTTCATTAAAAAAATTTATCTCATGATATCTATTATTAATATGTATTCTTATAAGCTATCTTAGGATTAATCTTGCTTCTCACTTTAGCCCACAGCAGCATCCCAGCCTACTATATACCACTCACCTAGATTACTATGACCGGTACCGCCAATGACTTCATTGATAAAAATCCATTTTAATTAAGCATTGTGGTTAATCTTCGTTTCTGGCGAGAGGTTCGAAAATCCAGGGATAAGTATACGCAAATGAGTTTAGTCCTCCGTAATGCAGATTCTCTAGTGACGTACAATAACATATCAGTGACTGGCATAATAGCATAGGGACCGAATGAGCAACCCCCAAGGACTAGATGTTGAAAACCATCCTTTCCGTACTTCTTCTGTCGAAGCAGCCTCCTAGCTGCCATCATGTTGTAAGAGTTTTGCTCGAAGATAAACACGAGTCGCTGCACTGTCCGGTTCTGCTCCAGATAATCTAGAAACGATCTTGCGATTTCGAAGGCACGGTAGACAGTACAATAAACAAGTTTTGGGCAGTGTGTAAAATACTGCTCTTGGCCGTTGAAATATTGCATGGCACCCGTTGCAAGTTCATGAGTGTACAGAGAGACTTTGCTCCCGCCGAATAGCATTTCGTAATCGGTTTGTGATATCGCTCTAGTAGAACTGGAATGTCCACCACAAAGTTCCTTGACACCTCTCTCATTAGAAGAGCTTAGACAAGAAATGTCACCGCAAAGCAGCTGCGCACATTGCTCAAATGGGTACTAGGACCAGATTAGGCAGTCGGTAGAGCGGGAAAAGCCTTATCAAAAGCAGCATTGATCACGGTGAATGCGGTGCTCATATCAATGCTCTTAATGTTTTTTATTGCAAGAAAAAGGATGTCTCTATACAGCCAAAATGCTATCTCATAGCGTATCACTGTTGCATTGGCAAAATTTTATCCATATATATTATCTGATAAAGCTTTCATAATCAGTATTAAACATGACGATGACCACGACCGGTGTATGCGATGCTTATTATAATTTTAGTGATTGGCATCCCAGCACTTTGGTCTTGCGGTTGCCTAATATAGACAGGGACAAAGATTGTGGGTTCAAGCGCTGTGACTGGCAAACCATGAGGCGGGGCAAAGTTGTCAACTTTTGCAGACGCACACATAAACTCACACTCCACATAAACAAAAAAATGGTCTTTGGCCGAGTTAAATTGGCCGTACCTGCGCTTGTACGCCATGCATCGACACATGCACGACAGCAGCAAACCGTAAAACCCGAGAAATTTGTACAAACCGTTGTCCTTAGCAATGGCGCCACATTCACCGTTCGAACGACCTCACCACGAGCACAAATTCGACTTGCCAAAGACACTCGTAACCACCCCTTGTGGAATCCTGCCATGCTCAAAGAAGGTTTGCGTGACGAAAGTGAGCAGTTGTCCAAATTCCAGAAACGTTTTGGTGTTGAGTCCGATTTGGCCGATCTGTCATGGATTGAAAGTGAAGACTCCTTGTCGGCTGCCATGAAGAAGGTTGTTGCCAGTGGCGGTTACAAGAAGCCTTCACCAGAAAAGAAGAAGGGGCGAGGAAAGAAATAGACTAACACGCCATCCAACCCACAGATTCACGCACACACGAACACACACATATCATTTACTGTCATCATCGCTCCGCATATAATAAAACTGCCACACCCAACGCCCCTATATGTACATTAAATCTTTTTTATTTCGTTTCCTCTTGCTTTTGTTGGTCAGAGAATAGTTTTTTATTATATTCTTGGGCATGGTGGAGAATGTCGTCGGCGTTCGTGATGGATCTTTTTTTAAAGAGAAGAGAAGAGTAACCATTAGAATATGTATGGAAATACCTATTAATTTATCCATTCGCCTGTTATTCCCATCGCGATCCTGACTTACATTATTCTATCCAGTGGATATTCCTTTTTAATGAGGTTGGCAAGCACTTTGCCAGGGCCGAAGCTGATGAACTGTTCAATATCCTGTCCTTTACAATAACTGATGCTTCGCTGCCATTCAACCGTGGATGTCACCTGTTCGACGAGGAGCTTGGGGATTTCTTCCACGTTGGTATACTATGTCCATGTAGGATAAAGCGTGAGTTATCGGCTACATAAGATCCATCAGAATGATAAATCGTCTTACCGGCTTGGCTGTCACGTTTGAAATTACATCCACACAAGGTTTTTTGAAAGTAACACTTTTGAACGCTTCTTCCATAGCATCTGCTGCCTCCTTCATCAACGAGCAATGAAATGGCGCCCTATACATTAAAAGTGTCCCATATTCAGTCAACTTCTCTCTTTTTGCCGAAACCCTTTTTATGTCTCGGGCATGATCCTTACGATACTGGAAGATCAACAGCTCTAGCAGCCAAGCGTTGAGATTGTAGGGTCCTTGATGCTTCATCCACACCTTTACTTGTTCCACTTATTACAACTTGGAAAGACTACAAACATCATGCATATAAATAAATGTATGTATGAGATAGTGAAGTAGAGCGATTACGTATAAGAAAAAGAAACACACTTACACTATTGATATTAGCCAACTGAACTAACTCGTTACCCGGTAATCCATCGTTGATTTCCTTAATAGCCTGTTCAAGATCAGATAGTTTGGCTTTTCTGACAACCAATGCTGACATGGCTGTTTGACCTTGTCGATCTGCCACTGCCTGTGTCATGCGTTCACCGCGCAGCCGTACGAGTCGCACAGCGTCTGTCAATGATAATGCACCTGTTGCAACCAATGCTGTATATTCGCCAAGCGAGTGACCCAATGCATAATTGCATGCCTTTGAAATATCAAATCCGAATTCTACTTCTAGTACTCGAAGCATCGCAATCGATGTTGTCAAAATTGCTGGCTGTGCGTTTTCTGTTCGTTTCAGCTTCTCCTGGTAGTATTTCGAAATATTAGACAACTATTGCACTCCACGTGAAAAGAAAATGTACCTTATGTAATAAAAATACATAAAAATACTGTCTACTGTTAACTTACCTGTTCCCCTTCGAAAATAAGTGATCGCAAGCCGTTCCCAAGAGCTTCGTCGGCTTCGTCAAAAACAAGTTTAGCCGATCGCGGGTATAAATGGTACAGATCCTGTCCCATGCCAACAAACTGTGACCCTTGACCTGTTTAAAAAATTGCCCCCCGAGAGCTTGTAAGAAAAATATATAAACCTCTTTTGAAAAGAACGAAGGGAAGGTGTTGTAGTGGCGGTGGGTAACAGTACCTGGAAATAGAATGGCGCGATGCGACTTTTCGATACCAGCAATGCTCTGTAGTTTATATTGTTAGTATACATAACGTGTGAACAGGGAAATGTAGTTTCGGGCTCTATGTACCATCCATGCTCGTCTTGGAATGAAGGCCATGGTGTTTTGAAAGAGAGAGACAGGTAGACACAGGGCAGAGCGAAAAGAACAGAATAAAAGGGAAGAATCCGGCGCGATCCTTTCCGGTATTTGGGGTTACACAAGCATTGTGTCGAAGGTCGTAGACCTGCAATCGGGGCGTGAGACCTGGTGATGATCGGTGGTTACACCTCTACTGTCATATTAACATTACATCATGCGTATATTGTAGCTAATGCGCTCGCCAGTCACCAGTCATCAGTATTTAGAGCATGCTGCTGTTGCTATAGAGACAACAGTTGCGCATGAAGTTCTCACACGTCGTTATGACAATAGTAAGCTTTTTAGTCAGGACTCGGACGATGATTAATACTTAGGGCAAATAGTACATCTGTTTAAAAAAGATAAACATTATGCAATTTTTACAGTAGACAGTGGATATACTAGCAGTAAACTATCGATAAGGTGACAGCTTGACGTATTCGTACAAGCATAAACGCCAATTTTATACTCATATAAGACCTGGACCGATTGGTTCTCAGTGATCATTATCATCATCGCAGCCACCACTCCCAGTATGCAACGTTGCTTCTTCAATAGAGCCTTGCTAATAAATATATTACGTGCTCTAATATACACACTTTCTCCTTGTCAACTCTAACAACATCCCGGACGCCTTGCGGATCACGGAGGAAAACAGCTGTTGTTTGAACCAACCATCATCGATTCCATAGACCCTTTTTCGACGAACGATGCAGCATCCCAAGTGATCGTCCATAAACAAAACGTTAAACCTTGATGGATTTCAAAATATTCATCAGCACACCCTTTCACAAGTGGTTGCAGGCATAATTGCCCCTGTACTAGATGAGGTTTATTAGATCCAATCATGGATGGCAAAAGATTATTACCTCGATTACTATACATCTTTGATGAGGAGCAGCCACATACTAGCTACGTATGTAAATATCTAATATTGCGGATTATATGAGATGCTAGGTGAATGTTGTGTGGCAATGAGCAGAACGCGTATATATTACGTGTCAACGTTTTCCAGACCTGCTTATTATGATGTACCATCAGTCTGAAAACCCCAATGATTTGCCATGCTCCCCTTCCAAACTTTATGCCGTGGCAGCGACTGTTGCTACGATATTGTTGGTTTTACATGTTAAACTGGGCAACACATACAGTAAGGAGGTGATTAGTTGGCAGGGCTAACTGTTCTACTACATGTACAAATAAGAGCTGTTATAGTATCGTCCAAGTGTTATGTAAAGTGCCGCACGGGCGGATACAGCAAGGGGAGAGAAATTGACAAAAAAAAGTTAGGGAAGAGGGGAAGGGGACGGCAAGTTTCCTAATTGGGCGAACAAAAGACGTCTGCGTTTATGCGTGGCATAGTGTGCTTCTTTGCATCCGCATTTTTCTGTGAAATAAGTGAACAAGCTGATTTTTTCTTTTTTCCACATAACACATAAAGAAAGGCAAACATTGTTCTCATTCAACCCTATTACAGAGTATGTGCCTCGTTTTGCTAAACTGTTCTTTTCTCTTCTTTTACCATGAGATCGACGTTTTCATCTGAAACGAATGAACTTGAATACACCAAAACACAGGGAAAGAAACGCTGTATACTGTTCTGTTAAGTGCTCTCCCATTCCACCCTCAATCCGCCGATCAAAAAGAAGCTAAGGTTGTTATCCGTTGTACATCGTCTTGGACATAGGTAGTATACTGATATGCATGCAAATCCAAATCCAAAAAGCAAATTACTCCATATAATTTTCCTCTCTCTCTTTGGCTCTCATTGGAGAAGAAGGGAAAAAAGAAATTGCAATTTGAATGATATAAAAAGGACCTATTCATTCACATCATTTCCCGCCGTCTTTGTTTTCGATATAAAAAATACAAACGCACCACACACACAGCCACTCAGTCACTACACTCATCCACTTATAAAATTACTACACATCTTTGTTTCCAAATTTGCTTTTCCTTTCCATTACTTTTCTTTATTTCTTTAACAACAGTTTAAACACCTTAAAAAGTGACAGTAACGACGCCAAGCTGATAAATTATACCATATAATCGCCCACCACCATCCCTAATGTCATCTGCACAATCCACCGCTGACCGACTCAGAGACTTGCTTTTGGACAAAACGCCAGAGCAACTCGAAGCTGAACGTTTGTCTGCAGCATATACATTGGTCTACATGGGCATCTGTATAACATGTGTGGTCTGGCAACTCATTAATGCCAGTGTTCTTGTATATCGGTCCCGAAAGGTGCTCCACATGGCCGTCCTTTTCGAAGTAATCCTAGCATTCCTAGTTATCATGTCCAGTCTTTTAAATCCATTGGTCGGGTTAAGCTGTGATGCCGTAAGTTACAATTTTTAAATAGAGCATGTAATCGAATCCGTGCCATAATATCACTGTAACTAACTCTATTACTGCTCATACATTACAAAAACATAGCGTTACTGGGTATCCATCGTTTCCATCAACTTGGCCGGCTGTTGTATTCAGAACATCTTGCTATACAAAGCATACATTTGTTATGATAGGACAAAATGGCTTTTGGGTCTTGGTTCCTTCATCAATTTAGGATACCTCGCTTTGATTGTTCTTTACAGCACACTCGGAAGAGTCGGTAGCAGTCATGATCTGGTCGGCAATTGCATTGTAAGTTTGTAAATTATATTTACATTATCTATGTTGTTGGCAAATCATGACTCATGTAAAATGACCATGAATTCATCTTATCTCATTCTTTTATTATTGCCATGATAACAGCTTTATAATTGTAAGCGGTTGCGTTTTTCTCCTTTGAAAATGTATACAATGGGATGGCCATAAAAGTAACCTGCTGTTATTAAATCGTAACTGTAGTGGATTGGCCTGCAGTTGCCAAACTCGGTTTAGACATTCTGAGCAATGCATTCTTGTCAGTTGCGTTCCTGATGGTCATTCACAGACACTACCGCATGTTTGGAAACAGTTTACACAAGTCACTTTTATCAAGCGGCATGATTTTCTCGTAAGTATTGTTTCTTTAAGCAAACGTGAAGCATTCGCCCACCTATCAGCGGTTCTGACAACTTTTCCTTCTTTTTTTTTTGTGACTGTATGTAGAGTCGGTGTAATTGCTTCAAACATTATCGTCGGTATATTGATCGCCGTAAGAGTTGTTGGCGGGTTGTCCGCCGATCTCTACTCATTTGACTGTAAGCTACTTTTTTCCCTTTATAAAACGAGTCTTCAAAGCACAGACACTTATACCACGGAAATCATTAGGGGTTATTACCGGCTACTTATTGATCAAGCAGTTCAAGCTTGACAAGAAACGAGAAGACGAAAATGAACTTATTTCAAAGACAATGCAGCATAGTGACGCTGGAAGCATCCTGTCAGCTCATAGAAACAGCCGTGATCATCATGTGGGATCACTTTCTGGTTTGGACCTGCTGTCATCTCCCACAAGCACGCATCATAATGACCACCCGCGCTTTTGCCCTCACTGTCGAGCTTCTCTCGTATCTCATGAAGAAGATGCTGTGATGGTGGATGTCGAAAAACGTATTATTCATCACCAATGATCGTGAAGCATTCTAGCAACAGATTATTCCTTTTAATTAACTTCTTCGTCATCATCATCATCATAATTAATTTTCCTAATAAACTACTCGCTTTAATGTTTTCTCTTTGTTTGATTCGCAAATCTAAGTGTATAAGGAGAAGGGGGATGGAGCAAATGCAAAATCTCGGACTGATCGGTTCCGATGACAAGTGGTTGCACGATCGAAGAAAGAGAAGTTTACTTCGTGTTCCATTATATTATCATAACAATGATACGTATCTCGACAATAGGCTACGACAGCCATGTTTTGAAAGAGGATGACTAGAAATAAACATGCAGACGACCAACCCTTGCGTGATTCCATCAGCAGACATAATCTTAATTTGCAAAACCTGATCGAGGATGCCACGGCCATAGTATTATACAGCAACATCTAGCGTCGAATCCTTTTTCGGTTGGATTCTGGGCGCAAGCTAATCTTCAAGGTAGCTAATATTTTTTCTATAAGCTTCATCCACGAGCAAAGCAGCTTTAGCATTTATAATTAAACGTGCCTAACACAAAGGGAAAGCGCAAGAGCCAACATGTGTTAAATTACGTACCTTAAACTTGAAAAGGCGGATGATACTGCTTTGATATCGGCTACGAACAATGATTCAGTGGGTATATGTATGCAGATTGGATTTTTTGCAAAGTAGATATCTTGTTCTGGCAGCCATTCGAGCATATAGGGATAACCAAGATTGTCTTGAAAAATTTATTGGCTAGTAATTATCCGCTGTCGTCCAATTTTTTCATACATAGTTTTGCCCCCAATATAAAACTTAGATCTAATCATATTAATATTTTATTCCACTATTGTTCCAACCATTACGGTCTTTTATACTATTTTCTACGGTCATTATCTGTAAACAACACACAAGCAGTATCATAGAAGAACCCTCATAGAAAACCATACATAAAACTCAGAAAAGCACTCTATGAATATATACAGTACTTCTTGCATAAACTGTGTGACGCAGTCACCGAAGCACACCAACGCGAACTCTAACCTCGCAATTAAAGACGCCAATCACCTCAAAGGCCAAGGCTAAGTGCCGAGTCATCAAGTAAGCCGAGTTGCCAAGCTTCCAAGCAAGCTAAGAATCCCTTAGCATCGAGTATAACTACAGCAAGATTCCAGAATATAAAACGATATCGAACAACTTCTCTTGAATCCGCAGGTTTATATCGGGCATTGTACCCTATTTACGCGGCCTGATCTGTTTCTTTTACTAAAAAAACCGCTAAATGACCTGTTTTACAGCACAGACTGATATCGTTTTATCTTTGTTTCCTAACAGCAGGAACCATGTTCTTTTCTTTTCTTCTGTCACCAAGTACAATAACGGCTGGTACTATAATTCTCACGAAGCAAACAGAGTTCTTTATAAGATAAGCCCCTTATTACCATTTTTTAGCTTACAGATCAGCCAACCCGCGCCAACGTTGCAAGTATGCGATACTATTGCGCTGGTGCACCCCAAGTACTACACTGCGGATGTAAGCTCGTTTAATTCGAAAACCACGGCAACAACATCCGAAGATTAAAATGTTTTCGGATTGAGTCATTAGACTGTGGGACAATTACTAGAAAATAAAACCTTTTATATCTTTTGTCTCTTGTACTGGCTTTGGTATGTACTTTGCACGTCTAATTGAACATGTTTACAGTAGTATATTTAGAGGTAGAGGAAGGTATGCCCCAAGATTCAGTTAAATTAAAATCGATACAGTAATATTAATCAAGTTAAAGGACCAGTTCTTGTTCCTTGAATGCTTGATGTCAAATCTTAAATTGTTCTAGAACAACAAAGGTGATGATAGTTTGTGAAACCAGTCGGATAAACAATGGTCAGCCTTTATGACCGGCACACGACTCTATTATTCTGGGGCTCGAGCTTCAGTTTTGTTGGCGGTATTTGCTACACGTGTAATGGCAACGCTGGTAATGAAATGATGATAGTAGAGTAACACTACATACAGCATGTTCACAGGAAACTTCAACTCTACAGCTATCTTATATAGAAATTTTATTACACTTGATAGTAAGATACATGCTTAGATGCTCACAGTGTATCATATGAGCTAATGTGAATGGTACTGCATACAGCTCGGCTTCATATAAGAAGTAAACAGCTTGAGCTCTTGAGTGAGCATATGCCGTTATGGCTGTTTCAAAAGATAATAATAAAAATAAAATATTTAAATGTATCAGCATACAAAATCACATCAATACTTACCTAGAGTGACCACATATTCTTTATCGTATGTGCACGGCAGAAGATAAAGGTGACTTACTCGGAACTGTAAGCTTTTGATATTTCAGGCTAGTAGATGGTACTTGAAACCCTAATAGCAATATAACAATAGGCAGTCCCTTTAGTTGCTACAGTTTTTACAAGAATGTACTATTATGGTCACGAGCCTTTCTCGTCTCCGTACCTTGGGTATTGAGCCCTTCGCTTCGCTTCGTGTCAAAACCTACGAAGCTTATGCTCAGGGCACGTTATAAGCACATGTACGATATTATCAACAGTCCATTGCTGCCAGCGGTCGCGAGAGGAAAGCATTACATCCTATCCCATGCAAAGGAACGCTTTCCAGCCTCCCCCCGCCGGGGACTTGAACCGCAACTAGGAAGAGGCATTGTGATCTGCGATGTTGTCGAAAAGAGGCCCCCTTTTTATCGATTAGGCGATCAAACATCACATAGCATATAAATTCTACAGTAGTAGTACATACCTTCATTTGGAAAGACACTAGAAAGGCCGGTAAGCCCAGACCCATAATCACCGCGGTCTTATTGCGTAGGAACTCTAAATTTTTCCAGTATTATCGAATTGCAACGAAGAGACACCTGGTTGGGGAAATCGTAAAAGGTATAAGCATCGTTTAAAACATGTCTCACTAATAACCTCGCCGTGCGATACAGTACAGATAAGTTTATCATCACTACTGCAAAAATAACTTACCTTCGGCGATGAGGCGCCGATATCCACTGGTAGTGTCCCTCCTCCGGCGCGAATCCCATCAAATGAAGAGATCAGCATGAGGAGGAGGACGAGAGGATACGGGACCACGACACAAGTAGGGAAGACCTGAAATCCTCCATTAGGTATATAGAGGATTCTAGGTCGGCAAGGAATGCTGTTGATGATACATACGATTTTTTAGTACTCTATCATTCATTTTATACTTCGTTTTTTATAAGACCAACGCTATCTATTATTACTCACGTGTGATCAACTGCTACACATACAATACACGAACCAGCAACGGCCAATTTCACTATGCAGGCCGTTGCTGATAGCGGCTGTCTTTTTGTAGTCCGTTCTGGTGTGTCGTATAGTCAAAGAAAAAAATGTTGGGAAGAGTTTCAGTGAAACTCTGTACGGCGTTCTATCCCTGGATACTCGTTTTGTGTGACCGGTCATGGTCAACCCCGCCTCATCCGCCGTTCCTTTGTGCTGTTCCTTACGCAACCTCGTCACTCACCAGAACTTGACCAAAAGCATGATAAAAATTCGCAAGTTTTTTTGCATCAGATGGACGTGGAAAGAATTCTTGGTGGCTTGCTGACATGGTGATGACCGTTCTGCGATAAAGAGAGAGAGAAAAGGTTTTGTGTAGCCATTAATATACACACTCTGTTGTGCTTACAGCTTTATTCTACGTCGGACGGTAAGCAGTGAAGCCACATTTGATCGTTTGATAGTTGGAAGACATTGCTGTTATGGTTACACGGTTGCCATGGCAACGAAAAGCGTTACGGACAGACGGACAGAGCTACACTTCCGAATGCTGACATTTTTCGGTATCTCGGTATCCCGTTCAATTGCAGGGCAACTATGGACGTCCAAGAACTGATCGTCCATAACACAAGAAAAGCGATTACCTCGTTGAATTGCCTAATTTCTCTAGGCCTCAGTCCTACCGGTTTCACTCGTTTGCTCGCTGCAAGGATCTATGGTCAGTTCATACGCCCTCAAATGGAGTATGGTTTAGCCATCCAGAAGCCACTCCAGAAGCACATCAAACTGTTGGAGGACGCCCAATCGGCTTGCCTTCGGCGCTTCTATGGCAGCTCGAATCGCACTTCATCAACCAAGGTCATGCAGCATCTGGTCAATATCCCTCCTATGAAACTCAGAGTGGCTGTTCTTCAAGCGAAATTACTCAATCGAAGTCATTGGTTACCTGATGATGCTCTATTATCCAAGCTCGTCCCGCGATTTTCTGTCGTCTCTACGAGCCGATACCGTCACCTGCAACGCACCGCATTGTGGCAACGTCTCCCTTCTACAGAGGCGCCATTTGACAAGAAAGCCTTATCACATGCTATTCGCAACCTGTATACTACCGATTTTGAATCTACTCTTCTTGGCCCACGCGCTAAATTACTCTCTGCTTGTCGTCCTACACTGGGTGTCGATCCAATCGTTTGGCTCCCGATGCAATACCACCATCGAAGTCGTCTCATACATTGGCGTCTTGGCTGGATGCCGAATGGTCGTCCGGAGGCTATCTGCCGCAATTGTTCCGATCGCCATCACCTATCTCGGGACCATGTCATCATCTGTCTGCAAGCACATGTGCGTTTAAAAGTTCCTTTTGTAATCCTAGATCCTATCTCCTTCATACTCAACTCGTTACCAAGAACTCGCCCTCGCAGCACCACCACCAAACGTTATTGGCGCTCTTGTTGGCCCCGACTCACCAGCTTACTCCGAGACATCGATCGTTTATGCCACGAAGACGACCTATGCACTGAAGACACTGACATTGCCACCACCCCGTGCAACGACTTTTTGCTGTGGCTTGATCAAACCAATGCTGATTCACGCCTATCTCTTCCCTCTTCGCCCTCCTTCACACCCTAATTACTTATACTAGTTCTTTAAACACAAAAAAAAATATACAAGAAAAAGATTCCCTGTCCCTTGCCGCTTGGTAGCCGCAAGCTCCCGCCCCACTTTTTTATCTCTCTTAACCTTTGTGCACTCTTGTAACCCTAGATACTCCCCTTTTTGTTTTCTCTCAAGTCCTTATCATTTTGCTCTACATTTCCCCCCTCTGGCTCACGGGGTTTTTGTTCACCAGTCATGGCGACCGGGCTTTAGCGAGTATGCGATTGGCGAAGCGCTTATATGGCCATTTAATAAAGATTTATAAAGTTTGAACCAGACGGACAGAGCAGTTTCATAAAGGCTTTCACACTCCGTATAGAACGCCTAAAAAGTGAGTGAGAGAGCTTATTTGTATGTTTCCGAGTTTCCATTATATTGTACAACACGTTTAGACTTCCATATAGTGAGCTCAGAAAAGGCGAGCTATTTATAACCAATGTAAAACTGAACTAAAAGTGCAATGACGCGTACTTTTTTTGGGGAAGCTTTGCTGACACGTTGATCATTTAAAACTGGGGTTTCTTTCAATGACTATGACTCGCCAATTGTTCATTGTCGTCCGGATGCTGTCGTTTCCCGGCAACAGTAACGGTACTTTGATACGTTATACTGTAAAACGGAAAAGCGCGTAAGTTTGTAAACTGCTTTATAAATACTACAGAGTGAGGGTTTGTGTAGCCTTCCTTGATTGTACGCCATTCTGCTTTATCCTGTTTATTGTTTTGGATTATACCAGTATGATCACTGATGCGGCATGACTGCGGTGTACGTAGGATAAATAATATGTAGCAATAAATACAACAAGATTAAAGTTGAATCCTGTTACATAAAACACACTGATCGTTTTGAATGGGCTTATAAAACTTGAACTGTTTGTCCTCTTCTTCCAATATGACCTTAACTATGTCAGACAAGTCAATCATTAGCAGTTCTGCCTGGTCGAGTTTATTTTGAGTGTATGTGGTCAATTAACTTCCCAAAATGAGTGATCTCGCTACTGCTTGATGTAGAGCATTCATCTGAAATACGGGCGTGAATCTTTGTGCTCTTTAGGACTCTACTGTGCTATACATCTGTCAAAAAGAAATAAATTCTTCTTGCCCGCTCCGTCATACCAATGGTCGGAAAGAAGTTCATCAATATGGTGATAATATCAAGCCCTAATGTAGAGACTGTTTTTTGGTATATGCTAAAAAAGATTATTATACTTAGCAAGCATAAATTGCTTCTTTCGAGCAAATGGCGAATGGGGAAGTAAAATATCACAGTAGACGTTGCCAGGTTAATAATTTTCAAACCACTGCCTTAACAAGAAGCGGATGAGAAACGGAGCTCATTATCATATAAGCTAGTGATCTCAAAATCATACCGAAACACACAGAGCATGACATAGAGAATAGTCTCTACTATTGTATTTTCGATATCTTGCTCTCATAACTAATAAACACTACATATTGATGATACCATTGATACTTCTAAAAAAGTAAGGAGTGATATCATAGGAGAAGCTCCTCTAGCTCTTCTTTCAAAAAGCGCTTATCATGCCGCAAAACATCAGTACAATCCATTATCATGATATAGAGTGGTTTGATCTTTTATCTGAAAGAGTTTGCATTAGCTAAAATTCAGAACAATTGTATACAGCCGGCGTTCACTGTACGGTGACAATTTACATATGCACATTTGTGCTTCATTTAACTTTTATGCTTCAGTGATTGTGGGGTTGTAGTTTCAGCTGAGCACTTCTGCTTAAGTTTCACTGCAGAACGATGTGGGGGAATTATATTTAGCTTAAACTGTCGCTGCATCCTCGTGGCAAGGTGGATATCGAGAGGGCAAGACAAGAAGCGTCGCGCTGTTGTTGTCTGTACTATCATTTGAAACTTGAGCTTAAGGGTATGGTACTTGACAATAATAATCTTAAAAGCTGGTAGATGTGTAGCTGAGAAAAGTTGTTTATCGGCCTGTTTAATTGTCACATCATGTTTGTCGCGTGAAGCTGCAAATAACGTGCATTTACTATTTGTTATTTATCCATACATGCGCATGGCGTACTTCATTACCATCTTCATTGAAAGAGGGAGTGGTGCAGAACTGCATATCCAACAGAAGCAGTATCGTCCATTCTAGGATACGATTATGGGTACACCAACCCAAATCACAAGGGGCAGCTTTGAGAAGTTTGCTGTTCAAGCGGCGGCCAATCAGAATCGATAAGAATTCCCATGGTTATAAAGTCCGGCTATCTCAGCTCAGTTGCCTTTTCGCTTCTCTTTCCCTTATCTCCATGCTTTTCTATTTCGCGCAGTCGTAATCGTCATAAACGCGGCCTTAAGCCAATCACAGGTAAATTCCTTTATAACACTGCTTCTGCTGCTTTACACACGCTCACACCTGTGTTTCAGCTGTGAATAACCGTAGTGGCCTTTTTCAAAGGTCCACCAACTTTTTGAATGTGTCGGTAGTGTTTCTGGGCACGTTTGCAGGTTCGACTCCTGGCTTGACACAAAGGTGGGCGCTACGTCGAGGTCTATTGTTCATTTTGGGAGACCATTAGTCGCATCGGCCCCGCGAAGAAGAGCTCGATCACCTTCAGTGGCTATCCTGAACGATCGGGTCCCGCCTTGGACGATCACAAGCGTGTCTGTTGTAGCCTGGACTTGCCGTACTCTCCGGAGTATGGTGGGTCTGTCAGATAGTCCTGAAATAACGCTTGAGGAATTGACGGAAAAAGGAATTGACGGAAAAGGCATTGGCATTGGTGCCATTCCTGAAGGCTTGCCGGAAGGCTTGCTGGAAGGATTGGCGGTGTAGGTTCCAGCTTCGAGCTGGGACTGAGGCTGTGGTGGACATGGAGGTTGAAATGTGCTTTGTGCCTTTTCTCAACCTCCTTCTTTCTCGTTTATTGTCAAACTAATGGACGAGAGAACTGCCAATGCCTTCTTCTTTTTCTTCAGCTGACACTTTTTTGACCTTTGTTAATTTTCTTACATTCTTTTGAAATAATAAAAGAGCTCTTCCATCTGTTTCCCTTTACAAATATTTCTGTTTTTTAATAGCGTGTATCGCGCGAGCTTTTGTCGCTTTGTTGTAATAGACGTTTGCGATGGCAACTGAGGCATAAGTGACCGCTAAGAGTCGTTGCTATAATAGTATGGCCTGTTCTCGCTGTTGCCCAACACAAAGTACTTATTAACGGCGTACTGATGGGATCGTAACTCCTGATCCCCACATGGACTCTGTGACCGAGTTGCCATCGCTGGCTTCACTGAAAGACACTTTGCAAGTAAATCGAAGCGAAGCCCTCCAAGCACGCAATCTCGCGACAGCAGTTCATGAATCTACCTCAGCACTCGATCGGCTACACAGATATTTAGAGCAGTTCCTGGCAGTCCGCGTCGAAGCATACGCGCAACAGGGCAAAGTCACTAAGGTGTATAGTGATGCCCTATTCTTTGTCGACAACTTCCCCGGCTATTTGAGGACATATAATATCGCCACACGTATTTTTGATCAGACAACAGAGATTTAAGAAAGCAATAGCGATATGCGCAGGGTTCTGAATAACGGTGAAGGAGGGTTCCGCCGATATAATCCACTGACAGACACAATATTCTACCTCTCCAATGAAGCTTACCATATGCTTGAAAAGCGTATGGACATGATGCTCACCGTGATCCTAAACGAGCTCTCTTTTGGTGACATCCTGCGGTGCATGACTGTACCCAAAGCGTGTCGCCAATGCATTATTGATTGTCCTACAATGGTCACGCTACAAAACTAATATTTACATTCGAATGGCATAGGATCCTGCGAACTACGAACAGAATACAACGGGGGTGGGGATCTAGCATGGCACTTGGATGCGTGCTATGTCTTGAATAAGTAAACAGCAACGCCTATGAGATATTCTAGTAATAGCAGCATCAGCAGCGGTAAAACCCACATTTCGTCGCCATGTTGTAAAAGCGACGGAATAAGGTCTAAAAAAGAAGGCACTACTGTAGGAAGGCTGACTGAAGTAATCTTCTTCTTCTAGCTCACATATTAGGAAGACTAAGAACAGCCTACTATGTAGTGCTACATTGTCTCTTTTCACGCAGTCTGATACTTTATCCACAGCTCCAAGTTAATCAATGGGCAATGTCTGTGAGCGTGATGAAAATACCCTGATGGTGACTGCGCTGTGGGTGTTTCTTAATTATCATAACAAACCATTAATTAACCAATCACCACCGCGAGTGAAAGAAAAAAAGACGTACTTCGTCGTAATATTCGGAAGGCTGTATGATATCCATGATAACTCTTTTTGGGGGCAGGTTGCCAATTTCCGTTGTTCTTTTATACTCTTTACTGATAATGGATGATGGGCAGAAATAGTAAAGGGAAGAGAGTGAATCGACCAAGAAGCAATCATAATCCTTTTTTTTCTGGAACGGGATATGAATTTAGTGTGTCTGTGTGTCGAAACCACTGCTCGCTACACGGTGTGGTATCGTGATCTCAGTCATGAAAAGAAAGGGATGCCCTTTGATTGGTGGAAGAAGCAATCAGATTATGCGTAGTGCTCGGCTGCATTGTCTCTTA